TTGTTCCGTTTACAAAAAGGAAGAAACTTGACAAACTTGTCATGCCTAAAGTAAATGGAAGAATATTAGAGTGCTCCAAAGAAGTCAAGTACCTGGGCGTAACCTTCGACCAAAAACTGACATGGAACACACACATAGACAACATAACTCAAAAGGCGAAAACATCCCTAGGTATAAGCCGACGGGTAGCGGGGCCCAGATGGGGAATCAACCCCAAAATTGCCCTATGGCTTTATACAGCAGTGGTGAGACCACTTACCACCTATGCCTGCGCAATCTGGTGGAGGAAAACCCTCCAATCCACAGCTGCCACCAAGCTAAACAGCCTACAGAGAATTGCTTGTCTGATTATTACAGGAGCCATGAGCACCACGCCGGGAGCAGCTCTAGACGCATTATTGGACTTGACGCCCCTTCCTCTATTCATACAGGAAAAGGCGAAAGCCAATATGCTCAGAATAAGTTCCCAAAGGAGGATATCTTGGCATTCCCTGGCCATAAAAACTATACAAGACTCGATTATGAGTGATCCTATTCTGGGAATGCCTGAAGACAATATGGCACCAGAGTGTAACTTTGTACAATATTACAAAATCGAAATATCTGGAAGAGACGAATGGCAAAATAACCATACACCGTCTCACTCAGAGCATGACCTAGTCTGGTTTACAGACGGGTCCAAAATAGGAGATGATGTAGGATGTGGAATATGTGGTGTAAAACCCAAAATCTGCAACTATATAGGCTTAGGAAAATACGCCTCAATCTTTCAGGCAGAGACTTACGCCTTAATTAGATGTCTGGAAGTAATCCTAAGCCTCAACTACATCAATCAGAACATATACATTTATTCGGACAGTCAAGCTGCTCTACTAGCACTTAACTCGTACGAAATCCGTTCTAAACTTATTAGAAACTGTATCCTGCTACTAAATGAAGTAGGAAGCAGAAATAATATTATACTGAGATGGGTCCCCGGGCATTCAAATATTGAAGGCAATGAGAATGCCGACCATCTGGCAAAGTTAGGGGCAAAAACCGTCCAACTGGGCCCCGAACCCTTCTGTGGTGTGCCTCGTTGCCTAAAACTGGGACATCTCAAATTAATAACCAAACGAGAAGCACTGAATCACTGGCAAGAAATGCCAGGATTAATACATTCAAAAGACCTTATATCGGGCTTCTCGACCAAATACTCCAATAGATTACTGCAATTGAGTAAAAACAACATATGCATGATGACTAGGGCCCTCACAGGACACTGCAAATTGAACAAGCATATGGCTAAGCTAGGCCTATGCACGACAAGTATCTGCAGATTCTGCCAAACTGAAGAGGAAACGCCGCTTCACATCCTATGTGGTTGTAGCCCACTCATGCATAAACGAAATATCTCCTTTGGAAAGTTTACACTCTTTCCCGAGGAGATAAAAACGATCGCTCCTAAGAATATCCTTCAATTCTTGTCCCTGACGGGTCTAGGTAGCGAACTCTGAAAAGGGCGAGCACAATAGATCTATGTAGGTCGCAGTGCTACAGGTGCTACACATCTGACAATAGCCCAAACAACCCAATAAAAAAAAAAAAAAGCGATTAATAAATCATCAACATAAATAGCAATGATTATTTTTTCTCCCATTTTCTCCTGTATGTATAGACAGGGATCGGCATTTAATGACTTAAACCCTACATTTTTCAATTCCATGTCGAGTTTTTTATGCCATTGCCTCCCCGCTTGCTTAAGTCCATATAGAGCTTTCATAAGACGACAAACTTTCCCTTTTGGTATGTTTTTTATGTCCATTAACATATTCATTGTTTTATTGTATAAAGTCAGATCATCTTTTTCACTCTCATCAACCAGTATTTCTGTTAAGTACTCTTCTAAATAGTCAGGATATTTCATTATAATATATTCTTCTAGTTCACCATTTAGGTAGGCTGTGGTTACGTCCATTTGGTTTAACTTTAGACCTTGTTCCATAGCTATTCCGATAACCGATCTGATTGAACTTAATTTTGCGACGGGTGCATACGTTTCATTGTAATCAACGCCTGGTCGTTGAGTGAAGCCCCATGCTACAAGTCTGGCTTTTCTACTAATTTTATTATCTGGCCCAATTTTATTTCTTAAAACCATTTTGTAATCTACTTCATTCATATTCTCTTTCTTTTCCTCTATTTTCCAGGTTTCATTCTTAACATGTGCTCTAATTTCAGCTTTTATCGCATCATGCCAGTATTCATGAGTTTCACTTCCATCAGTCAAACAAGAAAATTCAGAGAATAGTATACTTTCATTCGTTTCACGTTCTTGTCAAATTCGATGTAATACAGCTCATTTCTTCTTTGCGCTTTAATTGCCACCTCGCCGATTTTCTCAATGACGTAGGCTTTGTCTTTTTCAAAAACGACTTTATTTCCTCTGTCAGTTATCTTACTTACTGACAATAGATTTATTGATACATCCGGAACATACACTGTATTATTCAAATTGTAACCTTGATTATTTGAATTTACGGTTACTATTCCTTTACCTTGAATTCCACTGCTGTGCTTACTTGACGCTAATCTTAAAGTGCCGCTGTCTGGGGTCAATTTAGAAAAAAATGATTTATTGTTGCAAATATGAGATGAACAGCCGCTGTCCAGGCACCATGTATTTTCACTAGTGTCTTGTTCTACGTTGCTAAGGCAAACATTGAAATTTTTGTGTTGTTTGCCGTTGTCTCTCTCTTTGCCACCTTTCTTCTTTCCCCAACATGCTTCGGTGGTGTGGCCCTTTTTCTTGCAATTCTTGCAGTATTTTTGTTTCTTATTTTTAAGATGATATGCTTCAGAGCTTTGGCCTTGTTCATTACCGCTCCTGGCCTGTTATTCTTCCAATATTTTTACCTTCAGGTCTTCGGGGTTTGGTAATGAATCCCGTGACTCTATGGCTATTCTGAAGTTATCAAATGTTGCTGGTAGACTATACAGTAACATAATGCTGAGTAACTCTGGAGGTATTTTGATCTCCATGTCAGCGAGTTTATCCACGATGTCCATGAAGTTATTTATGTGATCGCGAATATCTTCTCCAACATTCATAGGCTAAAGCGTATGAATGTTGGAGAAGATATTCGCGATCGAACCAGTTGTTTTAGCAAGGTCGCTTTTCTTGCTGGTCCGGCGCTCTGATATATTGATTTTAATTTGTCCCAAACAGCTTTGGATGTCATGCAGGCTTTGATTTGTTTTAATTCCGTCGGTGATAATAAAAGTAGAATTTCAGCTCTTGCCTTTAAGTCCTCTCTATTAAATTCCGTCGTTGCCGCTGCATCAGCACTGGGTGACAATGTTTTTGCGCCACTCACGATATCCCAGTAATCATTTTTGATCAATACGGCCTGCGCTTGTAGGCTCCAAGTATCGTAATTTTCTTTGTTTAAAGGTTCTATATTGCGGAAACTCGAGGCAGATGGCATTTTATTATTAACCACGCTCTGCTACCAATTTTTGAGGGTTTTTGGGTAAAACAGCATCTAAGTTGAATATAATTTTTATTTGATATATGTCTACAAAAGCAATCTGATAGGAATAATAGAAGACAGGAAACAAAGCAATATCGTTGACACATAACTTTCCATCGAGTGTACCGTGCCAGTACTGACAGTGGTTGATAATAAATGTTTTTCTTTCTTTTTCTTTTATATAATTGACAGCGTATAATCTAGGACCTAGTTAGTAGATATGTCTATGGCTTTTCATTTAGAAGCTATTATTATCATATAGCTTCTTAATGAAACGTGAGCTTAGACAGAGAGTTCATGTTTTTGGTCTCTTTTGTTGCAATTATCGTAAACATAAACTTCACATTTATAAAGAAATAACCAAACTATGGAATGTTTGGAACACCAGAAACATTGTGAATGTCGACGTTAGGTATCAAATCTGACTACTTTTTACTCTTACTACTCGTAACACTGTTATTATATTCCACCACTATACAAGACACTTTTTATCAAATGCGAGCATATAAAAATAGTGTCCATGGCAATATCTAAAATGCACAAAAAAGTAACTATGTAACTACAATAATTTTTGGATTTTATTAAAGAGTGATAATGAAATGTACTCGTACAAGCACCATTTGATTATCATCCCTTAATAAAATCTAATGGTTAATGGTTTACGCTGGGGAGAAGATTGCAGTGACGGGCACTAATGGCCTTATATACTGATTATATAAGGCCATTAGTGGAAAGTTCATTATCGACACCCAGGAGAACAGTTCATTATTGACGGTCTCAAAACCCCACGGCATTCCTCTCCAGCACATAATGCAGGAGTCACGGGGCCGCTGACTTTTTAACCATTGCTATCGTGGACACCTTAGTTGAGATTCACCCGAATACGAAATGCGTATGACGACTCCTTTTGTGTGGAGGGCAGACTAAAACCCCTAAGACTCCCAGCACAGAGCACCACCCTTTCCGCACGTGTTTCTATAACGGAGTCACGGCAGTAGCGGTCCTCCACATGATGCTCGATGACCGGTATGGGTCACACAGAAAAGAAAACCCACACCACCGCCAAACTCGACGGCGTCAGGACACTTAGTTCATTGTTACTAATTCACTGGTAATTTATCACTGCGATTGTCAGGGAGAGACCCGTCGAGATGAACTTGACAGGATACATTGCTAGCAATGGGATCGTTAGTCCATATTACTCACAATCCCCCTCCTTTCAGAGAGCTGTTCCTGGTGAATGTTTTTACGAGCATGAGCGATACGACAAAGGTCGCCCGAATGGTACTCTAGGGACTAACTGACTTTCATTCTTATCATCACAGACGCCAGCGTATATCGTTAACACAGGTGGGTATGCCACTCAATTATCACAAATAATTAAAAAACTACAATAACTAAGAACGTATAACAATAAGGTACTACAGGTGCTGTATTAGTTACTTCGTTCTCTTCTCTGTAGTTCATTAATTGCTCTGTGTACTAAACCAAATAGTTACGGTGTATATGTAATTTATTGACATAAAAATTAAAATGTAGTTTATTTATTAATTCATCAAAGAAAAAGTCAAAATAATTTGCAAAACCTACATTGTCACAATTACATATAAAATAGTATTATGTTGTTTGGTTCACCGAGAATGTTTTTGTAACAAGTGTTACGTAGTGTTTAAAAATGGTATACGAATCTCTACCACGCACGGTTCGTATCCTTTTGCTTGGTGAACCTGGAGTAGGAAAAACTTCCTTAATTCTTTCTTTAGTGACAGAAGAATTCACTGACCATGTTCCACCGAAAGCTGAAGAGATTACGATACCCGCCGATGTTACACCTGAGCAAGTACCTACTAACATTGTAGATGTTTGTGGTATGTATCAATCTTATTTTATTTTGATCATGAAACCTCAGTCACTTAGAACATCCTAAAGAGTCCTGTCATGTATTATTACTCTTGTTATCATATAATACATATCTAAATCTAAAGAGTTACAAAATCTAGAAACAGCAAATTGAATGTTACCTGATACATTGTTACCATAATTTCAACATTAGTTTGAGTTTTCTCAGTCATATGTTTTTTGAAGAATGTAAAGCCAAAATCTTGTTTTACTGATGATAATATTACAGCTACTGTTTTCTAAAATCTTACACTCACAGAGAAAGTTAGATAAAAGTTTGTATGCAATCAGGAGTATTATGAAAATGGCAATGATTATAGAGCTTCAGGTAAATTTATTGCACAAATAAAGTATTATACATTACATTATTATGTTTTTGTAAAATAATTTTGTTATTATTTGCAGTTGCTGAACAGTCCTTAGTACAAGTTGGAGAAGAAATAGAAAAGGCACATGTGATATGCATAATTTTTTCAGTAGATCGTAAAGAGACCCTGAGCAAAATAGCATCATATTGGTTGCCATTTGTGAGAGACAACTGCCCAAATGATTACAGAAAACCTGTTATTCTTGTTGGAAACAAGATAGACTTGATTGATTATTCTGTAATTGATGTAAGTTATTTATTTTTGTAATATAAAATTCTGTTGATATGTTTTCGAGTAATATTTATTTATGCATTCAACCCACACTCATTTTTTCCTTACTTAATTATCATTGGAAATACATCTTATTGCTTAGAGTTGGCATAGCCTTCTATAAGTAACTAAATATTTGGACTCTGTTCTGACAGGTGCTGTCTATTATTATTGTTACAGAATATCTGGGATATAGCAGAGGAGTATCCAGAAGTGGATAGGTGTATAGAATGCTCGGCGAAAACACTTGCTAATGTATCGGAAATGTTTTATAATGCACAAAAAGCTGTACTACATCCTATATGCCCAATATATTGTATTGAAGAACAAGAGGTAAGCTGTTTAAAATTGGAGATAAGTAATTTGAAATTTACTACACATGTGAATAGTTAAATGTCACCTTATTATCCTGCATTACTGCAATGCTGAAAAGAATTAGGGCAGGAGGAAGCACTTTATAATAAAAAAAATGTATGATAGGACTTATAAGAAACATATAAGTAGTCTAAATATTTTATTATTTAAATTTGATAATAGAAAAAAAATTGCAGTTGACAGAGAAATGTAAGAAAGCCCTCACAAGAATATTCAAAATCTGTGATTTGGATGGAGATGGCCTGCTGGATGATTACGAAGTAACAATATTTCAAAGAAAATGTTTTGATACACCTTTGCAATTACAGGTAATCTATTTATTTATACTTTTGTATACACATAATAGTAATGGCCTCAACAAAAATGTTATGGACAAACTTTCATACTCGGACTGATTACTGAACCAAATGTTTCAAAAACAATATTATCCAATTTTTTTTATTTAATTAGCCTCAAACCAAATCCATCCGTTTCAATCTGTCTGTTTGATGTCTAGTCATGATTAAACACTGAAGTGATCTTATTGAAATTTGATGTAGACAGTGTGTGGTGTTTGTTTGACTAGAGCAACATGGCATTCTTTTGTTTAAATAGCAAAGGAATGTGGTAACTGACAGGTAATGGCTAGTATAGCTAAAAGATAGCATAATTAGCAAATTGAAACCTTCAAGAAAAAAGCTTATACCTTCTTAAGAGGCTGGCAACACACGGATTGCGGGGATGTTCATGGGTGGTGGCAATCACTTACCCATCTGATTGTCGTAAGCTCGTTTATTTCCTATGCTATGTAAATATATATTAATAAAAAAAACTAACTTTGAATTTGAAGTGTTTTCTATGATTTCTCAAAAGCGTGGTATTTGTAAAAACTCTTCATCAGCCATTATTTCATATTTTTCAGAAAAATTAAATATATGGAAAGAAGAAAATTTCTTAAATTAAATCTGATTCTAACTTGTAATTAAGTGAGATATTATAATTGCGCTTATTATTTTGCTCTAGGTTTTAGATGAAGTGAAATCAGTAATTGCCCAGAACATAGGTGGTGGAATTGAAAATGATTGTATAACAGTAAAGGGTTTTATTTTTTTACATTGCTTGTTTATACAAAGAGGAAGAAATGAGACTACATGGACAGTGCTTCGTAAATTTGGATATGATGAGAGTTTAGAGTTGACTCATACTTATTTATATGCCAAGTAAGCTAATATCATTGCTATCTATTATTATGAATGACTAGCTGACACAATTTGCAACTTTTTTCAATGCAGCTCCATTCCTGTTGTTTGTAGCATGATGCTATATAGCCTATAACCTTTCTTAATAAATGGGCTAACCAACACAGAAAACTTTTCAACTTTAGTTTAGTAGATCCAGAGATACAACATCACAAACTTTACCTCTTCATAATGTAATCATAGATGTTTTAATAAAATCAGTATAATCAACCTTGACCAAAAGGCCTCATTTCAAAGACAAAAATAGATATTTTAGACGTTTGTTATTTGATATGAACAATAATCATCACAAATAACATAATATTTTTTTTGTTTACAGTATAAAAGTACCTGTAGGATCTACATCTGAACTATCATATAAGGGGCAGCAATTTCTGACACAGCTCTTTGAAAAATACGATAAAGATAAAGATGGAATGTTAAATCCAACAGAATTAAAAAATGTGTTCTCATATTGCCCACGGATTCCTTGGCACAATTTACGGTACACAGTTCCAACTAATGAAAAGGTAAATAAAATTTATAACTATCACTAATATCATAGATTGGTTATTAAACCAAGTATTAAGTATCTGCTTGTATCTTTTATGGATGAATGTAGAAATGCATTATTAGAATTTCAATGGTTTTCATAGGAAAGCTTGACATGAAAGAATATATATAAGTGCAACCATGAGTCACCATTCCTTGAATAACTATCTCCATATTTTATTTATTGGTATTGACATGAGAAGATTGACATTCAAAGTATATAATTTTATTACTGTTTCTATTACAGGGTTATTTAACGCTGCAAGGTTGGATGTGTCGATGGACCTTAATGACTTTAATGGACTTGCAAAACACTAGTGCCTATTTAGCCTATTTGGGGTTTAATTTTCTTGAAAATGAATCACAAAAAGCAGCAATACATAGTAAATATTAAACATTATTTTTTTAGGTTGCAATTGTACAAAATCACTCAATAAATATTGGAAGCATCAGTGGACTCAGATAGATAGATGCATCTATCAGATATAAAAGTAGTTTATTGCAGAAAGCACAGATTGCTATGATACTGAATTTAAACACAAGAGGAAGAGAAAAAAATTTATTGAAGCTTTCAATGTATTTTCATAATGTTGTAACTCAGTTACTCATGTTAATTGGGTCTAATACAGGAATAGTAATTATATTATAGACGAATGTTTATTCAAGTATACATAAAACCACTTACCCAGTTTACTACTAATATCTGTTACAATGCCAACAAAATTTTTAGATAGTACATAAAACAGATGAAGAAATAGTTAAAAAAAAATTTTGTTTTTATTTTGCAGTAACACGCGAGAAAAAAGTGGACATTGCCAAAAAACAATCTAGTCGCAACGTTTACCAGTGTCACGTTATCGGCCCAAGGTCGTGTGGGAAGACGTCTATTTGTAGAAGTTTCCTCGGTATTGCTCATAAGGTCTGAATAATAATATTTTGACTGAATAAGACAACAAACAATATAAGACAATAAACTTATTTTATTTTAACGTTTAGGAACATACAAAATTACTGTAACATAATCATGTAATCCTAAGTCGCGAGTGTACTGCTGAACCGATTTTAATCAAATTTGGCATAAAAATAGACAATCACAAGGATGGGCATAGGGTGTCTTTAATTTCAGAAAGGAAACAAATTAACAGAAACCATGCATTAGCTAATGCTGTAATGTTATACTAAAATCCTATATCTTAGAACAAAGCTTATATACCTACATACATAATCTATAATCATTTTTGTAACAGAAAATAAAGCCCCATGCCAACGAGCGTGGCGACAGTAACCTCATAGAGAATTGCTGTATAAACACAGTGCTGGTGTACGGGCAGGAGAAGTATCTGGTACTGAAGGAGATTCCCATCACTCGCGTTTCGGATCCATTGCAGCCCCATGAGGTGAACTGTGACGTCGCTTGTCTCGTGTATGATGTCGCTGCCTCCCGTTCCTTCGAATATATTGCAAGAATATACATAGTATGTAATCATAGCCCTAAAAAAGTATAGAGTATATTATTTCTCGTCTATTTGTTAAATTCTTTAGTTACTTCAGCCATAGATAGAAGATTAATAAAATTTAGGTACAGTTTGTAAGAAACATCGTGACATGTAATTATGTTTTATAAATATGATAAAAATTATGATACAATAAGTTTGATGTCTGTAGGTGGTAATGATAATCAAGCATAGTTAATAATGATTAATTTTTTTCTTATAATTACTCTAATATTTAATTTGTTTTTCTAAATCTATTAGTGTAAAATTATAGCATGGATAAAGTAACAGATGTGAGCTGTAAACGATTATAATATGGAATCTATCTCAAAAATGATGATATACAATAAATTCATAATCTGAGACTAGAAGTGGTACTGAAACTTATGCTTTTATCATATCTTTTCCATTAGTTGCTTTGAGCAAGTGCCATACAGTTCTACATGCACTGTCTAACGTTCTAATTGAGTATTGTCCTTCTACGATTTAATAAAAAAAAAAGAATAGTCCCCTGTTTCTTTTCTTTCAGAAATATTTCGCAGAGAGTCACATTCCTGTACTGATAGTGGGCACAAAAGGAGACGCATTAATTGCTCGGCAGGAGTATATGTTGCAGCCTGAGGTTTTCTGCAACAAGTATCAATTACTTGCACCCCAATTGTTCAACATCAAAGAAAACAAACACGACGTGTTTATGAAACTAGCCACCATGGCAGCATTTCCGTAAGTATAATATTTTCGTCCATCATAATTATACTATATATATACTACTTTATTTTAGACATTCTTTCACAAAAATTATTATATTCTTAGTTTATTTATTAAAATACAATATGCAAATATGGATTATAAAAATATTATTAGTCTATTTTTATTTCTTAATGTCATACGAAAATTAAATTTACAATATAGTGTTTTTACTATAAATGAACAAAGTGTATATAGTGTTTAGAAACCATATAGGTACCACTCACTCAGTGATGCGTTTGCAATAACTACATAATAGTATTTAAAATGTATTTTAAATTTATTGCTTGATAATTAAAATTGCTAAAGTAACAGTATTTAAATACTGTTATTTTAATTGTCTTTGTCAGTCAATTTCAAGCTGCTTGGATTTTATTCAGCAAGCACAGGTGAGTAACGTCATTATGTACCTATATTTAAGTTTATGAAACACTGGACACTTGATTAACATTTTGAGAATTTACTAACCATACCTAAGACAGTAATGTGGTCTGATCCGAGTTTCAGTACAGTGCAGATCTGTGTTCAACTTCATTATACATAAGGTACACTGGTGCTTATCTCTTATAACCATCGGCCATCATATCAATGATAAAAATCAAATACTAGTCTGACAACTCTCAACAGTTCTTGATGATAGTATTTTAAAGCATAAAATGTAGTGCTTTACTCAATATTCATATATCATTACATATATAATGTCATTACCACAATGAAATGGCTGCAAACTGAAACAGCTGCTTGGCCACCAAGTTACCCACGCCATTGACTTTGTAATACAGTTTTCCTTTTTTTATATGACAGAAGTGAGTCTACTTATGTCTCGGATAAATTAATGTGTTGTTGTTTACCATCATAAAATAGCTGAACAGATATGAATAAATTCATCAAATAATTTTATGTATTGGTCTCTTGACAAGTATCGATATCTTGTTCTTGCGACTAGCGAACTACTAGATGACGAATAACATTTATATTCCAATAACTCTAAATATTTTGCAGACATTTGAAGCACTTCACGAGTTTGACCGGCGAGAACTCCTCATGGTGGAAAGCTGGCATCGGAGTCGCAGCAGCCACGGTCATGGGATTCCTTATCATCAAAATTTTTAGCTTCCAGAGACGATAAATAATATCTACGCCTATTTTGCTACTGTACATAAACTGGTTGTATTAAAAATAGTATTAATTCTCAATTATTGCAAGGGAATAGTTTCAAGGGAATTAGTAATATAGACCAAAGAGATATGATAAAATGGATAGATATATGATTTGTTTCAGTTTTAAATAAAATGCATCAATGTAATAATTTTGTTTCAATTAATAGTCATCAGTTAAACTGCATTACATTTTACATCACCGCTTTTTATCCCGCGACTCATTTTAAAGTCATGAGTTTCGGATTTCGTCTGGTAATAACCCGGCCAAAATTGCAATATATGTATGGTTGGCGAGCACGCATTACAGGCATCCATCGATAAATTATGTCACGGTAAGGGGGAGAAGGGGGTTGACATACATAAGACGTGTGACATGGAGTGAAAGGGATCCTAAATTTCGTAGTCACATTTCAAAATCTACGATTATGTCACGGTAAGGGGGAGAAGAGGGTTGACATACATGAGACGTGTCACATGGAGTGAAAGGGATCGTAAGTCAATTTACGAAATGTTAACTATTGCAGCAATATTTAAGGCGACGCATCGCAAATATTGACCTCAGATACCTTAATTTTTCTCAGCAATTACAAACCCTTTGAGGCTGATATTTAGGTATTTCATTTTTCAGATGTTTGACATCATATTGACAGTTCTCGTTACATGATTGATTAACTTTTGTAGCAGAGAAAAAAATCTCAAAGATTGGTCTTATAAAATATATTTTTGATTTGTATAAGAAAACGGGACTGATTTAAGACCCGAATTTTCCAATATACATTATACTAAATACACACATAAATAGTGTATAATACCGATGTATATAATAATCAATAGTTTTTAATTAACAAGATAAACTGTTTATCCGCACAAAATCTCTTGCTCACAAGTTGTTTTGTATGAGAGTTAGACCAAGTCAATCAGTCCCCGGCCCCTGCCAACGTCGGACCTGTGCTTAGCGCGGATAGCCCGCCTGAGAACGCGCGCTATCAAATCGTAAATTATTTCGTCATACTATACTGCGTACGCTATAGTATGGTGCGGGTGACAGCTACTGATTTTACATTAAACAATTACTGTATTCTAGTTAATACAGTTAGTAATGATTTATTATACATATTACGAATGTAATACTAAGTCATAATTTGTAAATCGTGTCAACTTTGAAAGAGTGAAACGAAACATTTATGAAATTCATCCGTACCATACTACAACGCACATGGTAGTGAAAATTAATTGTTAAAAATGAAAAAAAACTTTTGTTATTTTTAAAAAGAAAGCTTATTTGAGTATTATTATCTTATGTAAAGAAATGGTAAGAAAATATAAACAAATTTTACATTATTTTTATGTCGTAGTTATTTATAAATAAAAATGGGGCACTCCTATTATCTATATATATAAATAAAATTAGAGAGTTTGTTGGTAACATTAAAATAACAGTTTTTTACTACATGCGCATAAATATAAATACGTTACATACACCAAAATAACATTTTTTACCAATTTTGTCTGTCCCTCTGTTTGTTTGTTCCGGCTAATCTCTGAAATAGTTACACCGATTTTGCCGGGACTTTTTTTGGCAGCTAGCTGATGTAATAAGGAGTAACTTAGGCTACTTTTATTAAAAAAAAATAAAGTTATACTTCACGAGGGCAAAGTCGCGGGTGCAGCTAGTTACTTATTAAAATCCAATTATTTTTTACGTACAATTGTCTTCTCTTATATATGTACCTAGTACGAAATGTGGATTGTAAATAAACTACCAAATTATATTATTTTATTCCCTAATGTTTAAAAATATTTTATCAAATTTATTTTATTTTATTTTACACAATACAGATATTTCTAAATTGCAGTAATTGTGTTATTCTGGTATACTCGTATGACTTACATTACTGTACAGTTACGTCAAATATGTATGCGTGAAAAATCAACATTATAAATAGGGTGACCAGGCGTCCGGATAAAGCCGGTCATACATATATCTAAAATCGGTATCTGGCTAAAATAAATAGTCTTGTACGTCGTTTGGTAGGCTTTTACATTACTTTTATTGTAAAACTAATTTTATTTTTTATTTGTTAACTCAAGAACTTTTGTTTTGCTTCGATGTTGTTTTATTTCGTTTATTTATTTATTTATTTATTCTTTTGCACACAAAAATGTATACATGGTGGACTTAATGCCTGATGGCATTCTCTACCAGTCAACCTTTTACGTTACTTGCTGAAGTAACAGGTACAGGTAAATAAAACTAATTTATGCAATTACCTTTCATTAGACGTTAAGAAGAATTTTAAAATGTTGATAACTGTTTATCTAGAACAGGGGTGAGCAACCTTTTTCATCAATGGACCAATTTAAATTTTAAATATTTTGACGGGTCGCACCTAAAGTTATTAATAAATAATAATTTACAAAACTTTATTTGTACTTACTTACTTTCTTATTCTTATTCTTAATAAATATTTACATGCAATTTTCTTCTCGTACCTAATAATATTGAGACACAAAACCCTCAATAATGTAGGGTATCCGGCCTTTTTATCAATATGTCCCGCCAAACTGGATGGTTAGTCCGGCTATTAGGATTGGCGATGTGACAACCCTACACCCAAAGAAAGAATCGACTGACTCATTATAACAAAGTAAAATCGTGGAGTCGTCTATGAATTTATACAAAAATTAAATATTGCTGTCAAGTAATGTAATCATTTAGTTACACTTTTTACATTTTTTTTAAACTATATATGAATAAATGTTATACGTAGTAATACTAATAATATATAATATTGATTCCAAAATAAAGTATTCTTTTCTCAATGTTACTACACATTTAGTGTAATCAAAAAACTTATTGATTGTCAATAATTTCACAAAAATATTATTTAATTAATCATTGTTGTCTGTCCGACTATATGTTGGAGTATCAAATAAAAGTTTGTGACATATTTTCAACTTTATTTTTCCCAATAAGTACTTTTTATCTGTAATAAGTCTAGGTGAGCACTTGTCTTTGTGGCTATGGAAAGCAAAACAAAGTAATGGTGAAATATTTGGCTTCGATTATACAGGCTGTCCCAGAACTCAATATCAAGCAGTGACAGGATTGATTGAACCATCATGAGAAAAATCAGAAAAAATTCTATCCCATGCAGTTTGAAAATTAGGGGCATTAAAGAAAAACTTAGAAATTTGGTCAAACTATAACCATTATTCGGTCATTGTGGTTAATTTTTATTAGTTTTGTTCATTTAAACTTTGGAACCATAAACCCAAATAACATTTCTAGAATCACAGTAAATAATAATGACACAATTGCCTCAAATTTTCTAGAATTAAGACTATTTGTTAAACTATGAATTTAAATTTCATAATTTGTCGAGTTTGAAAGGCCCTCTTAAAAAAATGTACTAAAGTGCCTTGGCAAGTACCATTAAAAGTTCGGACATTTAATCAGGATTGTAAATGTATAATACTTGTTAGTTTCATACTAAAAAAACGAGAAAAAAATCTCAAGTAACCCGATTTTTGCTAACCCATTTTACTCCGTTCAAATGTTTCTTATTCACACAAGCTTATAGTAGTAGGTTCTTAATTTTACGGCAAGAGAAATGTGTAGTGGACATGTTGTCGTGAGTGAGCGAGACAGATGTGCCACGCAGTGAGACGGAGTGATGAGTATGAAATTTCGCGTACTTATAGTTTATACAGAGAAGGTTTGCCGAATAGTCATATTTTTTTTATTTAAATTATGCATAAAAATATAAATAATCATGTTCAAACTTATAATTATTCTAAATAATTATAAGTTTGAACATGATTGAACATATTATACTTAAAAATTTCATTTGTATGAAGTTAATAGATCTTTTATGATTAGGTTGTAATTGTTCACGTCCTTTTTACATGTAATTAAAACTTATTATTATAACAATTTTTAAATTACTGTAAAAGTTTTACTATATTGTCATAAAGTGTATATCTTTACGTACTTTACTTACACATACTTTCTAAAACAAAGAAATAATGTTCACTACGCGTATCAAATAAATAAAATTAAAGTTACTAGTTATTGCTAAATTTAGGTTTATTGTATCAAATATATAATATATATAGATTTTTTAATTGATATACATATCATTCACAGAAACACAGACTTAGGTACTGTCTCTTTTATAAAGTAACTAACCTTCGTATATTTTCACATTTCATTTAACGTAAGTAAGTTAATGTAGTATACATTAAAATATCTAGCTGTTTCAAAAAAATGTCGGCAAATAAATAAACATCGTAATTACCAATTACAATATATACGGAAAACACAAAGATTGTTCTTTGGTGTTTCTTTCAAAGATAGTAATAAAAGCACTATTTTAGGTTAATTATAATCACGAGAATATGTAACTCTACCTCAATATTTCTATTTAATTCTTTACTTTAAGAATCTTTTTAATTAATTCGTATCGTAGTTAGTTCCACTTAGGGTTCATGATTTCTCGAGCTTTTCAATTTCTCGGGTCTCGAGAATTCTCGAGGTCAATTTCTCGGGTTGGCGAGAAATTTACATTTACGTACGTTTTCTTATATTATTTGGTTCTAATAACGTCAAAAAATTCAGTGGTTTCTCTCTCAAATAAAAGTATCAAATTAAACTTTTATTGAGTATATTTAAAAACATTAATATTAGGACCTTACATATGAAATTGGCGTTTTGTCGTAATGTCCACTTTGATCTCAAATATCTCCTATTTGGTTAGGAATTCCATTTCCAAATTTATACAGCTATTCACTTTGGGTCACTCACAGCATACAAAATGAAAAACTTAAAATATCGCGTTATTTACGAGTACGAGTTCCGCTGTGGCACCAGTGCTACACGGCTCGAAGTATTAATGATGTGTATGGAAGTGGTCTCGCAAAAGAAAACACGTGCATTTTTGGTTCCAACGTTTTCGTTCTGGAAATATCGACCTGCAAAGCAATCTCCGTGGGCGGCCCGAATCCTAGGTTGATAATGAAGAATTGAAGGCTATTGTGGAAGCGGATCCATCGCAAACCCGTCCGAGTTAGCTGCAGGCTGCGGTGTTATTGACAAAACTGTTTTAATCCTTTAGCAAATTGGGAAGGTAAAAAAGCTTGAAAAGTAGGTCCCTCATGAATTCAATAGAGTAAATCGACAAACGCGCGTAGCTTGCTGCGTTACATTAATCAACAGGCATAATAATGAAGGGATTTTAAATCAAATAATTTCCTGTGATGGAAAGTGGATCTTGTACGATAATTGGAAACACTCATTGCAATGGCTAAACCCTGGCGAACCAACCAAATCCTGCCCCAAGCGAAAATTGGCTCAAAAAATGTTACTTGTGAACGTTTGGTGGACTATTTCCGGCGTTGTTCACTTCAGCTTTCTTAAATCTGGCCAGACGATTATGGCAAATGTGTATTGTCAGCAATTGAGAAACCATGATGGAAAAGCTAGCTGCTAAACAACCGAGGCTGGTCAATCGCCAAGAACGCTTGACCACATGACTGCACAACAGACTGTTACCAAATTAGAAGAGCTTCAATTGGAATGTCTAAGACAACCACCGTACTTCCCGGACCTTGCTCCAACAGATTACCATTTTTTTCAAAATTTGGATAACTTCTTGCAAGGGAAAAAATTAAACTCCTAATTATTCAGACTTATTTATAATGACAGCACCATTTTTGGCTGCTTATTTAAAAAAAAAAAACAACGTAAACAAAAATAGTTTCTACAAAATAAAAAAATAACATGAAAGAAAACAAAAACGTTAATATCTTAAATTAGTGTGCCGCCACGCAACAAAACAAAGGGCAATTTAATTTCTATATAGGTACATGATTTCTCGAGTTCTCGACTTTTCTCGAGCTTGATTTCCCGGGAACAAAACCCATGAATTTCCCGGGAATGAACCCTAGTTCCACTGTATTGTAAATTCTAAAATATCAATGTGCCTTCATAAATATAAATTATATAAACAAACAGGAAGACTTCGTAATAGTTTTGTTCAATTGGGGACCGAAGCTTCGTCCACCTGTTTCACGCGTTACATTGCGACACGGACGCGTGTTCGTGATATCGTGGTATGGGGAGAGCGGGCGAGCACTGGCGGTTGATCGGCGACACGTAAAACTATCGGGGTGCATGAGGTGCGCAGAGCGCGGGGCCTGATTTTGAAGTAATAGTTTATCACGGCGTCGCCTTAAAACTATTTGTATAAACACAAGGTTCAAAATGTAGACAACAATAATACAAACCGCTCTCTTGAAATTCACCTTCAAGCTGGAAATCGGGTGGAGTTGCGGTGTGCTGTAAACGTTTGCCACTGTTTTATAGTGGAAAGTCGTTTGCGAGAAATACCAGAGGTATAATATACCGATATACCTGATATCGAGAGTCGGGGGTCACGTACATACATAATGTTATTTAGGATTAATATTTCAAGCAGCACCGCACACAGCACAGCAAACAAATGGCCCGAAAGGCGAGTACGTGTGGGTAGACGCGTCCACAATTGAAAAAATGGTCACAATAAAGAGATGGGGCCTGACCGACAGTAGTTATGCTAACGTGACCTCGTCGCGTTAGTAGGCACACCGTGTGGTCTTTTAGTGGTCGGTCGAGAGGACGTTCTTTAAGATTTTTCAAAGCTATAAGAAAAAATAAAGGGTCAGTGTTTTGAATATTGAAACCAAATATTATTTCTTTACATTTATTTAAAATGCATTTCACTTATTGTAATAAATTACATTATTGGCCTTAAAGTCGAAAATTAAACCTCCCTGGTAGGGACTCTCATATTGTCAGAACAACCATACCACATAATCGTAACACTCACACAATAATCTAATGCGGAAGAAATAAAATAAATGTTTTACGTGTATACTAATATACGGATAGTAAATTTCTACGCAGTTACTTATATTTTTTTATAGTTATACACACCAGACATTTACTAATTAATGCTCGAAACAGGAACTCCGCAAAAGATGAGAACTTCTAACATTAGTCTATGTTATACTTTGAGATTATAAATCTATTAATAAACAACATGACTTATGATTTTACACTTACAGTACACTGCTATATCTTAAAAATGTAGACCATAAATATCATGTGATATATTGTCGAATTTATAAAAAAAAGAAACTATTTATTACTAAACAACAACTGAATCAATGGGAGTTGAAAGTCAATAATACACATTTAATTGGTAACATCAAAGTTACATTATATTAATATGGTCTTTGGCGGTCCCTTCCACTGAAACAAAGAAAATAAAAGGGTTCAAATAAAATTAACAGATTACAGAGTCACACGATAATTAGCTAGTTTTATAAACAAGGTCTGTATTATAAATGAAATGAGTATTAGGTATAAATGGAAAACTTAATTTTAACGTCACTTGCTTATTTAACATATTCTATATAGGTTATAGTGGAGTTCTGGCTCTAGTAGGTATAAGTTATACTATAATCAATCCAGATAGCGCCATCTAGTCCCACGCTTAGCAAAGCATGTGTTATGGGTACTAGACAACCGATTAGACATACATAGATACATTTTTACATACATAACACCCAGATACCAATGCAAATGATATACAAACAATCATACTAAAAAATACAATGTTTGTTACACTGTATGAAGAATCGAAACTAAAGTGGTCTACTAAACCTCTAGACACCGAACCAGAAATGATATATATAATGCAACCTGCAAATTATAATATAATTTAATCGGGTTTTACTAAAAGCTATATTAATAATAATGAACATTTCTTATATATAAAAAATAAAGGGGCTTGATGTGTTTTTTTAGTTAATTAATTTTTTGCCTTTTTCAGCAAAGGACGTCTTCCGGGCTGAGATGATAATGATGAATTAATAATCAATAAGATTTATAAATCTTGTAATTAATATAACAATAGTCTATATCCTAAGTTATACATGTAATGTTAATGACGTCCAATGAACTTTACTTAAATAAAGTTACAGACTGTTTATGACTAAGAGACAAAAATTTGCAATGCTTTAACTAAATTTAAAATCTTATTTTAATATTATAAACGCGAAAGTTTGTGAGAATGGATGGAATAGATGGATGTTTGTTACTCTTTCATGCAGAAGCTACAGAACCAATTTTTATGAAACTTTTCAGTACTATTAACAGCTTTATACATCTGAATAACACATAGGCTATAAACTTCATGCGGGGGAAACCGCGGGCACAGATAGTAATATAGCGGTAACAGTAATATTTACCCGCCGTCATTCCTCATGGCACCACCACCACTGCTACCACGATCGCCGCCGCCGCCACCATAACTGCGTCGGTCGCCTCCTCTGTCACCGCCGCGATCACCACCGCCACCGCGGCCACCCCACCCGCCGCCGCCACCGCCTCGACCGCGACCTCCCCCACGGCCACCTCCGCCTCCTCCACGACCACCGCCGCCAGGAGCACCGCCACCGCCACCGCCGCCTCCGCCGCCGCCACCGCCTGGCTTCTCTTCATTGCATCTATTACACGCTTTTCTCCATGAGAAATTGGTATTTCCGCAGCTAGGATTTGGACATCTCCAATCACCCTCTCGGTTGCCCGACGGCGGGCCGCCACCACCACCACCACCGCCGCCGCCGCCACCGCCTCCGCCGCCGCCGCCACCCCCGCGACCTCTGCCGCCTCCGCCTCCCCCGCGGCCACCTCGGAAACCACCGCCGCCGCCTCCTTTTCCACCTCCCCATGTATTTTGTCTTTGAGCGAGAGATACTTTTATAACTGCTCCATTAAAATCTTTTCCATCAAACCATTGGATGGCGGAACTGGCTGCATTTGAATCTTCATATGTGACAGTGGCTTCCCCTTTGGGTTGTCCTGTAGCTTTGTCTTTATACATCCAGACTTTTGGCCTTTGTGTTTTTTTATCAGTCTAAAAATAAATATACAACACCTATATTATTGGTTTTAACTAAAATTTTATATGTATAATTATTACACTTGTATCTCAATTAGATGTATTACCTTAATAATACCGATAGAGCCAAAATGTTGGCATAATTCGTCTTCCGTCGTAGAAGGATCCATGCCTTGAATGAAAACTGTATCTTCTTGTGTAATCATATCACCCCCACCTCGATCTCCTCCAAAACCTCCCCCGCCACCACCTAAATATAAACATTATGTTACTAAATAAAAAATACAAATAATGAAAACTAGTATTCGACTATGTATTATGTAGTAATTTTCTTCAATTATTATAAGCCGTTATAACATGTAATTTCTCAAAGGCCTTTCAAACATAAAACTATGAATAGTATAAGCCTACAACAACAGTACAAACTATTTATCAATATAAATATAATGTTTGTATAAGATTTCACGCAATGTTTACCCAATGTAAACCATTAATAAAATCTATGACAGCCGTTACCCAACATTATAAACCTCATGAAAATAGTAGTCGACTTCTTCCGTATATAGACTGGTATAGAAACAAATGTATGTAACATTTTACAGTCGAATAAACTAATCCTTTGCGTTTATATAAATAAATATATCATTATACAAATATACAGCTTTTTTGAGAAATTTCACTTCAATCCTCTGATGTGGTCGGTCGGTTAGTCTGCCTGTATATGAATTATAATATTGAGTTATTATTTTATGTGTCATTATGAAAGCAGTACTCGTCACTCACTATAAAAAAATCTTTGACATCAAGTAATCAATCATGACATGTGTAAAATTAATAAAGTAATAAGTAAATAAATATATATATATATATTGTTATTAACACACGAATATTATTTCTATATAGGCACATACAGTTATGATGTGTTGGTTTTATTATATTCAGTCTGTCTGTGTCTATCGTTACATCAGAGGATGCAGTGATTTCCTCGTAACTCTGTATATATATATATTAATAGATATATATAAATTATTACTACACAAGTACATATTTCTGTAAAACCATTTCTTTTTTAGAATATATGTAGTTTTATTTTTTCACCTTTATCATTATTTAAAATACGTCTTTACGGACGTAGATATATTTCATTCAAATATATTGAGGTTCGTAGATGGTCAAACAGTTTGAATCAAATGCTAAATGTCGACTTCATTTTGTCTGGGTCACGAGAAATGGATGTACAATGTTTGCTTGAGGCGTTCTTGATACTTGACATATTTGTTGCTTGACGTGTAAGATGTATTACCTCATTACTAATAGTAGTGATAATAACAGAAAGGATACAATATTATAAACCAGATAGAATACAGAACATATTAAAAATTCTGGATACAAAATCAATCACATATTTTGATGAAGGAACTTTACGTGATTACAGCGCCAGCGCGCCTCTACATTTGCCTACTTTATTCATGCCTTTTGAGCGTCTACAAACCTCTTACCATATATGTATAGTGCGAACCAGTATTGACACTACTAGTACTGTACAGTTAAATGTATGAAAATCATTCTACCCACAATTACATCCACGAAGAATAATAAACGTTTTATTAATACTTATAACCAAACCACAGGGCTGCCAAATAAAGTCATATACAGTGTTTCTGGTACTGTTTGAGCCATAATTCAAGAAGTTTATATTCATGAAGTATGTTAAATAGCAATATATATTATTAATAACTTCCTGTCCATGTGTATTTGCAAAAACCTTTAAATTTTGTACATCATAATAATATACATTATTTATTATATAGATATATAAAAAGTCACCAAACTAGATTAGTCATCATGAGTACAATCCACCTGACACCGAGACTCAGTACCAGGTACTCTGTATATTTGACAAATTGTCATGTGTTCTGACAATTGTAGCCTACTAACACTTAACGAGACTGCTGACAATTAATAAAATATTTTTGTCTACTTCGCAAAAGTATTTTTTATAACCAGTGTAAAGGAGTTGCCACAGGTCATTTTGTCCTTGAAGAGATGAAAGTATTTGATCCTTTTATGTAACCAATTTTACCAGGAGTCTTCTTATCTGGAAAGTATGTCTCTGACATTGGCGGTAGTAACAGTAAGTGAGTTATGTTCTTACGGCGAATCCTCTTGTTTCCCTTTACCAATCATAAAGTAATGTATAAAGTTTAACAGTATAATAATACCAGTTTCTAAGTTTGAATAACAGGTAAGTATAGCCCCTATGGTCAGAACTTAACAGTGACAAAAATTAATTAAATACATCATATATTACATACACTTTAAGAACAGCACATATAGAACCCCTTCCATAATTATTATTTCTCTAATACATTTCTGACGTCTATCAAAACTAAAATATAAATAAACACCTAGAATATCATAAAATGGAAGCGAAACCTTTAAAATTCCTACATATCATTTTGTCAACAGCCTAGTAGTGATATCGTTTATAGTACCCCTAACATAATTCACCCGATGCATTTTGGCAGCCCTTAAGTAAGATGAAATTAAAAATATGACAACAGCACCGTTCGCTCATCGCGAGGAGCTTTACCTTTATTAAAACCACCCCCCCTGCCGCCGCCACTAAAACAATAAGAACAGCGTTTAGTACACTGGGCGGGCTGGGGACACACTGTACGCAGCACGGTGATTGTTTCACAACTAGGTACACTTTACAAGTGACCTTAGTCCTTAGTGTTGAATCCTTTTCATTACCATTACGCAAATACCTTGATACCTTGAAAATCTTAGAACATTTTGTGTTGCAGTGATTAATCCACATATTGTAACATGCATGCTAACAATAATAGTGTAGCATTTTGTTCAAATAACATATTTAAATATTGCAGCAGATAATTATTGAAAAAGTGTTCATTAAAATTTATGAATAGTGTAGTGTAAATGTGTAGTGATAATAAAGTAACTGGGTTGGTAAATGTTATGTACTAAAATAAAAACTAAATAATTTTAATATGAACTTGAACAAACAAATACAATAAAATAGACTGTAACAATATGACTACATCAATGTTTGTATTCATATACATACATATAAGTGTTCTTAATATTGAAATAGAAATAATATGTTATACTGTGGTGTCCCTTTATGAAAAATGACAACAATTAGTATTGTGTAATGTCACAGTTTTTCATAATAAATATGAAATTTATATTGTTACTCTCCAAATTTTGATTACAAGTTTTGTAAAGTATTGAAGCAGGGTTATAAAAGCATTTTCAGTATAAATATAGAAACGTCTTCAAAGTACAGACAATTAATTAATATGTAACTCTTAACACAAAGTCTTTACTTATATTACAAAAATTACCATCATTGTACCATTGACATAAAATTAATGATATTTTCTGTAGTTACCACATATCAAGATTATTTCAGATCACCCATAGTTATAATATTTATTCCTAGAAAGAATTCATTTAAGACCTAGTAACATTTTCTATGACACGAAACAAGAAAGGAATATCCCCACACTTATACTTATCTAAATATACACTTATTATAATAGTAAACACCAAACCGATTATAAAAAAAAAAAAAGGAAGACAACAAAAATCGTAATCAGTGAAATGACGATGAGAATCATACTGATATCATCTCATGATAATATTCAATATCATCTCCAAAATTAATTACTTTTGATAAAATTAACTGCACAATTTAATGTAAAGAGAAGTTATCATATATTATTAATCTCATTTTATATTTATGTAGGTAGTATTTAATTTATGAATAAATATTGGTGAGTGAGGATATTCCTTTACCACCTTTATGGAAAATAGGAAATGTTTTCACTTATTTATTTTTATTCTTAGTTTAACCTTGATTAAATTTATGTAACAGCCCAAGGAAAATGAAGATTAAACAAATAATGATTTTTATACACCTAGAATGGATAGTAATTCCACAGTAACCATTGCTACTTCTGAAAAGTAAGTAAGTAGTTTTGCTTAATATATAATTTCTTGTAACGTCTTCAATTAAATTTTGATTTCTTAATATCTATTTTTATTTCAATTTCTTATAACAGATTCTGATCTCTTAGCATATTCCATATATAAATATTCCTTAGCATGCACCCTTACTGTTAAAAAATTTATATTAACATTATGTAAAATGTATATACCTTTATAGCAAATCAAGCTTATGTTTATTAGTTACCTCTACACACCATAATGATTTAACGAATTGTGAACTACAGTTTACACTTGGTATTATTATTATTACTGATGTGATGTCATTCAATCAGTGTCAGGAGTTCTGAAGAACAACAATGTAATAGAAGAAAACCATAAAAAATAATAATATGTAGAGTTATTTTCCAATATGATGTTTTTTTTTTCAATATTCTTTAGTACTTAATAGGGCAAAATAAAATTTCAAAACAGCTGAGACTACTGGTGGTCTTATTTTATTGTTGTTCAGTTGTTGACAAACAGATGGTAAGTTATATATATACCTTTCTTGTTTCTACTGATTTCCAATCCAGAAAAATAAAAGCATCTTTTAGCTTAGTAATGAAGAGTTTCCGAAATATAATGTCACACAGTCTTACACTTCTCTGATCACAGACAAATAATGTAACCATACTAAAACATATACTTTAACATTATGTTACACTGCTTACTAAGTCTTATAAATATACTTTAGTAGAAGTATTACCAAATTAGTTTAAATACTGGGATATTGATATTTGCTTTATATTAAGCATCTGGACTAATAAATAACATAATACTTAAAAGACCCAATAAATATGCTTACAAGAGAGATCCCAATAGGGGAAGTCAGAGACATTGTCAAGTCCTGAATTTGTAGCACACAATATTATATAACTTTGAATTCAAAGTGACAGGATCATAGGCTAGACAAATTGACTATAAGTTTTAGTGTCATTCTGATTCAATTTTGCATCACAACCTTTGAGATGTATAATTCTGCATGTAAACCGTTTAATGACATGATACCATAAATACCTAAGGGAAATAAATCTAATAGGGAAAGGAAATTTTTAATAGTGGTAGTTCAATTCCTAACCATTATAGTTAATTTCCATTACTTTTGTATTTGGACCAGTTAAACACTTACTGGTGCTATAACAGAGTCTACCAACATCAGAACAAATGAAATTACCTTTATACCTATTTAAAATAACAGATAAAAACACTAAGTATATGCACCTAGCTCAATAATTATAAACTAATTTATAGCATTTAATTTTACAATTTATTAATATATATGTAACTGTTATAGTACTGTCTGTAAAGAGTTATTAGAACACTAGTTATAAGTTTCAAAATTAATAAGGTTAACAGTAAAACTTTTTGTTTGTAAGGAAACAAGACACTTCATTGCTTTCAAAGATTATTATGTAAGTAATTTATACATTTCAAATCATAATATATATTCAGAATATATTTTTATGTTTAAAAACCTCCTTTTAAACATAGAAACATTAAATATATGAAAACATTGGCTATATATATAGTATATTCATTTTTATATCCCTTTAAGATATATTTAGGTACCAATTAAAGAATAATACATGTTAAAAATAAGTAAAAAGTGTGGTATTCATTATTACTAAATTTATGTCTTAAATTTTTGTATATATATCTCTTTAATCAAGGTTCTACTATAGAATCTGTAATATATGTTATCAAACAAGATATAAAACATGACACTCACCCATAGCCACCGTCTCTATTTCCCCCATCTCTATTATAGCTTCCTCTGTCGCCCCCATAGCTGGACCCCCCACGGTCTCCTCCCCCATAACTGGAACCTCCACGGTCACCCCCATAACTGGAGCCTCCACGATCACTACCATAGCCAGATCCACCACGGTCACTGCCATAGTTGGAGCCACCACGTTCCCCACCACTGTAGTTGCTGCTACTGCGGTCACCAGAGCCACCACTAGCATTGTAGTTGTTACCATTATTACGGTCATATCCACCACTACCATAATTGGAATTATAACTTTGACCATAATTACTGCTAGGTTGGCTACTTCCGTAAGAGTTTCCACCTAAAAACATATTGCAAATAAGCAAGTTACTTAGTGTACGAAATGAAATTCCGTGTAATTTTTATATAGTAAAATAACAATAATTTTTTATTCATAATTATTTCAAATTTTAGAATAACCTACAGAAAAAATTAATGACCCATTAATACTGTTGGAGAGTATTAATTGCATTAGTTAACTTTATACATTTATTATTTATATTATATATATGCTACTGTTAGTTCATTCAATGAACGATGTTTCCTAGGCCGATAGAACGGAATTATAAAAAATGAACCGGTAGACAATTATAACCTCACCTGAACTTTGCTGGCTACTCCATTCCTGGCCAGTATTTTGGCCAGCATAGTTACTTTGGCCGTATGTTCCTGATCCAGAACCATAATTATTACCATTATCCCCTGAAGCTACCTGAGGAGGTGGCATTGAATATTGCGCTTGAGAATAGCCGCTACCGCCATAGTCGCCTGAGGCGTACGCTGTAATTATTAAAACGTTATATTCAACAGAACAGCCAATAAAAGTATTTATTTGAAATAGATTATAGTACTTACGATCGCCCATTTTCGTCGAGATTTAGAACTTGATGATATAAACTACAAAACTATAATATAAAACGAAAATAAACGGTAACGTTGACAAAAGCGGTACACGCACACTAGGAAATGAAAACGGAACAGGAAATTTCACTAAAGGACGCACAAGATGGCGACCACGCACATAATGTCGCCAGTTCTAATGTTTCAATTACACGAAGCTGGGAATATAACAGGATCAACTAGAGGCAACGATAGCGGTATTTGAAAAAAAAATAAATGATGTGAGATACCTAAAATTATGAACAATGCTTTGCTTTTAATAATATTGCGACATTATTATGAAACATGAATATTTGGCTTCAGAAAAGTTCCCGTAAATTCGGGAGTTTTTGATAGTCACAGTTTTAATATGTTTTTTAGTCTATTCTATTTATCCTTTAAAGAAAGGCTAAGTGAATAGTGTCCATACATCCATGTCTGTTTGTCATAATAAATGACAGACGTCACTAGTCAAACGAAACCATAGAGCTTTTTTTTTTTCATATTCGTCCATCTCCTTTTCAGTGATGGAACAGGCAAAGATCCTTAGACCGTACAGCCTAGTCTACGTTGAAACTATAGAGCATAGGGATACAAATGTGAAAGAATTTATGACGAAATGTGTATAACATAGTGATTACTTGCCCAATGTAGTTTAGTTTGTTGACTGGTATTAAAGGTTTCATTTTTGTACAGAAAACAACCAAATTATTTCATTTATATCTCTCCAAAACATACACCTTCAGCTTATATAATTAAAAATAAAATTTTAAGGACTTAATTATCTACGCAAGTTTTGGCTCTGCCATATTAGTATCTACATATATTATTATATAGTTATAATGATATAATATATAAAATACGTCATTTATATTTCATAATTGTTTGATTATTACTAATGATACCATTTTTAGCAATGTGCCATGTCAGGTTGACCTCCGCGCGGTACCCCCTGGAAAGCATTTTAATAAATTCCCCTGGTGATTATGCTATGATTGGTTAACTGACCTGATCTCATGCTTATCTTATTATTATTCATTGGTGCCAGCATCAAGTGTTGCAGGTGGGAGGACCATTCCATTATCATAAATGTGTACTATAATATTGTTTTAAATTATAACATAATTTATTCTTTCACAAATTTATTTCACATCCATGGGAATATAACACAAAATATCTACTTACAGAGATAGCACATCAGATATTAATATCTGCTAGCTAAAAAAACAAATATGACCTGAAGTGTTGCTCTTATGACTAAAATGTAACCTATTTGGATACATTTTAATATAGGGAACAGAAGATGTTCTTTGTTGCTTACAAACTATGCTGTTAAATAAACATTATCTCAATGTTATAAGTATTTATTATTATATTATTTAGGTTTCCATGTAAATTGCAATTAATTTGATATAAAAGTCAGGTTTTTTTTGGACGATAATGTTATGGACAAATATTGTGTACAAATTTTCTAACAAACACACCGAAAAATATAAGACTATAACTTAGAATACAACTTCTTTTTAAATTTGGTTGAAAAGTTACTATTAACTTTACAATAATATAAATCATATAAAGTATTGGCGCCTTATGAGCATATCCAAAAAATACCTACACTAACATATACTTTAACTTAACACAACTTATTACGTTTTAGCTAAGTACTTACAGTTTTATAACATTACAGTATAATAGCAGTAATCAGTTCACACAAATATCATTTTAAGATATTTATTATTACGAGTATATATTGCGATGTTTTTACAAATTACTGAAGAGTACCTTGTGGAAGGTAGATATATCCGGTTCTACATTAGAATTGGTACTATACAGAGCAGGTTTCGTGCCGCTTCTGAAAACATATGATTAATATATATATATATATCAGACTAGAAGTTGCATATGAGGATTGGGATAATTTGTGCCCCATACACTACAATGAACCAGTTATATTATGAGCTCTATTAAACACGATGAGATAAATATTTCTAACAAATATCTTCTGCCATTGGTAGCATTACTATCACAACATAGTTTTCAAAAAATATCCATATGATATCCAAGTTAAGCTTGTAGGACTATTTCGAAACTTTGAGTAAATAAAACTTTATTTCATAGTATATATTTAGTTTGCATTATGGTTAGTCCAACAGCATCTAAAATTAAACAAGCAAGTTTTAAATTGATGCCAGCACTTTTATAACACAGTAGTTCTATAATATAACGCAGTGAAAGAGCAATGGCTGTAGAAAGACGCAACATATTTGTTGTGACTTTCATTTTATCTTAGGATACCATCATCATCATCATCGCAGCCCGGAAGACATCCACTGCTGGACATAGGCTTCCGCCAAAAATCTCCACGACGATCGGTCCTGCGCTGCTCGCAATGCCTTCCAGTGATCTTGACTAGATCATCGGTCCACCTTGCTGGAGGCCTTCTCATGCTGCGTCTTCCGCTTCGTGGTCGCCACTCGAGGACTTTTTTGCCCCAACGGCCATCTTTCCTACGAACTAAGTGCCCTGCCATGCCTGCATGCTAATGCATTGCCACTTCAGTGTCGCAATTGTTTGGGCTATGTCAGTCACTCTGGTTATTCTGCGGACCTCCTCATTTCTGATTCGATCACGCAGAGTAACTCCGAGCATAGCCCTCTGGGTGACTTTGAGCTTGTTCATGACGACCATTGTTAGCGACCATGTCTCTGTGCCGTAAGTCACCACTGACAACACACATTAGTCGTAAACCTTCTTCTTAAGACACTGCGGAACTTTGGACGAAAAGATATATCGGAGCTTCCCAAACGATGCCCATCCGAGTTGTATTCGACGATTGACCTCTTTCTCGAAATTGGACCTATCTAGCTGGATCTTAGGATACCATTATATGAATAACATATTCTCTTAAAACTGAGAAATTTATACTTAAACTTCAAGTTTCAGATTGAAAATCATACACTTGAATTCAGGACTTGAAACTATATCACGTTATTTGTGAGTGTGGTTATGAAGTATCAGTATCTTGTCGCACGTATCTATATCTAATGGTCACTATTGCTGATTATAGAATAGGCGTCTCTAATGTTATACTAGGCCAAAAATTGTGAAACAGTGCCTATACTGACCTTGATGGTATTGCGTGTGGGCGAGGTGTTACAAGAAGACAATTCATTGGCTGACCATCCAATTGTCGGTTATGATATAGGTCTACAGCTCTCTGCGCGTCATCCAGAGTTTTATAAATTACTTCTGCTGTACCAGGACGTACCAAACGTGATTCTACCATCCCTCCAACATCACCAAATAATTCCTAAGAGATTAATAACAAATCAATATAAAATTTTGAATTTGTATGCTAAAATTGTCTACTAAAAAATATTTCTATAACATTCAAGAAATACAATAGAAGTTCTAAACTTTTTGTGTAGTTGTTAAGACCGTATAGTAATATAATGTCGTATTTACATATTATTAACTTAACACAATTTTTTTTTAATATTACAACCAGGAAAATTATTTTTAAAATGTGTAAAATTAGAATTATGGGTCTGCCAGTTCATTTATGGTAACAGTAATCGCTTTAAGAGGTCATCCATAGACCACAGTCATATAGATAAACAATATAAAAAAATCAGCAACTTGTTTGACATAACTGTAATGAAATGAAATTTACTGCGTAAATTGGGGATGTAGTGTCTAAACTAGACTGAAGTGTATTTATAAACAAATCATAGTATCTCTATTCATGTAGGTCTATTACAAACTCTTATGATGAGTCAAATCTACCATCCATTAGAAGTGCTTTCGATCTAAGAACAACTGACTATATTTAGAATAATCTATGGGCTATGTACCACACCTACCTGTAAAATCATAAACTTGTGTGTCTATATTATTTTGATAAAACATTTTAATAATACATACTTCAATATCTCCTCCAGTAACAGTGTTTCGGAGGTTGCTAACTATTATTCTATATTCTAAAACAGGTTTTTCATTTTTCTCTGTAATCTTTTCATTTCTGAGAGCTGCCATTGGTCTCTTTTTAAGAATCGACGGAGGTCTAGGTGGACTTCTTTCTTTTTCTGATAACATAGTTCTGCAATATACATATATAGCATATATCATATTAATACCATATTTTACACCTAATTTGGGTTTTTGAAATACAATCTAAACCCATGGGGTGTCATGTATTTAAAAAAATAATAAATACATATGTATTAATATTATCAACAATGCCCGTTTATACTAAAGGACCTAATAAAGAAATCAACCAACTTAAGCAACAGCTATAAATATAATGAATGTAATTTTATTTTATCACTAAATTATTATTACTAATCCTTACTAATATTATAAATGCGAAAGTAACTGTCTGTCTGTCTGTTTCGCTTTCACGCCAAAACTACTGAACGGATTTAAATGAAGTACTATTTTAATAAGAGACTATCTGTGTACCAAATGGTACACAGATAGTCTAGACCCTGAGAAAGGACATAGGCTTTTTAATGCGAAAAAAGGAAGTCGCGGACTTAGACATTGGTAGGCCTTACGAGGTAATAAGTTTAGAAAAGCGGACATACATAAAGTAACATAATTATTAGTGATGATCGATATATAGTGGTTTCAGGTAAATTCCTGTAGAAATTAAACCCCGCCCCATGCGCCTAAAACTGAAAAATCGTTTGAAATAATTAATATCTCAAACCAAAACATACCGATGCATAATTGTACTTTTGTTATCTCGAGTATCATTATTGTGAGCAATTATTCTCAGCTGCAAACTCGCTTTTCTGTTAGAGTCAACTTTTGGAATTATGAACTCTTCTTCGCCCATAGGGTCATCAATGAATTCTATATCATTTTCAACAGTTCTGACTATTGGTTTTGGTCTTGGAATTTCACCTGTTATAAAAAGCAATATTTAGTTTTTATTATACTCTAAACATTTTGTCACCTGTTATAAGTGTAGAAGTGAATATGGCACTAACACATTTTGGCACAACCAAACACTCTGAAATTTGGCTTATTGTTTTCGTTTTAAACCAGTTCAGCCATATGCTGCTGTATACAAGAATATGAAATTTTTCAACTAAGTACATTTCTTTAATCCTTTTACTAGTACATGATTGACAATTAGCTCATCCTCACAACAGGGAAATTGTTTAGAGGATGATAAGACTATACAAAATGAAAAGTTTTTTAAGGTATTGCAAATTTTCACGTACTTCTGAACTTCGATTCAAATGAACGGCTCTCCATAAATCTCTTGCTATTAGTTTGATGCCTAGTTGCCGCCCGTGAGTGGTTAAGAGGTTGTGATACCACCTGTCTAGAGGAGTCCATGAAAACTGAAAATACATGTAATCACTACAATTATCAGTAAGAAAAACTATATGGATATTCATTTATTAAATTCTGAAAAGGCCAAAGTCATTATACAATTATTACTTTTAATACAAAATTGGAACATACATAATGAAATTGCTATAACCAATCTGCTCATAAACTTAATATGTATAAGTCTCTTTTTATAATATTAGAGAATTAAAGATATATACACCCACCTCTTTCTTTATTTGAAATAGTCCGAATAAATTTACCCTGAGGTCGAATAAATTTACCCTGAGGTCGAATATCATATCTTCCTTGAAGTAGCGCCTATGTGAAATGAGAGTAGAGAATTAGTTTATATTCTTATCCATTCAGTATGCATAACTATTGCAATGTAATTAATATTTTAGATATGTTTTGTAAAATGTGCTCAGTCTCACCTATTTCAGCTGAAATGCAGCTTATTTTGTAAACCATGTTTTGGTGTCTGAGATAAGGCAGTGAAAATAAACTCATATTGCTACAAAACACTATTACAAAGTTTGGTCTATGATTAAATTAATAGCAAATTAAATTTAAGACTCCAAAATTTGTACATATAACTTTTATCCTTAGGTAATAAGTGATTTGACATGAACACATTCACTATTAATATAATTAATATATGAACACTATTAATATATGTATGTAAGCACATGTATACACACAGCATAAGTACACTGTCTCTCTCATAACTAAATCAATGTCAATGAACTTTTGTGTGAAGATATACTGCATCAAGCTTATGGACATAGGCTATCTTAAAAAAGCAGATGAAGTTGTAAACAATAACTAGTAAGGATTGAAAGAATGTTAGCAATCACTTTATAAAATAATTAATATTCATAAGTAAGTTATGTATCACAAATAAAACTATAAATTTATTTAACCTAACAATCACTTTTAGTAGCATAGTATAATACTTTGTTTTATCTCTAGGTATTTGAAAATTATTCAAGATCCTTGTAAAGAGCTTTTTGAGTATACTAATAGTACTGAAATTATGTTGTGATTGCATGGTATTAATGAAATAAGTGTAAATTCATAGTGAAATGAAAATTATGCACATTACAATTAAAAATTATATAATTTAACAAAAGAAAATATTCTCAAGCTAACCATGATAACAAAACATTAGGCTACTTTGTATTCAACATTTTAGTTATTTATATATTACTGTAACTGTGACTGTTAACTTACTCTATTCCTTCTAAGCAGATCAAGTTTTAGTCGAGCATCTTTTTGTTTAGCAAGTTCTGCTAATTTCTCTCTCGCATCTGATATCTGAGTTCTTTTTTTCGATATTATTTTGTTTCTGGCATCATTTAGTGGTAGTTTTTTACTTTGGTCTTGTTGTTTTGCCCTGTTTATCTTCATGGATCCTTTATGTATCTTTGTTGGTCTGAAATACAATAGAGACAAATTTGAGTGGTCTGTGCATATATTTTGTTCATCATAAAATAAGTCAATATATAAATTATTAACTATATATATAAATTATTTTCTAAAGTATTACAGCAATGTACTCAGCACTACGGCACTCTAAAAAAAACTTGTCACAGATTGTTCATAATGCTTAATTTATGTTTTATTTATAATACATATTACGAAATTTATTTATTTTCACTTCTGAAGTTATGAAATAGATTAAAAGAAATAATATTTATTATATGTTGTTATCAAATAACAAATACCTATCTCTTTTCTTTTTTTGAATGATATCTTCTAAACTCATATCTATGTACGATGACATATTGTTATTATTTCAAAATAAACAACTAATGTCTGATAATACACTTTTAGAAGGATTAAAAATTAAAGTAAGATTGAAATTGTTGAATGTATTTTTTACACCTATAAAAATAATGTAACTACCGAGCAAAAGAAAATGCTGCACAGAACAAAACCACAGACCATGCAAATTAAGTGACAGCACAGAACAAGTCATTAGATCATAGATAATAGAGATTTTGTAGAGATCAAAAAAAATTTTTCTTATCTGTGACTTTCAGAATTTTGTAACGGACACTAGGCATTACAGACTGTATAGTTTGTAATCTGTGCCATTACGTTTAACTGTGAACTGTGAATACTGTTATGATGTCTTTCTGATCTGTGACTGGGATTAAAACGTAATGATCATTTGTTGAGCGTGATAATAATTAATTATTCCATGTATATATATAATTATATATATATATATTTATTTCAAATAGAACCAATATCCTGGGATCATAAAAAATCAGAGAATGCAATTGAATATAACTCAAATTTAATATTTATTCATTGAATTTGTCCTTGAGCTGAAGTTGGAATAAATAATTATAAAAGAAATACTAAACTCATGAATAAAATGGATAGAGAAGATGGTGAAATGAGTGATGATGAAATGCTCGTCGATGATGTAAAAGAACTCGTACCTGATAATGATGTTAATTGTACTACGGTTAGTAGCATACGTACAAGTAAATTTATTGTATAGTAAGTCATTGTTACTTTAAGTGAACAATTTTACACTATTAGTATATAAATCGAAAGCCTAGATAAATTTGTTATTCATGTAAATGAACAAATTTCCTCAAGCAATGAAGTCGTTTTTTGTACCTTCTTTCAAACTGCACAGTCACTTGATTAGTTGGTATGAAACTCTGAAAAATTATTTTCTGATTTCCACTTAATTTCGTGGTTGAAGTGATTCTCAGTTTCATGTGTATTCTACCTGGCCTTTGGTTTGGTACACTGGTCATTACTAACGGTGTAATGCCTCCCATTTTAAAACCAGATTTTCTTTTTAAGATAAATATAGTCCGTAAATAAAGAGTTTAGGAAAGATCATTTAAATATGCAAACAGATATAATCGTATTTTATTATTTTAAAAATCATAGGTACATTCCTTTTTTATATTAACAAATTTAAATGGCCAGTAAGGTACCATAACTTCACATATCTATTCTAGATGGTATAAACTAATATCTTCTATTGAAGTGATGGTTCCTTTCCTGTGAAGAGAAATCTAGAAATCTATGCATGTACACCAATCAGCCGGCATAGCATTGCCAATCTTGGTTTGTATAAAGCCTTGGTGAACATATCTGCAATTTGGAATTCAGTACCAACTTTAACAATTTTCATAACTCCTTCAGTTATGGCTTCTCGTATGAAGAAATGTCTTGGCTTAATATGCTTGATTCTGTTATGGAACTCATAGGGTGGATTTAATGCAAGTTTTATGGCTGATTCATTGTCTAAGTATAGAACAGGAATCTTTGATGATTGCTCTATATTTTCAATAAATCGTTTAAGCCATATTATTTCTCTTGCAGCTTCACTTGCGGCTATTATTTCAGCTTCAGTGCTAGAGATTGACACCAACGACTGTAGTTGACTTCTCCATGATATTGGACCTCTGTAAATACATACCAGGCCTGTAGTCGATCTTCCAGAATTAGGATCTCCATCATGATCAGCATCGCTATAGCAGATTAATTCTTTCTGCGTATCTTGGCTGTATGTGAAATAGTAATCCCTTTTACCATTTAAATAACGAAATATTCGTTTCAGTCTTGTAATGTCTGCTTTTGTAGGAGCTTCTAAGTGTCCGGATACAACACCTATCGCATAAGAAATGTCAGGTTTTGTTCCTACCATAAGATATGCAAGGGCTCCAACAGCTTCTCTGTAAGGAAATGTGTTATCCCTATCTTCTTCTCTTAATTCAGACTCTTTCACTATTGGTGTAGCAACAGTTTTACTGTTCTGCATACAAAATCTTTCTAATACCTTCTTGGTATATGCACCTTGATGTACTTTAATACAGTTAAACTCCTTTTCTATTTCAAGCCCTAGAAAATAATAAGATTTTTTGTTAGTTTGGATTTTTATCTTAAACTGTTTCTTTACGCCTCTAGGAACTGATTAGTCAGCTCTTGTGATGTACTAGCTATCAAGCCATCGTCAACATAAGGGGCTAATAGTAGCCTACCTTCTCCGCTCTTCATAGAGAAGAAACAAGGATCTTCTCCAGGTACATACCCTTGTTCTATAAGGAAGTCTTTAGTATTAAAGACTTCTATAACTGTATAGTTGTTCCAACACAATAGAGCTTGTTTCAGTCCGTATAGGCTACGTTTCAACTTGCCTACATTGTTAGTTCCATTATCATACCCTTCAGGTTGCTTGACATAAATTTCTTCTTTTAGGCTTCCATAAAGAAATGCTGTAGAGACGTCAAATTGGGTGAGTATCATATTATCACGAGCAGCAATGCTTAATAGTGTTCTGATAGTGCTCAGTTTTGCGACGGGACTAAATGTTTTTTCATAATCGACCCCTTTCTTTTGAGAGTAGCCAACAGCAACAAGTCTAGCTTTATATTTGTCAGTTGACCCATCAGAGTTTCGCTTGATTTTATAAACCCATTTACTGGATATAGCTTTACATCCATTTGGTAATGGCACTAAGTCCCATGTTTGATTCTCTTTCAGGGATTTAATTTCATCATCCATAGCCTTTCGCCATTTGTCTTTATCAGCATATTTCATCGCATCTTTAAATGTCTTTGGTTCTTTTTCATGATTATAGACTTTTTCTACACAATGTAAAACAAATTCGTCAAATCTCGCAGGAGCTTTCATTTTAGATCGATCTCTTAAAATTATTCTCTCTTCCTCTCGAGGATTTTCATTACGAATTTCTTCCTGAGATAAGGTATCTTCTCTTAATAAATCATCTTCGTATGTATCTTGTTCATTCGTATCAATGTGTGGCAAAATGTATGCATTGGATACAATACCATGTTCGCATTCGGTAGTATCTGAATGTGTATAGTCGTTAGTTAAATCAATTGATACATTAGACTCGTCATGCTGTTGACTTAAGTCAGCTGGATCATTACAGACTCGAAGTGGGATGATCACTGATTTAGCAGTCTTACATACATATAGATGAAATTATAATCCCTACCGAAAGGGATTATATTTTCATCTATAGGATTTAATGTCTCTTCAAAGATTACATCTCTGGAGTTCATTACTGTCAGAGTGTTTTCTATCCAAATGCGATACCCTTCGTCCTCATTGTAACCTATAACAATACCTTTTTTCGCTTTCTTGTCCAGCTTTTTTCGTGATGCCTTTGGTACATGTGCATAACAATGACTTCCAATAATTCGTAAATGTTTAATCCTTGGCTTTTTGCCATGGCATAACTCGTAGGGAGTTTTCTCCAAATGAGTAGGACCAGTACGGTTAAGTACATATACAACAGTACTTGTTATTTCAGCCCATAAGTTTTCATGTAGTTCCCTTGTAGGAGTATGCATTATAGGTCTGACAGCCTCAACAACGATTCTATTATCACGTTCAGTTGCATTCTGTTGTGGTGTGTGAGGCATAGTACATCTATGCATAATGCCTTCCTTTTGTAGAATCTGTTTCACATCATCATTTACGAATTCACCTCCATTGTCAGTTAAGAATTCTTTAATAATGTGTCCTGTAGCTTTTACTTGAGCTATAAATTGTATCAGCTTTTCTTGGACTTCACTTTTCTTTCTAATTAAAAATAGATAGCGATACTTTGAGAAGTCATCCTTTAGTAATAGGAAGTAACGATATTTGGCATAGGACAGTATAAATGGTCCACAGACATCACCATAAATGCGTTCGCCTGGCTTTGGTGCTCCTTCTCGCGTTCCAAATTTCAAACGATGAGCTTTTCCATAGATGCATCCTTCACATAGGGTTCTGTGAGTAGGACGTACAATTTTTATGCCCAGTTCTCGTTCAACAATTTTTCTTACATCATCTTTGCTCTGATGTACAAACCTTTCATGGTAGAGCTGTAGCATATCTGTTGTATCAACTGCATTAATATTTACTTCGATTGGATTCAATGGTTTGTTTCGCAATCTTAGTTTATAGAGACCTCCATATTTTTCTCTTTCTCCGAGTAGGACAGGGTTTTTTTTTTTGAGGGTTGATAATGGAATGGTGCACCCGCCTGCGCTAACGCTTTACGCTGGCGGGGCACCAGTGGAGGATGATAAGATGAGCATGAGGTCAGGTCAGTTAGCCCATCGTCAAATTCACCAGGAATTTATCACGATGGCTTCCAGGGGGAACCGCGTGGAGGTCGACCTGACATGGTACATTGCTAGCAATGGGGTTATCAGTCCACATTACCACAGATAACATAATATTACATTACTAACAATACCCTTCCCCCCAGTAGGACAGGTTCTCCATCTAAAATCAATTGGCAGTTGTTTGTTTTTGATATGAATGTGCTATCGTTCAACCAATCTTGAGCAGCTAAGACAGAATAAAGATTTTTTGCAATTTCTGGAACTAGCCAAACATCATTTAAAGTTATCAGTTGCTTTCGACCATAAATATCTGCTTCCACTATTATGGATCCTTTACCAGTAGCAGCAATAGCATGTCCATTGGCAGTTGTTACTATATGTGACTTGTTTTGAAATCGTTCAAAATTTTCAAATACATCTGACCTGTTTGTGATATGGCTAGTTGCGCTATTGTCGATATACCATTGATGTTTATCAATGTTTCCCGTGTAGTTTACTTCAACACTCATTAGCATCATGTTAGCTTTGCATTTATTATTGTTGGAAGTATTACCTTGTTTTGACGTTGATGGTTTTTCTAATGTTAATGGACATCCATCAGCAATCCATTTGCGACAATCTTTAACAAAATGATTGTTCAGACCACAATAACTACATTTCTTTGACTTATCTTTGACAGTTACCTTTTTATGAAATTTAGACTTGCATTTACCTCCGGTAAGCGCGAGTGCTTCTTCCATTTCAGCTCGAGATCCTTGAGATTGTAATGCTCGTTCGTAAGAACATAGATCAACAGTTAATTTCTCTATACTACGATCCTTTTTTGCTAACAGCTTCCAACTTGAGATAAACTGGAAATATTCATCCGGACAGCTTTCTAAAACTTTACCCATTAGAAAGATTTCTGGTAGTTCTTTGACTCCTTCTTTCTCCATTTCAAGGGAGAGATCTCGCCATACATTCCTTAGTTTGGATAAATACGTGCCAATATTATCAGCAGGTTCCTTTACAAATTTAAAGAATGTCATAATTAAATCAAATGCTCGATCTTCTATATCTCCTTCGTAAATGCGGTGCAACTCTAGCCAAGCCTCTCTTGCTGTTTCAAAACGCATTACCTTCATGATATTCTCTTGTGTCAAATTAGTCGTTATAATAAGAAATGCTGTACTATCTTCTTTGCCATATTTTTCAAGCTCAGCAGTCGTAGCTCTATCCTTTTCTACGAAGTCTTTCTCAACAACGTGTAGGAGACCATGACCTTTTAGAGCTAGTTTTATTTGAAATTTCCATGTAACCCAGTTGTGTTCGTTTAGTGGTAAGACTTGAAACTTTGTATTTCCTTCCATGGTCATAACTATAGTTTAATCTTTTATCCACGTATACGAAAATAATCTGGTGTTAATAACTCTTAAAAAAAAATTTTTGCAATCGACCGTTACATGCGATTTTGCAATTATACACGATACTCTGCTACCATTTTAAGATAAATATAGTCCGTAAATAAAGACATTAAAAATCATAGGTACATTCCTTTTTTATATTAACAAATTTAAATGGCCAGTAAGGTACCATAACTTCACGTATCTATTCTAGATGGTATAAACTAATATTTCTGACTTAAATAATTATTTTAATTATTTCAACGAAGAATTATACATGTGTATTAAGATATTTTCTATTTATTTATTGTAGTGAGTGTGGTAAGGTATACCCTTATCACCAAAACATAAACGACACACATTATATATTGATGTAGATACTTCAAAGTATAAAATCTGGTAATATATAATGATAAGTAAAAAGACAGAATATCCTACAAAAATAAAAAGAAATATATAAAATCTAAGAATCATTGTTTTGGGTTCTATTATACTGATAATAGTTTTTATCCTCTATCTTTTATGAAACCAATTACATTTTTATTAAATGTATAAATTATTATTATGTATTGAGTAAGAAAGAAAAAAATTAAATATATTATATTCTAATTATTTTCAGTTGTACAGAGCAGGAAAGCAGGGTATCTTTATACAAAAACTGGAAAAAATTGATGCTTCAAAGATAGAAGAAAGAGCAAATAGATTTGGCTTAAATTTAACTGGAAATAGAGTAGTAACTCAAAGACAAATTGATGAACTTTATATAAATTGTGGCATTGAAGGTGGAAATGAAAGACATTTTCGTTTTGATGCTATCCATTTACATGGAGTTAATGGATTGAGTACTAGAGAAATATTTGAATATTTAGAGGATTATAAACCAGTGTCTCTGGAGTGGTTAGATGATCTCTCTTGTAAGTAATTATATAATAATAATAATAATAATAACTCTCACTCACACAGGGCCATCTAGTTCCATTCACTTATAGTTTCAAGCAACGCTTGTGATATGGGTACTCAACAACTGATACAAATACTTTAATCCACTTCTGGTTCCACAACAAAAATTGACTAATAATCCTGTCACCTTTGAATTAAATTCTTCTGGCAAAAATCTATACTTACATATAAATAAAATTGGAGTGTCTGTTTGTAATATTAAAATAACCATTCTTTACTACATGCATATAAATATAAATGTATATACACTAAAATAACATTTTTTACAATTTTTGTCTGTCTGTTTGTTCCGGCTAATATCTGAAATTACTGGACCGATTTTGAAGGGACTTTTTGACAGGTAGCGGATGTAATAATCCAAAATTAAGTTAAATTCCGTCTTCATTCTCATGGAATTTAACTTTATTTTTCATCTACAGTAGAGCTAGTTTAAAATAAGAAGAGAATTAAAATATGTTCAGTTTTTGCAAAGATTCCTTGTAGTGAATATCAAAGTTAATTATAATATTAAGTATCTTCTCCCAGTTGGTTGAAAATATACTGAACAATATTTTATTTACATTACAGAAGCCTTATTTTTTTAACATAATATATTATATCAACTATTACAAGAATATTACTACCGCATCATCACCTTGCCCTTTACATGGATTTACATATAATGTTTATTATGATTAGTTTTTTATTTTAGGTAATATTGTTTTTCAAGACCATATCACAGCAGCATTGGCAATATTGGTACATTCCCGTGAAATCAAAAGTGAAGAAATAAAAACTATGCTTTCTGAAAAATCCAATCATCATTGGAGGGAAGGTATGCCTCATCCAAAAAATGATTTAATATTAATGCGGTTTGCAACTAATGGAGATAAAAAAATTACCAAAAAGCAATTAGAAAATAAATATAAAAATAGAAATCATGATCCTCATAACGTGGATTGTAGTAGCAAAAATCCTTGGGGAGATCTATGCAAATCATGGGGTGTTTATGACCACCAAGAAGTTTTTCAAAGAAAACTGCCAAAGAATGATTACGAAGATGAAATAGATGAGAATAATAAAGTAGTGCAAATAAAAAATAAAAAACTAGCTATGCGCCTTGGTAAAAGAACATATGAAAGTGAGGACAGTAACTCAGATTCAGAGTGGAAGAAGAAATCCAAAACACCCAGAATGAGAATGCATGCTGATGATGAAGAAACAAAGCAAAAGAGCAAGCAACCTGTTCAGTTGTCAAGGCAGGAATCAGAAGAAAAAGAATCTTATGCTCCTTTGTCTATAGAAGTGATTAATTCTCATAGTAGTTACATACCAAGGGAACCAACAAAATTATCTGATAAATTTAGGAGCAATAAGAATAATGTGAATTTACAAAAAGATAGCATTCAATCTAGATTAGGCGTAAAAGTAAATTCTCAAGATCACCTTGATTATAGTGATGAGACTTCTTCAGATAGTGCTGATTATAACATCATGAGTAGAGTTCAAAAAGTATCTAGTAAAAGTAAGAATGAAGGTAGTGTGTGGTCTAGATTAGAAACTAAGCAAAGTAAAAGCTCTAAAAATGACTTGAGGCAAATTTTAAAATCACGGAAACATGACGATCTTAGAGACAGAATTGGTAAAATGAAGCAGTCTAATCTACGTATTGAGATAGACAATACTTATTCTAAATAATAATTTCTCAGATACTCAATCTTCTTATTTTATAAGTAGAAAATACTTGCATAAAAATAATAATATGCAAATTTAAAGGAAGAGGGAAATATGATATTTTCATCACTGAGTTGAATCAAGTATATACAGTGGCTTTGTTTATAATTATATACATAATGACATCAAATGGAGGTACTAAACACAGAATTCTGAACATAATCTTAGAAAATGTATCTAGCAGTAAAATAGACTAATTTATATTTTTTGCAGTTTTCGTAGTTGTGTTCAGTATTGTGTTGACAGTTCATGTAAAAGGTTACTTACTTAAAATCATGTATATTTTAGCCTATCGGATATAAATCAAAGAACTTTCTTTTTTGGGTATTCAATAATTTCAACACAGTATTATTGAGAACATAAAAAGCAACATTAAATACAATGTAATGTATGTAATGAATACACATTACATATTATTTAATTTCTTTTATGTATAAATATTAAAATAATATTTTCTGTTTTTCTTTTTTTTTTACATGTATAATGAGCCATAACTACTTAAAAATTGGTCATAATAAACGAAATGTTCTAAAGGAAGTCATTATATCCGAATTTTGAAAATTGTAGATGTAATTATAGTCTGATTTTTAATATCTCGAGACTAAGTTGACAGTTGAGAATGTCAATTTTTGAAACAATGCTACCAACTGTAGCGGGATCTAGATATTTCTGCGATACTTATTAGTTGAATCGTAATTTTTAATATTAGATGATTAGTTTTACAGCTTTCTAGGTAGTCCACAATATATTGTCAAAAATGAATTACATAGACGAGTGTTTCCATTGCTATTTTTATGAAACAACACAAATATATTGTTGTGGTTCCGTACATTTAATAAATTTCAAATTTGTAAATTTCAATATTTGTCTCTGAGATGAATAAAATAATGGACTATAGTTCTTGTTAACGGGTTGCTCAATATTAGCGTAATAATTATAAACAGATTCCATCCAATATATTGATAATACTATATCACTTGTATTTTGAGCTATTTCAGAGCAGCCAAAGAAAATAAAACCTATTTTCCATTAAAAATGATGACAATTTAAAGTCACACTAAACAAGTACATCTTACCAAATGTTTAATATTTATTCTATTCGATAGTTTCTCGTCCGCGTGTGATTTGATAGTCCGTTGATGGAGCCGGATGAAAGGTCGCATGTCCTGTCCTTACGAGGCTAGAGGCCTATATATATATGCCCACACTTGCAATTGGATATTTGACCCACCATAATAATTATTTAAATATTTATGGTGTCACCATAATTTTAAAATTAGAAAATCATATTTGTAGAAAGTCCTAATGAAATATTTCTGTATATTTTTTAGTTATACATAAAATCAATTTTTATAAATAAAGACTAAAACAGAAAGATGTTCTTATATTTTAATCCAGTTAGGTAAAGTTTAAATAGATGGTCGCATCATTTAATAATTGATTAGTAACTATGTTGTATATGGTATCACAATCATAATATTTTAGGAAAGTACCATTCCTTCTCCTAAACTGCAAACGTCCTTTATATGCAGACCCCATAAATCAAGCGAGCATAATAAAAAAAAGTGTAATATTAGAGACGCTATTATAACTAAATGAAAAGTATATTTTTATGTATAATTGTTGAAATTTCTAGACATACTGCTCGCAGTCAATCCCTAATTATATCAGACTTCAACAAACAACATACCGCCACGACTTATCTCAGATGGGGAAGTCGGCAGGCGTTATCAACTGTTGACGTTTTTTAAATCGGTGATGCATCCTTGCGCTAACGATATCTACTAACTCTGGCGGGTTACCAGTGGTTGAAGATAAGATGAGCATGAGGTCAACAGATTTAAACAGAAACTGCATAATATACAATGACAAAGATTTTTGATATCAGCAGTATTTGACTTACGACCTCTTGGCTTTAAAGGTGTAAGGACTACTAGGGGACGACGCTCTCGCTTATATTAGAGAAGGAGAAAGTGTGTACGACTCTTCATAGATGTATACTCTACCAATCTACTGAATCCGCTATTTAGGTTAACAATTGCTATTATGGTACTAATTACAACAATGTAATTGGTATATATAAGAAATATGGAATAAATTATTATTATGGAAAATAGAAAAGCAGATTTATTTTTTAAGTAATTTATATTTGTGCAAATTGTGTGTGTTAAGTACACGTACATTACAATCAAAGGTGACAGTCAGTCGAAAACTATTATTATTATAAACAATATTATTGAAAACCCTGTCTGGTTAACATTTATACAATTATGTTATAACAATATTAGCAATATAAAAAAATATTCGTTTGACAATTACATTTATTTCATTATATTCGTAATTGCACTAAATTATTTAGCAACGATTTTCATATTAATCATTATAACGAATTTTCATCACTCAATAACTAACTCATGGTTAGCTATTGTAGAAAACTTTCATAGTAGCACGTCATGCATGGAGAATAATATGCAATTCAACGATAATAATTGACATGCAGTCTTAACCATCAAGGATTATTATTTCTACAACAACTAAACTCGATGAATTTTTTATTGTCCATAGGATAAGTAAGGCAACTTAAATATAAAAGTTTCTCACTAGTAAGATTTTTTTAAACAAATTTGTTTTAGATGTACAATTAACTGAAAAAAATCCATTATCAAAAAATAGGCCCTATTTTTTAATACTTACTTTGAGCTTACTTGTAAGAACAATCTTAGGTAGTATAAAAAAATTAAAAAAATGAAAGGCAATGGATAATGAATTTTCAATATAACGAAAAAATAATAATGAAGTAAGTTGAGTAATAATAGAATAAGCAGAGTAGAACGAAAATATAAAAAGTTACGACAAAATTAACAAAATACTTTTGGAATGACGAGATCTCTGAATAAAGATAGAACGAATACTGAAGAATACCTAAATACATAGCAATTTATTGAGTAGACACTTCTCTTAAAAATGCTTGAAAACGTTATGCATCTATCGTACAATTGTATATACAACCACAGATAACATAATATACAACGTAAATAAATTTCATTTCTAAAATAAATTATTATAATTATCTATAAATAGATACCAAAATATAGAAAAATCTATTTAATTTAGTGCAATACGAATATTAAAAACTGTAGGAAACAGCCGTGGGCCGTAAAATCTTTATAATCAGAATGATTTATGCTTATATTTTCCTATAAGACTATACTGAGGGTGTTACGGCTACATAAAGCCTGTTGCTTTCTGCTCTGGTTACTTCTTTGTGAGAGAGTCTTCTTTCTTGTTGAGAAGCATTACATATTATGAATAGTCATTTATTTTTTTTTGCAATACCGAATTATATTATAGTTCGTAAAAAAATACTTAACAGAATTATGATAGACTGCATACTGACCTACTACTACGTACTTTGTTTTCGTTATAAAATTATGGCGCCATATACGCAGAGATTTGCGTATTCTTATTATATTAAAAAAATCATACATAGAATCGGAAGACTTGAGTATTTTAACAATTCAAATAATATATATTTTAATTATACTAATTTCCTGGCATATTTTGTTAAATTATTTAAAGAAGCATATTAAAGCATTATACAACGACTGTTTGTTTAAATTTGGATTTGATGTTCATGTATGCAAAGTAATGAAGATATTATTTTTTGCTGATACACATATCGTCGATTAAATAGAAAAATGTCATTTTTCAAATTTAGAAGCTAGAATTGCCTCCTTTTATATAAGTCAATGAATGACCACGCCGTCTTAATCATTATCTAATTACTTTTAATGATATATAATACTTCTGTGTAAATTTAAAACTTTGAAGGGAAAAATAATTTAAATAAATTAAAAAACTGTAAATGCTTGTCTACAAGAAAAGACAAAATGTAGGTACATTTTGAATACTGCCATTTTTCTATTTAACCAACGATATATTGTAGATATAGATATATAGATTTTGCTTATAAACACAGACACATTACGCTCAGTGTTATACATTAACAAAAATAATTTCACTTCTATAAAAAAACATATTCTAAAAATGTCTATATATTTCTGGTAGCTACTGCTAGCTTTCAGAACATAAAATATTTTATTCAATTAACTGGTTAATTAATTGATATGTATACATAAATATAAATGCTATAAGCATTTAACGATATTTATAATAACGAAAAATATATATGTAGGTATCTATATTACTTGATAAGGACAGATATAGTTTTGGAAATTGTTCATTAATTGAATAACAGTTTTCTTAAAATCATACTGAAATAATAGAATGATTTCAAATTATTTGTCTAGATAAACTAAGTTCTTAAGTTTAAATTAGTTCGTGTAAACGCGTGCTTAAATGTATTCTTTATAGGAATTGCTGTAATATCAGTGCCCCCAAAATACAGGATATTTCGGATTTAAATGCAACAGATCTAAAGGAGTAGCCGTAATAGAAACGACTAGTTCCCGAAGCCTAATTTCAGCAATAATTTCCTCTAGACTTAAAGTGGTCAACATAGTAATTTTACGAAGACTAGTGAAAATCTGTTGCGATTGCGACGGTGGGTGATGATTTTTTTCATACATATAACCCTATGGCACTGTAACGGTAAATTGTTTTAGTGCCATTGATTTTTACTCATATATATTTAGTAATGCCAAAAAAATAATTTGTATTTTTATCATTTACCATTTCTGTAAAGAAATATACCTCTTCCAAAAATTATCCAATTTTATATATTTTGAACTTTATGTAACACACAGAAAAATACACATCTAGTGAGCACTGTACGTCGGTTAATATAATATCCTAAAAATAAGGTATATATTTATAAAAAAAAAACGTATAACATTCAAAGCAAAAACAACTTCATAAATAATATATATTTTATACTATGCCATCTAGTGAGTAGTAGAGATCCTGTCAAAATAAATTTCCTAATAATACATGAAATTAACTTTAAAGTTATAGTGTACAGGTAATGTTTTTATCAAAAAGAGTTTGAATAGGTTCCTGTTCCTTAACCCACCTTCGAAACAACTGACGTTCACTAGGCTACAGATCACAACTACCTTATCCATTATAGAAGTTTTTAACGGAAGTAAATTTAGTCACATTGACATGTTGCTAGCTCGCAGGCCAGACATACTTAGGCGCCCGCTACTTTGCGGTGCCGCTGATTTTGCATGACTGCAATGTTCCTTTTTGTTTTCCTAGACTATGAATTGATAAAGATTCTAACATTACGTTTCTCTCTAATTGAATTAGATTGATACAATACAAATTTAAAAGATCTTCTTCAGACAGACCACTTTCTAAGTATATACTATCATATATTATAAGTTTTCACGGTTCCACATCGAGTACGGTTATTCTTAACTCTCCCGTTTAGTTATCAAGTCAACAATAATATAATACATATAGTATATAACTAAATAATGACTAAATTATACAATTGTATAAATACAACAAAATGTATCATTTCTAATATAGGGACTCGATCTTTCTATAATTCTATAATACGTAAATTTTAAAATAATTAAAAGGACTATCAATAATTATAGTAGAATAAAACACTGTAAACATGTATTTGTCATAAAACATGATTTATAAATTCTTCTTATATATAAAAGAAAAATAAGTAAATGTAATATTATACTATTTATATTTTTAACCGGGTTTTAACACGAATAATTTAATGGTAAATAAAGGTATTTACCTCTGTCGACGTTTCGACTAGGTTGCACTAGCCGTGGTCACACGAGCTGACTGATATATCATATGCAGTCTAAGCATTCCTGTAATCAACATTTTTTTGTTTTGTCTGAAGACCCTACTTATACGTGGGTCTAATGAGCTATTTTGGTAGTTATTGTTGTATATTATATTGTAATGAAATTGATCACTCACCAGTAGCAGGACAAACAGAAAAACTTTTTAATGTCAACTTGATTAATGAATATAAATATGAGTGATTTGAAAATATGATAGTAATAAAAAAAAAAAATTTTCATTAGGCGAATTTAGTATAAAACCATAAAGAAATTGTGTTCTTATATTGAAAAAATAATGATTAAAAATTATTTAAAAGTAACGCAAAAATCTCGTAAAAGAAAAATTCTGATGTATTAAAGTTTATACAGATAGATAATATAGTTAGATGATGGTGTAACAGTATTATATTATTCATATCACAGTTTAGACACATTTCGCAGTAAACAGAATAACGAATAACAGTAAACAAAACGCTTGAACAAAAACGACGAACACAGACGATAAAGCTCGCGCAGTTAACGTTTTATTTTTTAATTTTTCCAATATTTCCTGTGATACACTTTCATGATACGAATTATGGGCTGATGTGAATATCGAGTACAACGCCCTTATGGCAAACATGCTTATTATTAATACAACAATTGACATACTAAAATAATGCAAAGACTGAGATTCATGTGGCACAACAATTTAGATAGAGTTCTAACTTAATTTTGATTCTGGCACATACTTATAAACAGACCTTTATGTTCATTAGTTAGTTCGATAGAGCTATAATAATTGTATTTAATTTTAATTAACATACTTATAATAAATTTTAAAAATTTAAAACACCGACGTTTATAAGTAATCTACGATATCGTCAGTAACACAGCAAGTGGAATGTTTCAGTCTTAATTAAGTACTTTCAATAAAGCAAGGTGTAGCTAAAGTGTAAAATCTACTAATAAATTATTAGCTATATTCATCAAGTTATTACACATAAAGAGTATATTATATATTAAACAAGAAATCAATAATTTTATTTTGATTTTTTATCTTTTTCTGGTTTCTCTGTCTTACCGCCATCTTCTTTTTTCTTGGAAATTAATGTATGTTTGGCTTTCTTAAGTTGCTTTTTAACTTTGTCCTTTACTTTGCTTTTCTTGGGTGTTGCGACAACTTCTGCTGATTTAATAGATGAACTATTTGATTCACTATTCCGTTGCGCTGAAATATAGAAAGCATCAATATTTTAGATTCATACGTATGAACCGTAAAAATACATATCAAATATTCTTTCTGTGAATGCAAAAAAATTGAAAAAAAAAAACTAAAAAATTTTTTTTGGTTTTCCTTCATCTTGACATTTTGAGAATGATTTTACATTATTTTCATTTGTGATTAGCTTATACTGAAGTATCTAAACTTTACTGGCTGTGCCTAGTTAATTAATTTCCTAGCTTAGTCTAGTTTCCCAAATGTTATTTTGAAGCCCATGTATTCTGCTCTAGAGTTTACTCCTAATTGATACTGGACGGCGTAAAAAATAATTTAGCCCTTTCAAGTATTCAACTTTATATTATGTTTACCTAATAAGGAAGTGTTTATCAAAATCACCTTGGCCAAGTTTACGTCAAACGCTATCACAAACACAGATAAATAGACAAAGGCTTTGTGCCTTTGGGAGAGAAAAAAAGGAATAAAATTTCATAATTTCACTGTTGCACTATGCATATGCATAATTTTGATGGTGCATATTCCCCATATACAGAGTCCAGTACATCTTACGAAACCTGCACGACGGAAATAGCCGAAACTTTGGTCAGTAACTGATAAAAAAATGCACAACTATGTTCACAAACTTTTATTGACGACTGCCGTCATATTTGTGTTGGCGTCATCTTTTTAGACCACTCTTGTACAATTACATTCACCGTAAAGAAGAATACAATGAGACTGAGGGCCTTCATTGTCTCTGGTCTGGAGGTACAGCCCTTCATCACGAGAGAAACTACTTTCGAATTATTAGACCTTCAAACAGGCCTACTAAATTGTATGGTAGTTGTGATTGTTTTTATTTCTTTGATACTACTGCGTCATAAGAATATGGCACACTTATATGACACATATGTCCCGTTTAATATAATTAAAAGAAGATTTTTGGTCAAAATATATTAATTAATATTATGCCATTGCTAAGAAACACTTTAAGACTGGATGGCTGAAGCGTACAAAATAATTCTATTGGAAGATAGATTTAAATAGCATACCTCTTTTATTGGCTATCGAAGCAGCGATGGCGAGATCTTCCTGTCGCTCTCGACGTCGTTCTGCATCAATTTGCTGGACCAATTCGTCGCGCATGCGCACAATTTCTACAAGACGGGACACCAATTGTTCCTCGCGTGCCTACAGGTTTGTAGTGTATTATGTTATAGCAAAAATAACTGTTTTCTTCTATGTAATTCTACATGCTTGTGCTGTTTGAGCCAAATAAAATATTCATCCAAAATTGTATGATAAAGGTTTTGGTAACATAGGACCGTAGGCAATACATTTAAGCCATAATTTTGAATTGACTAGGTATCTTAATAATAGGTAGATAATATATTTGATTAACTTCAATAAGAGTTACTTATCTAAAATGAAAGTTCTCACAGAGTCTCTATAGTATATATTTACAAATATTTTGCATCATTTAAATTGATTAAAAATATACACCATACAACAAATTGATAAAGTAATTAAATACGCTGGGATTGCAGCTTTTTATCCAAAACAGTGTTAAGTTCACAAAATGTCATAAAATTTGGAGTACATAATGAGTACCTGATTGATTAAAAATTATATTCGATCATCAGATAATTACCTTATCAGCATCAATGCGATTAACCGCTGGTCGCGACTGTATCACTCTTATCTCATGTTCAATATCAGCTTGTTCTTGTTCTAATCGTTGTTGTCGCCGACTGGAAATATTGTTAATATCTTACTATATATTGTCTGTGCCTGCGACTTCCGTCGCTTTAATATGATATAATATATAAATACCTATATTGATCAGAATAAAAAAAAATTGCATTCTTCATTATGTGAGCACAGTGAAATAAACAAAATCTCTGTAATAATCAGTCTTCACTGAGTAGAAAATCTTTCTAAATTTTAGATTACATCTATAGGAATGTTTAGAGCTAAGCGCCTATTATTTGGTTTACGTTCATACGTCACACAACTTGTAGTTGTAAATAAGCTAACTGAAGTATCTCCTTCAATATAATTGTCATCTATACTTTCTACACAGTATTGCGGTTAAAGATTATGCTCTGACACTCTCGTTCTTTATTTATCTGGCATTTTACGACAGAAAAAAAATTACAATTTAATCTTTCGGATAAATAAATGAGGATGTAAATAATTAGATTTAAAGTAGGATGATAATAAATATATAATAATAATACAATGTAAAGAGAGGTGGTATTTTTGTTCAAATTATAAATAAAAAGAACACTTATAATGGTATCAGATGTAAGTAACAATTTTTCTATAGAATGTTGTAAAGACTTTAGTTCCGAAAAAAAGGTATTGTAGTTAAGATTTAATAATAATGAATTATTTGACATTTGTTCATCGACCCTTTCAACTCATGATCAATATATCGATGTGATTGACATATAATAATAATTTATCCCCATGAGTCTAAATAACTTTTTAAACAACCTTATCTGAATACAAAACATGTTTAACACTTGTTTACCAGTATAATGATTGAAACTTACATGTACATTAATTCAGTTTGCTTCCTGAACAAGTCATTTTTCTCATTGACTAGTTCACACAGTTGTATTACTAAATCTTCCACTTCCTCTTGCGGCACCGAAGATGAGTCGTCGCCTGTTGTAAACAAATTTATTTGTAAGTGTCAATCAGAGTCCACTTACACCATTAAATAATAGTACCTAGGCGGTTGACCTTTGTTCGGTATTGTAAACATACGTTTTTTTCTAGAGACTAAACTTGCAAAGTAAATTAGTAACAAATATTTATTCAAATCGTGACGATTGGATATATGTTTACAAAAAAACTCTCATTTGAAATACAAATAGCTGGTCATAATCGTAATTATTTGTACACCATAAGTTACTTTATAAATTATAGCCTGTTTTATTATTACATCATTGTTCACGGACCACTACGCCATAAATCGTCTATAACAGATGCATAGGTCATTATATATATACATACATGAGTAATAGTACGAAGTAACAATCCTAAGAGTAAAATAGTAAAATAAATAACGTAATAAGTTTATTGAAAAAGATATAAACATACGAATTCTACATTTAAAATAGCATGTATTTATAATAATACATAATAAATTTGATAAAACAATGGATATAAACAGATGGTACCTAACAACAATAAATAAAATGAATAAGTGCCTTAAAAATTTGGACTATTATCGAGTGCGGTATCTGCTGTAGACGGAATGGAATGTAACCAATGATAAAACTATTTACCCTAACAATAATACCGACTTGTTGTTTTACTAAAACCAAATAAAGTGAAAACAAATCTATTTTTTGGGTTGTGTACCCTATATTCAAATTCAAAGTTATTAACTGTTATCAAAGTTAATGATACATTCGTATATTTATAATGCCGCTGATGAGTTGAATTGAGTAACAGGATAAATGCGTAATCTTATAAATATATTATTTATGCTAATTACAAGGGATGAATAACTATGCATAAATAAATCGTAGTTTTGAAAAGTGTAGACGAACTATAATTTCCTCAAACTTATGCTGCAAAATCCATATACAGTTTTTATATTAAAAACTATTTAATATCGTATCAGTAAATAATGCTGGGCCGGGCATATCAGCCGAGTCTGAAGGGGAAGAAAAGATTTGGTTTCCAGACCGCGTATTCGTCAACCCATACACGGATACTGCAAGATGGACCGATGACATCACGAAGGTGGCGGGGAGTGGATGAATGCGGAAGGCAAAATATCGCACATGGTGGAAGTCATTGGGAAAGGCCTATATCCCAAAAATGGACAGACAGAGGTAGAAATGATGATGATAATGATGAACTATCTGATAAAACTTCTATGTGGATAATTTTATTTAAATTGAGTTAGAATATAGACATTTTATGCCGATCGCATTAATGAAGATACATTAACATAACAACGTTGAATAAGTTCCGTCTGATTGACTTTATACAATGAATGATTTGTATTCAATGATATTCAATGAATTTACTTGCATTGCCTACACCGGTACATTGCTAACCACCGGCATACGTACCTACTTAATATATATACATACATCAATAATATACTGTTTTAACCAACCACCGACGTAGACTTTGGGGTTTGTCTCATCTACTTCATCCGCCAAGGAGTTTCCTTTTCAGGATTCGTTCCGTTTGAGGGTGAGACAAGGCATGGGCATGATTTTAGTCCTTCAGAATAGCATCGTACAACCACCATGGGGTACCATGGCGTCTGTGGTGCTTATGTATATGAGGGACGGTTACCGTATACAAGTGGACTTGTTTGCTATTTATATAAAAAAAAAGTTTAGTAATAGAAGAGAAGTGGGTGAGTGAAAAATCTTAAACTAAATAATGTGCAGGAAATGTGTTTACCCTCACACTTATCCCGAATCATTTGCTCGATAAGTACGCCTTGTCGTTCTAGCCCTAGTTGCTGTGTTTCCAACAAGTCGAGTTGAACTTGCAGTTCCTCTGGCGATACCTGGAGTTTCACTTCACGTCGTTCAGGTAGTGGCAGACCTGGTGCGGGGCCCTTTAGCTTACGTCCACCTATATACGGAACAAATATTTTATTACTAGACCAGTATTACAAAATAATATTCTGCCCCGAATCCCTTGTAAAATATAACAAGGAACACAATTCTCAATTCGCTTAGTAACAAAATGCTGTTAACGAGATTTTGTGGCATTTATTTATTATTGTTAAATATTCATAGATAAGCTGTAGACCACAGATAAAGAAAAACTATACTAGACTGTTATGAGGACCGTAAAAATACTCAATAAAAAACCTAGACTGTTATTGTTATGTTCTAAAATTACATTGCATTAGATTACATATACATTTAATTTGATCTAGATCCTACTATTTTAGGCAAATAAAACAAATGACGGCTGATTCTATTCTTTTACTGCATATCGCTTACGTCGCAGAAAAATAAGTTATATTTTGTATGAATCGCTAGAAAATGCGAAACAAAACGTACTATTTTATAAAGATGTTTTATGATGATGTTTAAGGGGGTCTTCCTATGTGATGGGTTGAAAAAATCGATTTTTTTTTTTCATAAATTGCTCCCTTAACATGTCTAGAATACGGTAGTAAAGCGATTTTAGAAAATTCGAAGTCGTTTTAAAGATACAGCAGGTAAAAGAAAGAGCGGTTCGGAGCGGTGAGTTGGCAGTTAGAGACCGGGCCTATTGTGTAGCGTCGGCTTTATACCTGGCCTCCCTTTTATTAATATATTTGTTTATACAAGTTTAGACACGTTTCTACAGACTTAAACAGAAATTTCTATTGTTATAATATTTTACCGAAGTTATTTTAGTCTTGGTTGAACTTCGAAGAGAGCAACAGCTACAAATTATTTTTTTTCATAATGAGTGGACGGAAAGGAAGTACGAGTGGAAATGTTCATCCTGGTCGTAGTAAAAAAAGAAAGTTTAGTGGAAACCGTTTTACCCACCAAAATGATACGGTATTTACATCAGCTTCGGCCAAAAAACTTAAAAATAACATGAACATGAATGTTCCCATCGCTTCGAATTTCGCATATTGCATTTTGGAGTTTGTTTCTGTATTTACTGCAATCTCTGAAATAGTTATATGTAAAACTTGTAAAAGTGACGTGTCTATTTCGCGATCAAGTTTCCGAGGCCTAGGCTTTAAAATTATCTTCATTCTGGTCCCAAAGTTGTTGAAATTGCTAGCTACTTAGCAGTTATTATCTTTAATGAAGGTTTTCAAGGTATTTTAAAAGTTATGTCGATTATGGGATGCCCTGTTGGTCGTGAAGCCCAAGCGTATGTTGAGAAACGGGATGAAAAGCGAATCTTACGCTCTGAGCGGCGCGTAAGTGATGTCGTTAAACAAGCCAGGATTGACTCAAGAGCTGAACAATCTGCTTTAAAAGAGTTTCACGAGGAAGAGGAAGGAATACTCTATGGACCAGGCATCGCTGATTGAGAGTAAGTTGATATTTTAATAGTTTTTAACGGACTTGAAACTTTAAACGCGTTTTTCTCAAAACTGTGTTTTTCAAACTTTCCTCCATTGTACCTCAGAAACGGCTGGACCGAATTACTTGAAATTTACAGGGCACACTCAATATATGTAAACGCATGGAATGAACTATTATCAATCGAAAATTTTCAAAACTTCGATTTTTTTATAGCAAAAAACAAAAAAAAAAACGCCTAATTTGCAACTTTTATTTCAAATGTCTATCAAAAATCCAATTTTTTTTATATTCATTTGATTATAGGTCATTCCGTGCTTTTAAGCCTACAAATTAAAACGCCGTTTTTTTTTTTTTTTCAGATAAGCCGACCAGCCGGAATCGTGGAGGAAGTGGGAGCTCTTTTTTTCGAGGCGGGGGTGTTCAGAGCGCTGTAACTCTAGTTTGACTGAATATTTTTAGCTGAAATTTTATATTTATACTGTCCAAATATGCTAGCATAAATAAGCTCTAAATATTTACTGGTCGTACAAAAAAAATACTAAAATATCCCTAAAAAACAGGCCGTCACATAGGAAGACCCCCTTAAGTTAAAATTTCACACTTACACATCAAAAATAAAATGTTAAAACCTGAATGCATAGTCTAACTACTATGCATTCAGGTCAACATTTTATTTTTGTACAAAAGTTATATACGTGAGTCATTAATATCAGAATCTATATATATAAAATTCTCGTGTCACAGTTTTCGTTCCCATACTCTTCCGAAACGGCTTGACCGATTCTCATGAAATTTTGTGAGCGTATTGAGTAGGTCTGAGAATCGGCCAACATCTATTTTTCATCCCCCTAAATGTTAGGGGTAGCCCTAAATTTTAATTTTTTAGACAAAATTTTTAGTTTCAATTTTTGTATGATCAACATACATACAATCCTAAATTTTCACCCTTCTATCATTAACCCCTATTTTTTTATAGCGTTATTAATTTATAGGCAAAACAACGTTTGCCGGGACAGCTAGTATCCATATAATTTTAAAATGTGTTATCTTTCATCATCAAAATAATTAAAAAACATGATAATATTATGAGTGCATGTAGATTAGTAGAGGAAAACGTTGTATGAAATCAATAAATTTTTGCACTACACGTAGAGGATTTTAGCTTATTGTAGATTATCAATTTATAACAATCAAATAACATGTCTAGGCAATAATTAAAAATTTGAAATCAGAAAATGAACGTGTAATGTCAATATATGTTTACATGACGAATTAATTTAATGGATTGAAACACAGCATCTCAAGATGAGAGGTTTGCTAGATCCCCAATCAGCTCGTGTTTTTTATAATATATTATTTGTTCGAAATAATAGAATATTAATATATTACATTATTTGTGGCAATGTTCTTGTTTGAAAAAGTTAGAAAATATTATTTATTTGAGGTCACGTAATAGAATTAGAATTTGAAATAGATTAAAAATGCGCAAATACTTCAAGATATTGTTCTATAAAAAATAATTCAATCATGCTAAAAATAATAGATGCCAACATGGAATTAAGCATAATCAGTTCCAAAAGCAAATTATCACAATCGATATAGAATTGACGAAAGTATTGCGCAACATAATCAATAGTTGAGACTTTTGAATAAAAAGGAATTTCTTTTCGGAGTTGGTTATATAAATCTCAATCAAGGTACCAACAATTATAATGTAATACATACATTATAATTATTGGTACATAAATTAGAACATACATATGTCGCCTTTATATGAAGTTGAAATGAGTTCAAATGTATGTACTTAAATAGATAATACACTAGAAATGGGTACTATTGACTAGTTAATTGCACAATTAATTTAATCAATATTGTGCAACGTAATTCGGGACTTAACATGTTCTAATAAAATACTAAAAATAAGTCTACAATATAAATTAATTAAATAGATTGCACTGACATTATCAGTCTCATCATTAAATTAATATAATTATGAGTTCATCATCAAGTACGAGTTTGATCTACATTTTATGTGACAACAAAAAATGTTAGTAATAAAGGGCAATCAGATTGTCCAAGCGGATTACGATAAAACTCATAGTATGTAACACCGATAAATACCACAAAGTAATCGCATTCCATATGTTTCCCGCTTTGAGAAAAATATTGTTATCTCTTGTTTATAGTTTAGGACTTCGGTTTGAAAACGCCGGATATGTTTATCGGCTGTCATTTCTGATTTATCATAATCACGAAACACACATCAATCAAATTTTCTTTAAGGGTTTATTACACCGTTAAATATCCATATATATGAATATAGCTATCATATTCGGTTATTCTCAATGGCCCGTGAGCCAGGAACAGGTCATGGTGATAATTTTTTTTGTTTTTCTCTAGGTTCAAATTATTATCAAATCACAATTAACTTTTTTTGTTTATATTACGGTCATATATACATTTAGGGTCTTTTTAACCATATACACGCAGCGGAAGCACACAAAATCAATATTTTTTGCTACATTAAACAAATAATACAAACACACACAAACATACAAGCTATACCTTTTATAATATTAGTATAGATAAATAATAGTCAGTTGTCTATTGCGTGGTGTATTATACGACAACTGATAGCACGAATATGTCAAATAACATCAGTGATTTCTTCTCACTTTATAATTTGTCACATGTTAGTCGTAGTACTCAAACCGTACACATGTATATCTGTCACTCTGGCAATTTTGCAAGAGTTATCTTGTCGTATTATAAAAATAGACTCACTTATTACTATAAGAGACATACCATCAGATGTATTGCGTATGCCAGAAGTGTCGACACCTATCTCCATTGAGCCTCCGAATCCTGACGCCGTAGAGATACTATCTGGTGGAGTGGGCGCGAGGCGTTTTTTCTTTAACATTGGTGTTGAATTGCCGACGGATTTCTATAATTGAAAATATAGACCAAAAGATGGTTAAATAAAGATTAAATATTAATAATTCGTAAATAAAACTTACTATTTTACATTGAAATCAGAGAATCTTTTTGTAGGAGATGTAATTTGACTATTAATTTTCTTTAAAGAAAACTAGGATTTTACAAATATACTACGTAAAGACAAGCAATGGATTTTACAAAAATTGTGTTTACTTTTAAATACAAAATTACCGTCCCTATTAGTTTAAAAAAATAAAAAATTACTTGATCAGAATGCACAGTGGAGTTGTACGAGCTGAGTGATGAGATGCTCGCCACGTCGTCCATAGATGTAGAAGGATGTTCCAATGGAGTTGCAGGTTCCTCTATCGTTATAACTGGCGGGGGTGGAGCTTTTGCTTTCTTGCGGCGCGGAATGCTTATTGGTAAATTCGGCGTGCTCGTTGCCATCGAAGAATTGTATATTTTTGACCTAAACCATTTTAGATTATTTTATGTAATTGAAATGGCAATCATGTTGACGACCAGATGATAAACTGTGATAGTCGCCTATGTAATAGAATATATCACGTTATAGTGTCACCCGCAATACCAGAGGATTAAGATGTCATTTCGCTTATTCAGGAATTTCACCTCTAATCTTCATCGTACAAACAAAACACTGCTTACAAAGCAAGCTACTTGGCGGCTATCTCTGGTATACTGACAAATTGCATTTTTATGGCCATCAGGATACTTGATGAAATTCAATGCTTTTTTGGTATTTTTTAAGTCTCTAGTTTAATACTCAAAATTATTATACATTTTTTGGGTCTTAACACCAATAGTTTAATGGTAATAAACGCATCGACTACGTTTATCGACTAACCAACTATCGACAACCTCTATCGACATTTCGACAAAGTTGTACTAGCCGACTGTTATTAATCAATCGTATAATTTTTATTTGAATCTATTTGTTGTCTATTAATCGATATTCTATATCCTGTAGCGGTTATGGTTACTTTAGTCACACTAGTATTTAGAAAGATAAAAGGAATTTATGATAATGCATCATAGTAATAATTATGTCTAGACTTGCTAATTATACTCACCTACTATCACGTGTTTCTTCTTCATCTGATGAAGGCTCTTCTCCGTCAGACCAAAAAGGATTTACGGCTATAAGACGTCTCCTGTAAAAACATTCGATATTATGTCTTAATAATACTGCAGTAAGAAAATTACTGCTTACTACATACTAAATGTCGAATCACACTTCGTAATAATGAACAATTGTAGATTTCAAAAGTAGTCTGAAAGTAATGGGGAACTTCGATGGTAAATAGTATTTTGTTTCGTAAACACAGTACGAGAATTTTGAATTGGCTCGTTTTCGTCACGGCTATGTAATATTTTTTTTTCTGACAATAATAATTTATTTTTTAACAGAATTATGTAGATAAGATTTTTTTCTTTCTAATTATTATAAAGCAATCTTTACAAATTTAACCAGAATGATTTATGAAAATTTTTGGCTGACAGATATTTCTGCCCGCGTAAAGATTAAGTGAACCCCTTACGGTTCATCATCATCATCAATGCCATAAAAATTCTGGTTTTCATTTAAATATGTCAAAACGGTACGGTTTGTGAGAAAATATCAGTTACAGTTATTTTAGATTCACTCCATCACATTACAGTAACCATAATTATATTATCTTGCTTAAATAATAAGACCATAATTATCAAAGACACTTTTTATAGTTTGTAGTTACAAGTTCATATCTATTCTATCTATAATTAAAAGTAAGAGAAGAGAAAAAACCATTGAATTGAAGAAATGCTATAGGAAGAAAGTAATTATAATTGTATTAGGTTGTAATTAACATTCTTAATATTGTGTATATCATTCTGTGAATCAGTTTTGAAGGTTCAATGACAATTATATTAATAAACATATTAATTAATGTTAGTAGTCATCAATACCATTTATCAATAATTTAATGATATAGATAAGTAAAAATATTAGATATAACAAATATATTATTGAACATACTTGGGCGTAGCCTGGTTATTCTGATCTTTTGAAGTTGGTTGTATTGGCGGTACATTATCATCTTCTTCATCAGTGCTACCAAAGGGGTTTGTGCTTATCTTTTTTTGTGACTCCTCAGATGGTATTTCATTCTAAAAAGTAATTATTGTATGTATAAATTTTACCAATTGAAAAATGTAAACATTATATAATAAATGTACCAATTTATTATGACATGTTTACATATTAAATAAAAAGGAAAAACAAAAATAAATAATAATAATTTTGTTCTATATTAATGATGAATTATCATACAATATATTAACTTTAGCAATTGACAATAAGTAAAATGTAAATAATATGTTTGCAATATAAAATACTACATACATAACACTCATTGTCGAGACTGTTTATAATAATATTTTCTTATTCAGAGTATACATATGTAAAATTATGGTACAATTTACCTCATCTTCATCATCTGAAAATGGGTTTAAATGTTTTGGATATATTTTATCTTGGGTTGACTTGCTTATCACAACACTTTCAGAAAGTGTTTTTGTCTCTTCAGGACTTTGCTGTAACTTTTTTCTTCTGGGAGGAACACTAATAGTAATTTCTGCATCATTTTGTGTTTCTTCTGATGTTATTATGGATATATGTTCTGTATTACATGTTGATGAAATGCTATGGCTTTTCGCTATTCTAATATCATCAGTTATATTACTTTCTTCCCGAATTATGTCATTAGATTCATCATTTGTTTGTTGTTCAATATTCTCAATTATCTCTGTTATATTGTTAGAACAGTCTTCCCTGTTATGCCTTGTTTCTTCTGGTTCTACATTATCTAAGGTATTGCTGTTATCACTATCTAATATGTCACCTGACAATTGTGTTTGCAGGAAATTGAATTTGTGAATATTACTTCTGTATACTTTTTCAGATTTATTTATTGTGTCCAGTGATTCTGGAGTTTTTAAACTTATAGTTTTATTTGCTAATGTTGACTCAAAATTAGTGTCTGCATCGGTAGATTTTACATTGTCTATGATACTGCTATTACTAATACTGGAAGTATTAGATTCTTTAAGATTACTATTTAAATTGCCTTTTATAGAAAGATTTGATAATTTATCTTCAATGTTTGTTTCATTTTCAACATTCTTCTCAAACATGCTTATTTTTTCTAAAATATTTCATTAGGAACAAAAATAATGTATATATTAGAAAAAAGTTATTTAATTTGGAAGAGGAACAGCTGTATTTGCCTAATACAATACTAATAAATAAAAATGTAATTAAATATTTACACATTAAGCTCTAACCGATTAATATAATTAACTGGTTTTGTTTTGTTTTCAATCAGCATGCCAGTTTTAAGAGATACTATATAGTATCCTAAAATAGAGAAGAGAGTAACATTTTCACATAAAGCGAGAGGATTTTTAAATAGCAAGAAAATGTGTAGAGAATCTTACCTAAAACTGATTGAGGTCTAGGTCGATTTTGTGTTAGTATAGTTTCTTCTGTTTCTGTGGGTTTTTCTGGTAAAACCTCACTAAATGCCAACATACCCATTTGGTTGTGATCATTATTATTGAAGAATTTTGATAATGTTTTTTCATTTTTACAACTATCACATGAAAATTCAGATCCTTCAATTAATTCAAAATTTTTTGGATTAAGGTGCCCAGAACACTTAGAACAACGGAAACATCTTCTATGGTAAAGTTTGTGAGATACAAGTAAACGTTGAGCTAAGTAGACAGGTAGACCACATGCTGCACATTTGTCATGCCCTGATTTTCCAAATTTTATTGGTGCCTATAAATGATAGGGAAAAATAAGATCACAAATATAGTACAGAAATAAGTGCCAAGTATAATGCAAACAAAACACAAAAGAAAAAAGATAGAGTAGAATATTTACTAACAGCAGATTGAGTTGTTGATGCTAATGACACCTTTGAATCATTCTCAGTTGATTTGTTGTTTACTGTAAAATATGACATGACATCATTAATGGGTATGTTGTAGTCATATATGAAACAATATATAAATTCATACAATCAATTAAAGTATTTTATGTTAAAATAAAAAATATTTAGGGTACCTGTATGACCTAAACGTTGATAAAACTGAGATAAGTATGTTAATACTGATAGTCTATCAGGCACTTCATTATCTACCATATCCTCAGGGTCCAACAATGATGGTATTCCCAAATGTTGTTCGGCAATGCTATAGGCCAGTTGATTATTTTCATATATGTTTTCAGGTTTTAATGTTGATACATCACTGAAATAATAATAATAACAAATAGGTATGAATGACCATTCTACATTATTGCAAATAGATATTTTAGTAGTGTAATTATAACTCACATTAAATCTGGTCTGAAATGATGAACTAAGGCACAAAAGGCAATGCCGTTCCTCCATGACGTTGTCATGTTATCAATTTGAACGTTGGGGCAATCCTTTACTAGGCGTTTGCACCACAATTCGAGAGCTTTAGTGCCCTTTCTTTCAGACATTTTAGGGCTTGTATTTAACGAATCAAGAAAAATTTGTATACATATTAATTTAGTAAGTAGTTAATGAGTCATACAAAAGTTAAAATTGTTTACTATATGTAATCATTCTGTATTTCTTGATGTAGGTATTATATTTAAAGGTAATAATTAAATTTGTTGCTTAATATAAATATAATAAAGTTATTGATTGAAGAAAATAAAAAGTTTTTCACTTTGTTGGCATTTGGAAACTTTGTCATGTCACTTGATTATAATGATTTCAAATGACAGTATGACAGCAAAGCAGACTGACAACTACAATGTTGCCAACAAATTTTGGACGAGTACATTATGCAGAACATCAAAAAGCTCTAGAAAACTGGAAATTTTTAAAGGTATGTTAATGACACCATCAGGTAAACCGTTTCATTATAATATCATATAAAAACATGCTTATTTTGGATTTTTTGTTCTAATATATAAATATTAATAATATATTTTGCTATAAACATATCGAAAAACGAGGTAAAATTATTCAGTCATAATCTTGCTTGACTAAATGGGAATCGGAATATACATATATAATAAGTATTCTAAAGTCTAACTTTTTTCCGAAAAGTTGAGTGATTTTAACAGTATTTTTCTATAAAATTATTATAGCTTATACTTTTAAAAATGTCTGAAAGTTAATTCTCGTAAATAATATTATTTCCACGCATTTTCTTACGTTATAGTTAGGTATGGGTACCAACTTAGTAAAGTATATAGCCAAGGAATTGAATGTAAAGTTCTCATGTGGCACAATGTTTCAAGGTTTCAGAAAGATAGTTATACTTATCAAAAATAGGAACTACTAAAAACTTGGTCGCTTATATAATACACGAAGATATTATTTTTAATATTACATACCTAGTATATGTGGAAAATGAAATAATATGAAACAAAATGAATTTTATCTAAGACCAATTACACTATTTTTTTTAGTTTTTATTTAACAACATTTTATATTATAACAGCATAATAATCATTTTAATTAGGCACAACTGAACATAATTGCCTGGCGTATAGACGCTATTCATGAGGAACAGTCTTGAGCCACTTTATGCAAAAAGTTCTCAAATGGATACCTCAATCTTACCTATTTTAGCTGGCATGCGGCTTGTATTGTAAGATGTATTTTGTTTGAAGCGTAAGTAATAAGGCAGTAAAATTACAGGTTAAGTCTTGACAACTTAGTCCTTGGAAATGACAACGCATAAGTGGAATCGTAGGCGTCACATAATAAACGTGTTGTCCATGTGTTGTTTACGGCTATAGATGACGGTTACCACTAGAGAAATGAGCTATGCCAACGATATTTGCTGGCATAGATTATTTATTTATTTATTTACATCGTACTAAGTGAGCTTAACAGTCTCCCAATATGCCCACTTAGGAAGATAATATACAAATACACACAATTATAAACAGTAATTACACAAGAAAAACAAAAGAGAAAAAAAACAATAATAATAATAATACCTAATCTCCATTTAACATACTACCTAAATAATCCACTGCCATCCTAAGAAACTCCAGCAAATTACAAGTAAATATGTCTAGATCTGGAAAGCGACTAACTACACCGTTGAGTAGACTCAATGCCAGAGAAATAGGAGCCTGTTTGGCCAGCTCTGTTCTTCTCCATGGAACATGAAACAAGTTTCGTCTTCTTGCTTGTACGTAATTATTGGGCGCTCTTATGGACACCGATGTTAATACCGCTTGGTTACATTTTTCACCTCTCATGACTTTGACTACATATTCCATTAATGCAATCTTCCGTCTTACTTCAAGTGTGTCATATCCCACCATCCCCAACAAAAACATAGTAGGATATATATTAGGGTATGTGACTCTATAACCGTACTGCCTTTGATATACATATCGTATAAACTTTTTTTGGAGTTTCTCCACCATGAGTATATATTTTGACTCATGTGGGTTCCAGATAATTGCGTTACTTTCTAGTTTACTGCGTACGAAGACATTATATAGTATTTTAATACTAAGTATGTTGTCTAACTGGTGTGCCTGCACCAGATTATAGAATGAGCTTCATGTCCAGTAAGTAAACATATTTCTAGGAGAGTTTTAGTAGGGATGGTATGGAGGTCAATTTGATTGGCTTCATTGCTAGTAACGGGGCCGTTAGTCATTAAATGTAAATTAAATTTTAAAAATTATTTTCAGTGTACCAAATAAACAACGGGTAACAATTACTAATTTTACATTTAACAATTGCTATATTTACGCGTCTAGAAAAAAGATATATGGAATGACTCTTACACAGGTAACTATAAAATGAGAAACAATTTAGGTAATAACTATATAGTTTATTTCAAAAAGTAGACGGAAAACATATTTAGAATAAAATGTTAAGTAATAGACAGTGGCCTACCAACACCATTTGAAGCCCGTGGCAAGAACATTGGATCAGGCCCTTCCATTATCTAAAATGGCTTGACGTAGTACGAGATACGTGTCGGTAAGTAGGTAAAAAGTAGGTAAAATAAAATAAGCTAATTATATACGTATATTATTTTTATATTGTTTATGTAAAAGTTGATACTACTATACATATTATGACAGGCAACAATAAGGCGTTGGAGCACAATGAATAGTTAATAAACAAATATTTACTTATGAAATTTGCATTCTTGCTTGAGCAAGGAAGTAACCTAATTAGAGACAAAAAATTCGACTAACGGAACGTTGGACGACAGTAACCGAGAACATCAGCCCTGTATCCACTGGGACATTGGTAGGGAACATGGATAACTTTTCTATCTAAATCAAACTGGGCAATTTCAGGATGTTCTTCATCGCTTTCGGATTGCCTTTTCTTTCGTGTGAAAAAGGAATGAAATTGAGTTGCAATTGAAGTCCATAGTTTGGATGACCTGGAAAAAACGAGACAGATATAATATAAGCGGATACTTTAGTAATAAATATTAACAGCATGACGTTCTAGTCATTGAGCTTACTGATGTTATGTTACGCGGCGGGTTTTCTTTCCCGCAGGATACAAACATGTAATTCTAAAAAATGTAATTCTATCAAATGTTTACCTACCTAGGCAGGTAGTAAACAATTTCATTGTATAAGTTCTGTTTTGTTATTTTAGTTAGCATTATCCTTATTTTTGCATATCCTTACTAATATTATAAATGTGAAAGTATCGATTACGCTTTTACGCAAAAAATACTGAACCGATCATCATGAAATTTTGTACACATGTTGTTGGAGGTATTTGAAAAATAAAACAAATATTTTTTATAAAAAACTAAAAAAATATCAATCTTTTGCTATTTTAGCGCCATCTGCGCGATAGCCGCGGGTAAAAGCCTAATAAAATCATGACGAGGAGAAAATCTACTTATCTATATGTTATTGTTGTGTTACTCTTTCATGTATAAATATATGGAGAGAGAGGTTTAAAATGTTCATAGAATATGTTATTAAATGTGGATTAAAATACAGACTGAAGAAAGTTGAGAATATAAAAAGGGATAAATCTTATTAACATTATAAACGCGAAATTTAGGATGGATGGATGTTTGTTACTCTTTTAAGCAAAAACTACTAAATGGATTTTGATGAAGCTTTATAGCAACATAGCCTATACACCAGAATAACCTAGGCTAAAAATTTCACTGACACTCACGGCTGAAACCGCGAGCACAGCTAGTTTCAAATAAATTCTTGATATTTTACTAATAAAATAATTTAATTGTAGGTATTTATTGTTGTCGTTTTATATATCGTCAATAAATAGCATCTAATGTAGACGCGGATGAAGTCGCGGGCACCACAAGTTTGTATAAATATCAGCAAAAATTTTTCAGTATTGTTACAATCAATAGCTATATCTAAATAAAATTGGAGAGTCTGTTTGTAAGAATAAAATAACCGTTTCTACGCACTACATGCATATAAATACGGTACATACACCAAAATATAATTTTTCACATTTGTCTCTCTGTGTGTTCCGGCTAATAACTGAAATGGCTGGACCGATTTTGACGGGATTTTTATTGGAAGGTAGATGATGTAATAAGGAGTAACTTAGGCTACTTTTATTTTAGAAAATTGAAGCTAAATTCCACGCGGACGAAGTCGCGGGTGTAGCTAGTAATTAATATGTGCAGAGTAAGTTTTCTTGAGAACTATTCTAATTCTATTGGTTGTAGTTGGTCTTTATAGTTTCACTGGATAATGTAGATGTACGTAAGGACACAGATTATTTACTCCATATATTTTCTAGTACGGCGAAGTAATGAGAGAGATAACTAACAGGCACTATCCTTATATACCCATTAACAAAACTCGAGGCACATAATTATCAAAAAACGTTCTTTCCGACTTCGTTACCTACATAATTATGACTATGATTTTTTTCTGTATAAATACCCTCCTTAAGGTAAGTATGCGACCTACAAATATATTATAAGAAGAATATATATTATACCTACATATAGAGACGAGTTACCGTCATGTGAACAATGCTATTGACGCCCATGGTGTCCCTCGTACATTGCAATTTAGGAGGACTAAGGTGGTATGCTTCCGTATCCTGTAATTTTACTGCCCTATCTTGTCTTTCAACCGAAACACATCTTACAAAGTAAGCAGCATGATAGCTGAAATGGGTAAGACAAACAATCTACCCTTGCAGACGATTTATAACAAAGTGTACCGCAGTAAATTTTTGCTACTTATACTTTAGGTTATGTATGTACCCAAAATATCTATATAATTAATCAATCCCATGTTATCTATATCTGATCTGACTACTATAACTACTAATAATAATATAGTTATTACACTAGGAAACACTTATAGATTTATATTCTGTTTATGTACGTTAGGTTGTTCAACTAGTAACATCCATGTGAAACAAAAAATGAAATCAAATAATAGAAGATCGTATTACCACAGAACATGTTGCTCATTTCTCAATGAGTTTATTTCACGGCATTCTCCTCTCACGTATTCTTCACCAAACAAACACATAGTTTGAATGTTATAGCCAGCAGGACTTTTGTCTTCATTTTGGTACATATCGAAGCATAAACCATTCCACCACTGCTGATTGGGTCTACATTTTTGTGTATGTGTGTTCTGAATATCTGTTTCATAGGTCTTCACACCACTGAAATAAGTTATTGTTATTGTACAAGTTACAAGTTCAATAAAATACATGACAATATTGTGTTTCTATATATCTGAACACAGAGTATACTGATTCAGTTATTATGTGTTATTTATACTTATATCTGGTTATGTCTTATCGACATTGGTTACACATTAGGTACATACATGGTTTTATCTTTTCCTACTACAATTCAATTATAATTTTAGTATGTTAATGAATTTATCTGTGGCATACTTAGTCTATACTATTATTGTAAATAAATAAAGCGTGTCCGTATGTCTGCCTATATGTTTGCTACCTTTTTTTTATATAATCACCGAAAGAATCCTAATAAAATTCGACGTGAAGGTAGATTGTATTTAGATGACGGACACATTCTTTTCTTTTCTTTCCACAAAAAATTGTCGTAGGTACCACTGAGTGTTACGAAAGAACGTGGAATTTGGTTTGCATCTTACCGCAGTGAATGCATCGGTAGTCGGAAGCTAACATACACTTAAGAAACCTACGTACGCAGTCGTCTTTATGTAAAGTTTAGTGGACATCTCTATCTCACCTATTTTAGTTCTGAAGCGTTTTTTTATTAGTCGTGGTTCTATTGCGATAGGACATAGTAATTACCAGAGATGTGCAAAAACAGTTTACAAAATTGTATTTATATGGAATCGTAATTACATAGAAAATGTTACTATGCATATCAAATGCAAAATAATTTTAATTTTGTATTTAAAAATGGCATTTTCCAAATACTTTTATAGTTACTTTCTTTATTTCATTAGTAAGCTTTTTTATTAAAGCAAGTCATTATTTTTAATATACTAAGATTTTGTTTGTTTACAACGCCAACCGTTACAAAATTACCCATAGTGCTCACAAGAGTAGTAGTAACATTTTATTTGTTGCACAATAGATAATAATGTAAATCAGTATTATCAAAAAATATTGAATTCAGTACCCTCACTTTCCAATCAGTCAAAACTTAGTAGGTACCTATCTATAGGAGTGAAGAAGATATGACAAATTTATATTCAATCCTAATCCATAATTGAAACGCAGATTGGAGTCCGATCTTGAGATAGGTATCAATATAACATTGGTAGCAATCTTGGTTTGTGGATACGTTATTAATTTCGGGCGTAAATAGTAAGACATATTGAAAATGAGCCGTTTAAGCTGGTAATAGACCTTCCTATTCTGCCCTTCCCTGGAAAATAACCGTTTTATAGAAATATGAAAAAAATAATTTGTGATACCTTTGGTGGTACCTCTCGCCTTACTTTTCGTGACGGAGGTATAATTCCGTAAGATTGGACTCTTTCTTTCTTATATAATTACTTAATTTTAAATTATCACAAGTTTTTAATAAAACTAAAAGGGCGTTTAGCATTTTACTAGTACAACCTGTCCTAAAAAGTATCACAAAATGCTTTTATAAAATGTATTTGAATATGGAAAATGTATTTCGTATTTTTCACATCTCTGGAAAACAGTAATAACAAGGAGTCTACACGTGGGTCACATGACGACTTGAAATCTGTGCTGGTGGCATATTAAGCCAGATAACCCGTTACTTTGTTGTAAACGGACCCGTTTGATATTCCAATTATATGAAGAAAGTTAAATTATTATTTATTATTTACTCAACTCAGTTTCGCAATGGAATAATATATTATAAATACCTATAAACCTTTGTCAGGAATTACTACGTTTATACATAGATTTTCATGCGGTTTTACCGCATAAAAATCCGTACAGTAGAGATTATTGCGAATTTGTTTTATAATACATATGTATAGAAGGTTATATATCTATATTTTTTATTAATTTAAGTTATATGTAGGTAGAAACAATTATAATGACAATAATATTTGAAAAACAATTACTTATTCACAATTAGTATCTACAGAATTCCGCGTATGAATTAACTATATATACTTACAATTGAAGTTTGAATAGCATCCACAACTGAATATCACGGCATTGTTCATTCACAAGAATTTGTTCTAATAAACAGTTTGTAGTACGGGCAATCACATTATCAGGATTCATTACACCATTCCTGGAATCACTGCATTGGGCATTCATACAAACCGGTCTCGATAGGGTAATCATATTTTTCAGTATATTTAAATTTTTCCATAAAGCACATAAACTATTGGCAGTAATACTTTTATAAACTTCATTACCATTGCACACATCTCGACATTGTCCGTTTACATATTCCTGGCCCGCTAAACAAGTAGGTGATATCGTAATCACATCGGGATTTTCTTGACCAGGAGGGCGATTTGGTGAAACAGTAATAACATTATCTTCGCACGGTCCATTTATAGATACAAGTTCCGGCGAACAATTTGATGGTGGTATCGTAAATCCATTTTTGGGATCATTATCATTATTCCATATTTCACGGCACTGTCCGTTTATATATTCATAGCCCGGCGGACAACTAGGTGGTACAGTTATCATATTCATAGGATCAGCTTCATTTTTCCATATTTCACGACACTGTCCATTTATATATTGATAACTCGGCGGACAACTAGGTGGTACAGTTATGATTTTCATGGGGTTAGCTTTATTTTTCCATATTTCACGACACTGACCATTTATATATTCATAGCTCGGCGGACAACTGGGTGGTACGGTTATCATATTCATCGGATCAGCTTCATTTTTCCATATTTCACGACACTGACCATTTATATATTCATAACCCGGCGGGCAACTAGGTGGTACAGTTATCATATTCATCGGATGAACTCCATTTTTCCATATTTCACGACACTGTCCGTTTATATATTCATTGCCCGGCGGACAACTTGGTGGTACAGTTATCATATTCATCGGATGAACTCCATTTTTCCATATTTCACGACACTGTCCGTTTATATATTCATAGCCCGGCGGACAACTAGGTGGTACAGTTATCATATTCATCGGATGAACTCCATTTTTCCATATTTCACGACACTGTCCGTTTATATATTCATAGCCCGGCGGACAACTAGGTGGTACAGTTATCATATTCATCGGATGAACTCCATTTTTCCATATTTCACGACACTGTCCGTTTATATATTCATAGCCCGGCGGACAACTAGGTGGTACAGTTATCATATTCATCGGATGAACTCCATTTTTCCATATTTCACGACACTGTCCGTTTATATATTCATAGCCCGGCGGACAACTAGGTGGTACAGTTATCATATTCATCGGATGAACTCCATTTTTCCATATTTCACGACACTGTCCGTTTATATATTCATAGCCCGGCGGACAACTAGGTGGTACAGTTATCATATTCATCGGATGAACTCCATTTTTCCATATTTCACGACACTGTCCGTTTATATATTCATAGCCCGGCGGACAACTGGGTGGTACAGTTATCATATTTTTGGAATCAGTCTCCTTTTTCCATATCTCACGACACTGTCCATTTATATATTCCTGGCCCGGCGGACAACTAGGTGGTACAGTTATCATATTCATCGGAGCAGCTTCATTTTTCCATATTTCACGACACTGACCATTTATATATTCATAGCCTGGGGGACAACTAGGTGGCACTGTAATTACATTTTTAGGGTCATCGTCCTTTTTCCATATTTCTCGACACTCTCCATTTATATATTCCTGGCCTGGCGGACAGTTTGGTGGTACTGTAATTACATTTTTCGCATCGTGATCTTTCCATATTTCACGACACTCTCCGTTTACAAGTTCTTGACCCGGCGGACAATTCGGTGGAACAGTAACTATGTTCTTGGGAGTGTTCTTATTGTCCTCTTTATCTTTGTATGATAGATTGGAGGAAACACTTTTATAGTCATTATTTTGACACGGAACGGTAATTACATTTTTAGGATCTTCGTCGATTTTCTTTATATTCTCTTGAAGCAGATCAGGTGAAATAGTGACGGTATACTTTGATAAATCATAATACTGGCTTATATCACTACATTGTCCATTAATTTGCACGTGTCCTTCTGGGCAGTTTGTTGATATTGTTTCAATATTGTGTTGATCGATAGCCCCAGACTGAACACAAGAAATAAAGAGTAATGCCCCAAATGTTCCTAAAATTTTAATCATTATTTATAGTTTACATTTATTATTTTTATATATAATATACTCACTAGTGATTTGTTTACAGTGTATAGTGTCGGTAGGTTTACTACAAGTAAGAAGAAAATAATCTATACTTTATAATTGAGTTTATCAATGCGAAGTTGATAAAGCTACTTATGACGTCTTTGATTAAAATGAAAGCGATAATTTAACATTGTTTTAGAATATTTGTGTAATAAATATTTTCAAAAGTCCTATCCTTATGATCCTTTATGATGAAAAGGTATTTTAAGATTTATTTCCGAAAAGGAAACCGACTTCTGTGTTCATAATATAAGTAGTATACTCCCGGTATACAATTTGGGTTGAAATGGGCTGTGATCTAATATGAAGTTCAGTATTTGATTGATTTTCCTAATACCATTGTATTAGCAATAACGGCGTAAAAGGCCAACTGCCTGTCATTCCTAACGGCCCCGGATCCAGAGGGAGGCAACACGCTCGCCCATACCCCGGGAGGGAACTTCTAACTATTTTTGCCGCCCCCTAATGTCTATTAGCATACACACATAACTCACCTTAACGCATCTTTGACTACTTGACCACTGTTTGTGTTCTATGTATTTGAAAGTTCCATAATTAGTAATAGCAATACTAATTAGACAAATTATATATTAATATGGAAATTGTAAAAAATTAATTCAACCCTACCAAAACACAAGCCTGCGCGTTCACCGCTAAGAAAACCCCTTTTGCTGTGCTGTGCTGAGCCACAGCAAAAGGAATTTTCTTATTTAGCAATTCCAAAACGCGTCCATTACCATCTCTAAGAGTATTGGGATTCTCGGTGTCGACATCTCTAGCACAGTTGAGTTTCGTAGTCACCTCGAAGAAAAGGTCAAGCTGGCGTCAGAAAAGCTCGGTGTGCTAAATAGAGCGAGGCCGTTCTTCACTGTAGACCAGAGACTTTTATTGTATAAGTCGCAGGTTCGGTCACATATGGAGAATTTCTCTCATTTTTGGGTAGGAGCATTTGGATACCAGCTCTGTCCTTTTGACTCGGTTCTGAGACATGCTATGAAAATTGTCGATAATCCCAATCTCTCAAACGGTATCCAGCCACTTAGCTTGAGACGAGCTTGATCGAATATACAATGGACTGTGTTCTGAAGAATTGTTTGACATGATGCCTACGTCTACCTTTTATCATTGTACAGCTCGATATCGACAGGGAATTTATCCTCACACGATGGAACCTAAGTTGTCTCGGACAGTGCAGTTTCAGAAGAGCATCCTCCTGCGTAAACTTAGATTGTTTGGTTGTAAAACCTTACGCAATTGCCATAAAACGAATCACTAACTTTAGCCAAACGACATTTAGGTAAAATCAGTTTGTTATTGTTACGTAAGCTTTTATTAGTACAATCACTAACTCTTTTGAAACTGTCTATATTATTCCTGGTATACATGATATTTTCATAAATGTATTGAGAAGCAACGTTGAGGATATTTGATTCCTTAAAGCACTCTCGTAAAGACTCCCTGGAACCCATACTATAAATGGAGCGAATGGCCCTATTTTGTAAAATAAACATTGTATTTATATCAGCTGCTTTGCTTTATCGAGAGACTACAGTATGGGGTTTTTCTTATGGGTCGGCAACGCGTTTCTTAAGGGTCGGTCGCATGTGACACATCTGGTGTCTGCGTCCATAGGCTACGGTAACCGTTTACCATCAGATAAACCATATGCTTGTTTGCCACCTACGTGGTATAAAAAAAATTGTTGGGTAAGACGAGGGGAGTCCTAGGGGGGCGAACATTTTATACTTTAACAACTTTCTAAACAAATGTCTTTTTAATCTGCCATACTCACATTTCTGAGTGCAACGATTTCCTTTAACAAGATATTAATTTTTTAATGAATAATGGTTTACGAGTGGTGGCTACTCAGTGACTGTAGGATATTTAGTCTTTAGTAATATTTTAGTCAGCGTTTTAAACTGTTTATTCGAAAAGTTACCACATGTATCACATATTTTCTGGTGTTGTTATATAGCACACCGTCTAGTGTGAAATTCACCACGTTTTAACACTAGAAGAAAACAAAAAAGTAACGCCATTAGTAGCAGAAGAGCGACTGTCTGTCGGAAAGTTATCAATAGACAACAATAGCCTGGTCAAGTAATTACTTACTACGAAGAATATCACAAAATTTATTATAAAAGTTAAAATAGGTTTAAGTTTATAATATACATATATCAGCGAAGCATATTAGACTATAAAATAATAAATTAAACTCTTACCTAACCATTTCTTAAAACGAATTCCTTTTGTTAGGATGGATAAAATAATACCTATATATTGATTAGTAATAGTAGTAGGTATTACGGTTTCGATTTGTGTTACATGTAAAATACGAACAGAAAGCGATAATAAAGCTAACAGAGATTAGTGTTCTCTGTTAGCTTTATTATAGCTTTCTGTTCGTATTTTACTCATAATCATAAAAATGAAGCTTTAAACTCGTAAGTCTATGATAATTATATGTAGCAGAAAAAATGTCTAAATTTAATGAATTGCACATTCTCATTAGGTACATTATTTCGACACGTTTCATCATTAAAAACTAGTTGACGATTATGATTAACATGAAATAGATATTTTAATTATATAGGTACTCGTATTTTATTGCGTCTTAGTGTTGTTCAATAAATTAATAGATATTAATAAAAATACACACTTTCTTAAATTCACACATTCATAAAACATTGGCTCCGGTTACAAAGTTTGTTCCTTCTTGACTAATTTGTTGTTTCGGTGTGATATTGACTTTCCGACCAAAATAGATATGTAAATTAGTCAATCTGTATTCAACACTAGCTAAGTTAGGCTCTTAAAATTATAGATTAGTTACGTAAATAAAATAATACATATATACACATACACATATATATGTATCTAAAATATAAAATATGGATAAAAATAATATTGATTAACAATAAGTACCTACTGTTATCTGACAGGGTAGTCAGAGACATTTTCAACTGTCAACGTTGAATGCAAAACTTGCCAATATTTCGCTTAGTATATTTGAATCCAACGTGGAAGGCCACAAACATATCGCAGGCATCAAATATAATAGAACTATTGAAATCATCGATGTAGTATGAAAGGTACCTACGTGTGGTGAGCATTTCAACAAGTTGATAGACGAGTCACGTTCTCTACGACACACGCAAGAAGTCAGTGACTTCATTGACTCACAATCACTATTAGTCGTATTTTATAACAACTACATAGTTAAATAATACCTTATTCTTGTTTCAACAAATTATACTTGTGTGCGTACAGTCAATTTAAAAATAATATAACAAGTGTATAATGTCTCTAAGAAGACAAGAAGCTACTATATATAAAATCAGAGTGCAATCGGTTCCTAACCATGCGTTGCCATTCACCGTCTCGTTATTTTTAGGGCGTCGGTTAAGATACCCTGAGAGTATTTTCTATGTATAATATGGAGTACATCCACCTACTTACAAAAAAAAAAATTATATCAGTTACCTAGTACCTACCCATAACACAAGCTTTAGCTAGCTCAACTTGGGCCTAGATGGCGCTGTGTGAATTGTCCTAAGATTATTATTATTTCCACAGTTTTACAATATATATCGGTTATTTTATTATTATTATTATTGGTATATGTTTTATTTTCATAGCTTTTGCTGGATTTTTACGCTTTGTGTTGTATACCACACTTACGGGCTAAAATTATTATTGTTATTATTATTATTATTACTTGACTTAATCTAAGTTATAGTACTTCTAGAAATTTTAATCGACGTTATTAAAACACACTCGTTAAAAGCGCACCTTTTAAGTTATGAATAAAAGATAGTACTTAGATATCTATATTAGGTATTTGCACCAGCGATATGCGTTATTTTTACCTAGTGCTTCCTAATTTTTTGACAATAACTGTACTTAGGTATAGAGTATAGTTTAAACAGAACGCATGACGAATATCAAATAATACTTCACTAGGTATGCATAGATGTATTAAGGGTGGGGCATGAGGGCTTATATCGTTACGTATCATATTGACAAAGTAATTATAACTAACTTCGTATAGTAATAAAAATGTGTAGCACGATAAACATAGATTTCTGCAGATCAAAATTACTAACATTTGCATAGACAATACAATTAATATCACTAACAATAAGTTAACTACGAGCAAACAAAGTACCTAGCGAAAGAGTAACCAGTACAAAAATGAGAGCCTGGTGAATAAAATATATATAAATATAAAAATCACATTAAAAACGAATTGAAAATTAAAAAGAAATACAATATTAGATATGTATATATATATAACAAAAACAACTGTAGCAGTAACTTATCACCATAAAGAATAATTTCATGGTATTATTGTTTAAATAACTATATAAATATAAGTAAATGAACAGTCCAGCACTTAAGAATTTTATTATTTATTAGGTAACTAACTAATCATTTCCAAGTTGCTCATACCCTATGAGCAACTTGGAAATGAATGGAATGACTTAGTGAGAAAAAGCACTAAAGAAACATTCTTATTATTTCAATCCTCATTCGTTTATACTAATTTTATTTTTCTAAATGTTTTTATTCATAGGTGCCTAATATACGCAGATTTCTATAAAATTTAAATGAAAAGGCCGTTGTGATAATAGCTTTGTTTTAAATTGACGCCTATATCTAACTGATACATGTATAATGAGGGCTACTACTTCACAAAGTTGAATAAAGAATGATCGAAATCAACAAAATTTTACATATATTTTGCGAAGACACTAGAAAAAGAAATTGAAGTTATTACTGAACAATTAATCTAAGAATTATATTCCGCAAACACATTCATAACAAAAATAAATATTAACTTTGAGATATTCACAAACATGACGTACAGGAATAATCAGGAACTGTTTAAATTAAAATACCTTTTATTATTAAAAATCAAATCACATATGACAGATACGCAGATCACAGTTCTATACCATCAAATAATAAAGTGTCGAAAGTACCTACTTTATGGAATTGTACTTATATGTACGGGTAATAACCGGAAATGTTGATTATCTCAAGGGTTTGAACGTCATATTGTGAATCAACTAATACATTTTGTATACGCCCTATTAGCTCCGTAGTTACCACGTGAATTTCAATTCTAGCTACAATGCCGAGAAGTTCACATTCGCTATATACTGGACAAACCAGATGTCATCTTGTTATCCTAAAATAACTTCAGTTTAACTGATCATAAAGCACCAACATCGTAACGTAGTATTGACAATTGAAAAATTGTTTCTCGCATATTGCAATTACATGTAGGAAAGATAGCACACCTATACTAAGAGTGTCCAAGGTTTAGCAGATAAATCTATGTTTATGAGTGAATATCTCTTCAATTCACCAAATAAGTTGGTACCTTGTAGACTTAAAAATGTAATACATTTTTAATAGAAAATTATAAAAATCTTTGTATCTGCTTTTATTACCGAAATTTATGATTCTTCTTTAAAAATCCATTCTTGGTCAATGTCGGCATTTGTCATTACAGTCATTATGTTTCACAGCGTTTACAGCGTCGAATTTTATTGATTTTACGAAAGTCAACAAGTATTGCGTGGGTAACCCTGGCTTACATTTATATGAAGGCAGGTCAAAGTAGTTGCCTACCTATAACAACATCTAAGTAGGTACATAAGTATCGTATAGCGCAGTGGGGTGGGCGGGCTCCAATCAACTCTATTGTAACCACATAACGTTCCAGAAAGTGATACAGACTGTACTGGGCAATTGTTCACAGAACAATTCTTAATTTTGCTGGAAATTGAGTGAACGATATTAGTGAACTAAAGAATTAAAACGAATATTTTAAGTGAAAATGACGATATTAAATACGAATAAGAAAACTGTATTATTGATATTATTTTTATTGTGTACTTTGATATGTGTGGAGTGTAGAAAAACGTCAAAAAGTCGGTCCTCAGGTTCTGGCCGCGGATCGAGTAAAAAAACAAACAGCAATCCTCAGCCTGCGCCAACCTCCTTTAGTTATTCACAGCCTGCATCTGCACCAAAACCTACATTGTTTGGATGGCAAGAAAAACCTGCTCAAAAGAGTGCCTCAACATGGCAATCAAAAACATCAAACAGTCAAAGTCATTCTTATCCTTCAAGTCAAACGAGTCTATCTGGCAATCAACCTAAGCAACCAGCAAATCATCAAGAGAATATTCAAAGAAACCAGGCACCTCAACAGTCACGACCAGTTTCTCAGATAAATACTAACAGTCAATCTGGCCATTCATATCCTTCGTCCAACGGCCTTTCAGGTAACAGCGGTTCGGGAGCAAGCTACTCTCAAGGGACTGGTTTGTCAGGTTCTGGAGCAAGTTACCCCCAAGGGACGGGTTTGTCAGGTTCTGGAGCAAGCTACCCCCAAGGGACTGGTTTGTCAGGTTCTGGAGCAGCAAAGCCTCCTAGCTCCGGTGTAGGATATCCACAAGGGAGCGGTTTATCTGGATCAGCGCCAGCGAACTCTCATGGAAGCGGTCTAGAAGCTCAAAGACCTAGTTATGGAGGATCTGGCGGCGCGCCACCTCCTTATCCTGGGTATAAAGCTGGAGATACAAATCGGCCTTATAATGGAGGAAATTATCCAGCGCAAAATTACGGTAATAATTATCAACATGGATTACAACAAGGACCACCGCCTCCATACTCTCACTATGGGTCCAACTACGGGGGATATGGAGGGAATGGTTTTTACTCTCAAACTCCTGGATATTTTGGAAATTATGGTAAAGGATTTGGAGGTGTTAGCCGAACAAGCAGCGCTCTCAAAGGTGTAGGTATAGCAGGCGCCGGTATTGGCACATTGTTGACAGGATTAGCATTGTGGAATTTAGCACGTTCTACTGGTCGTCATCATCATACCGTTATTTATGATAACAGAGGACAACCGGTGGCGGTAGCTCCTGCCAACGATACGTCGTCTCCAGATGAATCATTCTTGAAAGATTTAGTCAACTGCAGCCTGACTATAAGTAATGAAAATGCAACTGAAGTGTTAGCTATACCATGCGCTATAGCATCGTCATTTTCTCCAGAAGCTGACGTAAAGGAAGTAGGAGCTGATGAGAGCAAGATTGACAACACAAAATGCATGGTTACAGTTGTAACAAAAACTGGTAAAGAATACATGACAACAATACCATGTGCTACACTGCTCAATACCGCTGCAGAAAATAATGTTACAGAACCGCCTCTGGAAAGCAATGGAACGGAAAATACTAACAGTACAATAGGTTCTGGTGATACACCATTAATAAATCAACCAACAGCTCTTAGCCTTTCTAGTGGTAATGCCGAATTGAAAACGACACAGTCTGGTATAAATTGTACACCTGAGCCTGGTATTACGAGGGATCCAATTGATCCATGTTTTGCTGTGACTAGTGATTTAACGGTGGTTCCAATACAAACCTCGGAAAAACCTACAGAAAATGCGAAGTAGGGAAGTACCTACAATTAGGAAATTTCACGATTGTTTTAATATTTTTAGCTATATTTTGGCAATGTATAGTCTGTGTGCCTCTCTACCTACCTACTATGGTCTATTTCAGTGTGTCAGTTTTAGCATTGCTATATTAGTAAATTATTATTGTAGCATTAAATAAAACTATTCAACAAACTTGTAGTATGTCGTAATATTGTAATAGAAATATATAACTTACCTAAGTGTGAAATGTTTTAATTTATTATTTCATACTTAGGATAATAGACTAGATGATTCTATTACAATGAATCCTTCCATTCATACATGTTATTGCATGTACAAAATCAAGTAATCTCATATTTCTCGAATATGATCTATTACATCAGATAAATTCACTAGTTTTTGCGAAAGAGTAATAATCATACATCTATAAATCACGTTTGTTAGTAGAACTGGACGGTGTCGGTAGCCTAGTGGTTTAGCAGACTATTTTACTTCAGATGATTGCGGGTTCGATTCCTCTCACGGTACAAACATTTGTATTCCTAAACACCAGAATATCATCGTCATATGATATTCTGGGTGTTTTCTATGTATATTATGTTACATACATCCATAAAAAATGTATCTAAGTATATCTATCAGCTGGTTAGTACCCACAACACAAGCTTTGCTTAGCTTGGTGCTAGATGACGCTGTTCAATTGTCCAGGGATATTATTATAATTATAAATAATTTGACATAATAGATCGTGAGGGTTCTAATTAGCATATAATAGTCATCAAGAGCAAAGTTATACGGTTTGGCAACCTGACACCTACTGTTATAACTATCTGACATTCACGTATCTGTGGTTATAACTTTATTTTTTCTTTGACCGTTACTTGATATAGCAAATATACTTTTATAAATTAAATAAGTTTTCATAATCATTTAATAATAAAATAACCTAAATAATATATGGACGAAATGGTATTATAGACGTATATTTTAAAACCGGTATATGTCCTGGGTGGAAAACCATTGAAATATATACACAAAAATTCATCCAAATCGGTTCAGCCTTCTTGGAAGTTAGGAGACAAACAAACGTACAGAAATACTAGAAGTGTATGCCTAGATCATACAACTCGATTTCTTTAATAATAATACATAATTACAACATTAAATATATTGAGTAGCTAAGAAACAACTCTTCGTTTAGGAGATACGATACCACAGATAGACGCACAGACACGATAACGTTGTCAGTTTATTTGCTATTCCAGTTACATAAGAAAACAGGCTTGCAAATTTAACTCCTTTAGGGTTAAATATGCGTAATGGCTTTTTAAGGATATTCTTAGAAGCATACATGATATTTGATGTGTTAATAATTAGATTGAACAGAGTAAAACATACGTCGTAAAATAAATTTGGAAGACGTTGCAATAAAAAATACTTTTATTTTGTCAGTTTAAAAAATGTAATTTAAACAATTACGACATAATTCTGTATATAGTCTGTGACAAAATATCTAACAGGCACAGTATAACTTGGGGGTTTCTGAATATGGAACCCAACATCTATGTATTTTTAAAGATGGTAACCCTGATTCCACAGTAAACATAAATATTGAGTTCCGACTCGTAACTTTCGTAAACTTTAATTATTTTGCTCAATTTATGAATCCATTCTCTAAGGATATTAATGTAAACTAAACTGTGTACTGAAAGTATTTGAATGTTACACTGAATTAAAAACAAAATTACTAGGATTAGAAGTATAGTTCATTATCTTGATTAAGTATTTACTAAAATGTCCGACCCTACTATTCAAACATTTTGTTGTCATCACACCGGCAATAATGAAGACTTAGCAGTAAGAATTATGAATGAATTTAATACTGATACATATAATGCTGTATGCTTGTTTTCTTCATCAGTAGGAATATTAGGATCTCTATACCAGGTATAGAACCCAAATAAAATCATGCCTTTAAATATTTTGGCTAAGTTAACATAGTAGTTAGTAATAATAATAATAGTTACTAGTTTTATTTAATAGATTTTTCCAAGCATATTATCTGGAGGTATACGTAGATGGCAAAGTCTGGGATCTACAAGAGGGCGGCGTATTATAATTTGGCTGGCGGTTGCAGATCTCTTAGCTTCTTTTGGTAATTCTCAATAATAACTATTAAAATAAATATTAATTATTGTCTCTCACAGCATCTGGGTGCCACTTTACATGTAGATTATATATAGAAAAACAGGGAACTATATCAATTAATACTATTGTTATTGATCTACAAAACTGTCCATGTTATTCTCCATTCAATTAGTAAAATACTATGCCAAATTTTGTGATGAATCATTTAACTGCAAATGACAAAGTAACTTTCACATCTACATATTCATGTTATATAAATTAAGTAGTAGCTGCTTCACTTATAATAATGTGTTCTGAATTTGAAAAGTAAGAGGTATTAGTGATTGGAATACCTTGCACCATTTATTAAGAATGTTTTCATTTTAAGTGTTAGTAGCCAGAATCCAATATAGTCGAAAATTTAGTACAAAATATTTGAGATACAATTCATGTCATATTGTAATTGTAATGCCAAACAATCTTTGGAGGCTGTTTATGTAAGGTGTAAGGTGACAAATGTTGCATTTGTGTATATGGATCTGCATTATGGACCTAATAAAATGCATTGGTACAGAGTTAGCCTTTCTAACAAGTCATCCGAGTGATGACCTCAGTTGAGTACAGTCAGTACCTATATCAGTTAATAAGCACCTTTTTTTGTAATACTTGTTACCTTTCACATATATTTATACCTAAGGACTAAATTATGAAGTCGCCTTTTTTACTTTCTGACCTTCAAAGCTGAAGAAAGCTTGCTACAAGCTTCTGCCTAAATGAATTGAGCAAGCAGTACCCATACAGGCAGCTTTGAACAGTTATGCTTTAGTCTACCATTTATTGGATACATAGCATTCCTCTGTAATAACAAGCTGCTTCTTATAACAAAAATAGTTAATAAATAAAATAATTGCTCTAGTTTAGTTTTCATGAATACTTTTATTGACCATTGCAGGTGTTCTGGTACGTTCTGCTTTGTGGTTACAGTACAAAAATATTATGCCAATGCCTGATGATGATGTAAGCGTATTATTCTGCAGCATAATATCTGTAAGTATAATTTAAACAATCTTTATTATATAAAGAAATGGCTGTTTGCTGAAACTTCTGCTTTTTTTTATAAAAGAGCTTGTCTTAAGGTTTCAAATTTGATTAAGTACCTTAACCAGTTTAGTCATAAACTGGTAAGAAATAGACAAATTCATATTTATAATATTAGTATGTACATTGTACAAAGCATGTATTTTTACTGTTTCAGGCATGGACACAGTATTTTTATACAGCCACATGGTTCTGGACATTATTTTATGCTATAGATACATGGCAAAATATAAAGAGACGAGATTCTCATATATTAGTATATCATTCATTTGCATGGGGTTTGCCTGCGGCTACTACAGGTGTAGGATTATCTATATTATATCTTCCAAATGCTACGTAAGTATATGCTAACATTTTACATTGTATATTAGTCTTTACTTGATATTTTATTTATTATTTTTATGGACGGTTGCTCTGGTAGTGTAAACCGCTGGTATGGCACTAGTGGAGGATTATGAGCATGAGGTAGGTCAGTTAGCCCATTGTGGTAAATACACCAAGAATTGATCACAATAGTTTCGTTTTCTAGGGGGAACCATGTAAAGGTCAATTAGTCCACATTACTAACAATCCCCTTAATACTTGATATTACAAATTAGGTGAGATATACTTTTCTAGAGTTATGTATGTAGTTTTGCTCCAATTTTAAAAGCAAGGCCACTATCAGAAAAAAGAAATTTAAGAATATTGTTAACAGTTTCGAAAAAATATAGACAATTGAACCTTTAATAATATATCAATGTTTAATATTATTTCCAGATGTCACAATTTAACTTCAGTTTCAAGCGCACTCTTCAAAATACTACCAAATTATTGTGCCACATATGTACCAATAACCTTAGTAATGATAGTAAACCCAATTATGTATGTCTTAGCTGGTAAAGATGTGGAAATGGCAGTTGCATTGCCTTTAGCACAGGTATGTAAAACAATATCAATTCTATAAATTAATATTCATAAAACAATACAAAATAATAAAAATACATAAAATCTTAAATACAAGGAGTGTGAGTGTGATGGAGAGCTCAGTTAGAAATAATACTTAGCGAAATAATAACCATTTATCATATCCTATTTTTTTCAGTTTACTAGCACAGAGAGAAGAGTAGTGGATACATTGAGATTAAAATTTTTCCTCATAAATATGGTTTTTTATGTTTGCTGGCTGCCAAATCTCATAAATGGTATATTAGTCTGGACTATGTGGTTCAACATGCCAGTGAAAGTCATAATTGTTATATGGTATATAATGGTATGTACTAATGGATGATAATAAAATAATACACAAGTCTGCATTAATGGTATACCATGCCGGACGCCAATGGAGGATAAAACGATTAATAAGCATATATTAATCATAGCTGCAGAATGACTATAGTAACGATAGTTTCAGTTGTTTTGTCCAAGATCGAAAAGTATGGATATTTAATTTTAAACTTTCGTGTTTAATATACATTATTTAAATTATTAACCGGGTCTTAACACGAATAATTTTATGGCAAATAAAGGTATTTACCTCTCTCGACGTTTCGACTACGCTGCACTAGCCGTGGTCACGAGCTGACTGGAGTAACAGAGATGTCAATGTTCGCGAACACAGCTCTCTAGCTGTGTGTCGCGAACTTTCGTTAAACAATCTAGTTACGGTAGATGAAGAAAAAACTGCTGTCACCTATCTACATTGACATCGCTGTTACTCCAGTCAGCTCGTGACCGGCTAGTGCAACCTAGTCGAAACGTCGAGAGGTAAATACCTTTTTTTGCCATAAAATTATTCGTGTTAAGACCCGGTTAATAATTTAAATAAAGTATGGATATGTCATAAATATCTATACTTTATATATAGTTTGTTTCTTCGTTACACTGGTATCAACAAAGTTAAAGCTATAGTATATTGAATTTTTGTTGTGATATGTGTCGGGGGTTGTAACTATTGTGCAGTTTTGTTTTACTGGAAAGTTTACAATCCCAAAATTCAGCCTTTGTGTTAATGAAATTGAATAGCTTACAGATTGATAAGATATATAATATTATAATCAAGGGACTATGAAGTTATTAGATTTTAGAATTTATTATTAATTATTAGAATATAATATTAGGTATATATTAAGTATATAATAAGAATGTGCTATAATTATTGTTATATCATAGATTGATATAACAATAACATCACATAATAATAAACATAAAAGACATCCTCTCTGGTTTAGCCCACTGCTTTACTTCTAATGATCGCGGGTTCGATTCCTCGCATGCTGTAAATGTTTGTAACAGTTTGTATATTTTCTATGCATGTTGTAGATGCATTTACAAAAAAAACATCCGAGTATTTACATCAGCTGTCTAGTCATAACACAAGCTCTGCTTAGCTTGGTACTAGATATCGTAAAAAGAAACATTTACATTAAACTATTAAGGTTCAAGATTCAAGACTTATTAAGATCTTGGCATTGTCCTATGCATGTAATTACTTTTTCCGTTACAAAAAATAAAAAGCACATTGATTTTTTTACAGGCCTTATTGAATCCAATGCAAGCTTTACTGAATGCTCTTGTATACCGGAAATGGAATACCAGTACCATATTTACACGTTCCGTTTTCAAAGTGATGCCTAAAGAATATAATTTGTATGATGAACAATCGCCACTATTGGGCTCGGAACCTACTCGACTTCAATTGTCGTCCATACCACCCGCCATCAATAACTATGCAACTATTTGATAACACTTGTTATTATTGTATGTGTATAATAATTTTAGTACAATAAAATGTGATATTAATACATAGTCATAAGTTTACACCACTGAAAAGCGTATTTGTTACTTGTCTATATTTTTATTTGAATACATATTTCTGTACCTACTTCATGTGTGTGTGTTCTATTGAACCACAAAATAGGATTATAATTAAATCATTTAAAAACAATACTGTTAAGTAAGGCCTAACACAAGCCTGTATATGTCAGAAACAAGTTTTAGGACTTATATTTGCTGTAAATTATACAAATACGCGAAGATCACACGACCATTAGGTGTGAAAGCGAGTTAAACTGTTAGGTATAAACAGTTAAAAATTTATGAATTTATAAAAAATAACAAATGTCACTTTAAATGCTTAAAAATGTATAATTTTGTTACTGAAATCCTCCAATAAATGTGAATACTGCTTAAATATATCCAATATTCGGATTTCAATTTATTTTGCATATTTGTAAGCTCCAAAATATCATTCACAACTAAAAAGTTTCAACTGTTTTAATTAGTGTAATTTACTTAGATTTTGACCCAAGGTTAGGTATATATGTACAAGTACATATTTTTTAAAGTGATAAGCGCTCACCTCTGACCTAGTATGATTAAATAAGATATACATTATGAAAGATAAATTTATTTATAATAAGAATTTATACATTTTTCTTAATTTACAAATTAAAATAGCTAGATTTAGCTATTGCTATCACATATCTATATTTCCATCTTGCTCACTTTCCGGTGGGGCCATGGTCAAGTCTGTGACATCTTTAACAATCATGTGAGCTATTTGCCAAGCCATTTCTTCTTCCACTTTTGAAGTAGTAACTGGCACAAATCGACTAACCATTTTTTTCAACACTGATTTGTCTTTCTTGTCGGGGTCCGGCTCAAACTTTGACTCAAATCTACCTAAACTATTAACTCTTCCAAGACTTAGCCCATCATGCCTTTTTCTTTGCCACAAAGCATCCGCATTATACAATTGATTAGAATCTATTGTCATATCAGGTACAGAGAGATTGCGTTTCTTCTTTCGGAATGCTGGGTCTCCCATAGCCAGTAAAGTGTTTTGAGTACTGATACTAACTTCACTACTACAATCTGACTGAGACTTGAAATTTGATGACCAAGTTTGATCTACTGAGTGAATCATCTCAGATAAGTATTTATAATATAATTCAGATTCTAGAAATGATTTCACATATTTTGTCAGTGTTTTGAACACCATCTGATGAGATAAATCAAAACATGTGTATAAAGGCCCTCCCACTCTACATATATTACTTTCAATGTTCAATCGGATCTCTGTTGGAAATCCTACTGGACTTGTGGCTTGCAGTGAAAAATATTTGTCGTACAAAACTATAGCATCTATTTGTGCTTGATCAGAATTTAAACTGTTACCATTCATTAAATTGTCTCTGAAGTGAGTAACAGCCATTAAAAATTCTAATAAGATTCTACAAGATTCTTGCTCCAAATATTCCGTAAAATAGAACAATATTGTTTCATTATATAAAATATCTATAAGGTTGAGAGAGCCAGTGGTCAGTATGTCAATTTGTGCTTTTATATAATATGGGCTGTTTACAAAATCATTAAAATAATTATTGTCTATTTGACTGAATATGACTTCCTGTATAGGTTTAAAGCAATCTTCTTTTATCCTGCCTTCAGGATCACATATATTTGAAATAACTGATTTTCTCAAGCTATCAGGTAAGTCTAAGTGATATGGAGCTTCTAATGCCACATATTTTTTAAATATTTCTATAGCTATTTCTGTTAAATCAGATATATTTTTAGTTTTTTCACAATCTTCACAACTATCTACTGTGTTATCATATTCAGCTAAGTTCAAACAAGAACTTGTTGAATAATCACTTTTTCTTCTTAATTCAGTGGTACACAAATCATTTTCATTTTTTTCTCTACATTTTCGTGACTTAAATTCTTTATCCTTTTGTGTTTTACATTTACATTGAAAATCAAAACTTTTAGCTCTGCTGATTTTTGTATGGTTCTCTGTTTGATTGGTGTTCAATACCAGTGTTTTAAAATCATCAAGGTCCAACCAACATTTTATCAATAAATGCTTACCAATAGTTTCCATAAACAGTATAAAATGTTGTAAGGATTTTTTTTCAATGAGTATATCATGTAAATTTAATGACAGCTTTGATTTCTTAATAAATAATTGTGAATAATCTGAAAATAAATAATGATGTATTTAAAATTATTAATTTAGTTCATTACAGTTGTTAACTGAAATAATAAGTTAAACGGTATTAATAGTATAGATACCTTCGTTTTCGTTTTCTAATTGCGTATCTAACAATGGTCTAACATGAGTATTAGTCACAGAGCTGGTGCTGGGTTCGGGAGGTCGCACAGGACAACCAGTTTTGCCTTTTGCTGTAATAACATTTATGCGATTATGAATAACAATAGCGATTGCGTTGTGACGACGACAGGAAAAATAATACACCATAATTTGCAAGTTTCCTTATCGTACCTGCGCTTTTCCAAAACTTAATCATTTCTTAGCAATTAACACGTTAAAAATATCTACTAAAGCTGTTGATAATCCCGAAAGTAAACTATGTGAATTCTTCATATGTATGCCTTATGATCATAAACGTAAACAAAAATAATGAGTGGAAACGAAAGAAAACACTTTAGTGATTGTATTCAGATTCGTGTTGACATGTAAATTGTCATTATGAATTGACAGATGAGACATTGACACTTCGACAAAAACAATTTGACGTAATATATAATTAAGTCATAGTTAATCTTAAAAAAAAAATTATTAAGAGCTAAGAATAAATATATATTTAACCATATGTAATAAATATGTATGTTAACCTTTACAACGTTCTGTTGGACTCTTCTTTGTTGCATAAGTAGAAATTTTTTGTTCTGAGAGCAAGTTTTTCAAGAAGGGTATATTAAGGTTTCTTAAGGGTCGGCAACGCGCAAGTGCAAGTTATATATTTTAAAATTATATTAATTGTTAAAAATTATATTTATATTATATTAATTATAAAAAAATACATTTAAATTATACAAGGCACATATCCGGCTACATATGGTATCCTAATCATCTCTGGGCGGGAGCATCACTGTTAAAACAGTAGTAGCAAATCTGCTGTGAGCAGTATAATGCTCAATACCACAGGCGCCATCCTCAACCACCACTGGTCGACGTCAAACGTTGCGTCGATGACGGCATCACAAAATCGACCAGTGAGAAGCACCGCTCATCACGCGACATATATAGCACCAATAAAAAGGGTGGATACTCCACCCCTATGTAATTCAAAAACGTTAAGTTGTTGCAATAAACGTTTCATGTGAAGAGGACACAGTTTCATTTAAAAACACTTCCAAAACTTCTTCCTTATCAAAAAACAAATTAACAATAAATACCAGCTACTTCCATTTGACCCCATTCAGAACCGAGCAGCTAAAATCATGGAATTGTTCGGGTTCAGACCAGCTGCTGAGTTTCACCACCACACCACCTGCCAGAAACTAAAATACCATCCTGATCATTTGTATGAATTGCGGTCCTGCACAGTACGGTTTTGTAAAATATTTTTACCACGGACAATCACATCGTGGAATTATCTTTTAACAATGGTATTGCTGAACCGATACGAGATTGAAACTTTCTTGCAATTTCCGTGGTGTTATCAGTGGTCATGGGCGGCGATAATCACATGTCATCAAGTGAGCCGCTAGCTCGTTTATCCCCTTGTGCTATAAAAAATCTGTATTTCCTCTTGACCTATTAGTATTTTTGTTTTTATAGGCTGTTAATATATGTACCATATGTGTTCTATACATATTTTTTGGACCGCGAGTCACCCACCCTCACCTACGTCTTTTGTCGATGTTGTCGCGGAGTTGACACATGTATTTATGTTCTTGAATATTGATATTGATCTGTTTTTTAGTCTGCTGCTTCTGAGAAAGTTACCTACCCATTTATTTTTTGCTAGAAATTGTTAGTAATTTGAGCAACTTCTTTATATGATAGAGTATCAAATCTACCTCTACGGAATCCATTGAACTGACTGTATCTTCATCCTATCATATTGCACTGGTGTCCTGTCTGAAGAAAGACCCCTACACGGAACCCCTGGAATCCATTGATGTTAATTAAATTGTTGCTCCGCAATATATGCTCATCCCATTATCTTTCACTAGTGCGTCACAATTCGCCAGCTTAAATGTTAGCGCTGGCGGTTGACCATTTCCATTCAATCTTTAATATTTCTTCTCAAACTCGCTACCAAATAAAAAGTAACTTATTTCTGTTCGCATATTTCTATATTAATAGATAAATTAATAGGTATAACCGAAAAAAAAGGTTATATATATTTCCTGCTAAAGACAAATTACAGACAACTAAATGATACTCTAAATAGGTTTTGTTAGTTTAGCATGTGTAGTTTCTAAGTAATGTCATCCATTTATCTGCTTAAGTTCTTAAATGCCTGCAAAATTCTTGAATATGTTATGTACTTTCCGAAAAATCACACAACCACCTATACGTTTACTAAGTTTTTCTACACTGCAGTAAGCAGTTTGGCGACTAAGGGTCCTAGTGTTTATGTAATTATCATTTCAGATTAATCTCCATGCGGCCTGATAATCATTGTAGTTTAATACTAGTGAATTTACTAGGGATGTAAGGGAGCGCGAACACCAGCCCAGTGCTCTAAGTCAACCTCACCTGCTCGCGGTACATCCTGCTAAATAACAGACGAGGCTCTGACGACCGACAAATGGCGGTATAACCATTCTAACTACACAGTTTCAAATCCCATAGACTGATGATGGGCAGCAGCGTCATCGGTGCGAGAAACTGTGTACTGCGATCGCCAACCCGCATGCCCAGCGTGGCAATTATGGGCACATTCCTCCCATGACAGGTCCTACACAACCATGGCCCCTAGTTCCCGGCCGCTCTGCTATTCCTGGCCAAGGCGGCGGTCATGGTAACGGCAGAGCAAGGGGTGCTAAGAATCCCCGGGCTACGGTAGGCCGCCAACACTCATTGACCCTGGCTACGTATAACGGACGTACACTGCGACTGGATGAACACCTCGCGCAACTGGAAGAAGAACTGAAATATATAAGATGGCATATTCTTGGTCTTTGTGAAGTCCGAAGAGAGGGGAGGACACCATGACTCTGGAATCTGGCCATCTTATGTATTTCAGGGAGGGAGAACAACCTTCCCAAGGTGGTGTCGGGTTTTTGGTCCATAAGACCCTAATAAACAATGTTGTAGAAATCTCCAGTGTGTCGAATAGGGTTGCGTATCTCGTATTAAAGCTAACTGAGAGGTATAGCCTTAAAGTTGTGCAAGTATACGCACCGACATCGGCACACTCGGATGATGAAGTAGAAAGTATGTACGAAGACATATCCAAGGCCATACATAACACCTCAAAGGCATTCTACAACATTGTTATGGGGGATTTTAATGCTAAAGTGGGAATCCAAACCGGCAGCGAATCGACAGCTGTGGGACCACATGGTTTTGGTAGTAGGAATCATAGGGGGCAAATGCTCGTCAACTTTCTAGAGAAAGAGGGGTTGTTCTTGATGAATTCTTTCTTCAAGAAACAACCTCAACGAAAGTGGACGTGGCAGAGCCCCGACTCTATGACCAAAAACGAGATCGACTTCATCTTGACGGATAAGAAGCGTATATTCAGAGATGTCTCTGTGATCACTAGGTTTAAAACCGGAAGCGATCACAGATTAGTTCGTGGCTCTCTGAATATCGATCTCAAGCTGGAAAGAATACGCCTGATGAAGTCGACGCTCCGGCCAAATATGCTCCAAACCATCGTTGGTTCTAAAGCATTCCAATTAAAACTGGAAAACCGGTTTGCTGTTTTGGAAACCACAGACAGTATTGACCAAAGACTCAATACTATAATAGCTTGCCTCAAGGATGAAGGCACGAAATTTTGCGAGAAGAGGCGTACAGGAAAAAGGACTAGACTTTCGGGAGAGACTCTGCAGCTTATTCAACATCGACGCGACAAGTCCTCAACGCTAACATCACCAGAACACCGGGTATTGAATAAAAAAATTTCAAAATTGGTACGACGTGATCTCCGATCCTCGAACACACTTTTAATTGAAAAAGCAATTGAGCAGAATCGGGGATCAAAAGTGTTCGTCCAACAGCTAGAAAGGAGGCACTTGTCGAAGGTAACCACATCTGCAGGGACGGTTACCGCTTTTAAGCCGGAGATTCTCTCGGAAGTTGAAAACTTTTTCGGAGAACTGTACGCCTCACATGCATATCGGCCTGAATCTCTTGTTGTCGATTCCAGAGCTCCTCTGACACGCCACTACACTGAGGAGATGCCCGAAATTAGTCGTGACGAGATCGTGATGGCTCTTAAACAGCTCAAAAATGGAAAAGCCCCAGGTGAAGACGGAATAACCACTGAGCTCCTGAAGGCTGGAGGTACTCCTGTACTTGCGGTACTTCAGGAACTCTTCAATTCCGTTCTCTTCACCGGGAGAACTCCACAGGCATGGAGTAGGGCCATAGTTATTCTGTTCTTCAAAAAGGGAGATAAAACCCTACTGAAGAACTATCGGCCCATCTCTTTGTTAAGCCATATATACAAGCTATTTTCAAGAGTCATCACGAATCGGCTTGCGCGAAGGCTTGATGAGTTTCAACCCCCGGAACAGGCCGGGTTTCGAAGTGGTTATGGCACCATAGATCATATTCACACAGTAAGGCAGGTTATACAGAAAACAGAAGAGTATAATCAACCTCTGTGTCTAGCCTTTGTTGACTATGATCTATCGAGACCTGGTCTGTTCTGGAGTCTCTGCAGCGATGCCAAGTCGACTGGCGATACATCGAAGTGTTGAGATGTCTCTATAACGCTGCAACAATTACCGTCCAAGTACAACCCCAGCAGACTAAGCATATCCACCTAAAGCGTGGTGTAAGACAGGGGGATGTTATATCCCCTAAATTATTTACAACTGCGTTGGAGGATATGTTTAGAATGCTGGATTGGAAAAATTACGGCATTAATGTCAACGGCGAGAACATCTCTCACTTACGATTTGCTGACGACATTGTCATCATGGCTGAGTCGCTGCAGGATTTACAACAGATGCTGAACGGCCTGGCTGAATCGTCTCAACGCATCGGTCTTCGGATGAATTTGGACAAAACCAAGATCATGTTCAATGATCGCATTCGTCCGGAACCGGTCGCCATTAATGGAGTATGTCTCGAAGTTGTTCAGGAGTATATTTATCTAGGGCAAACGCTCCAACTAGGTAAAAACAACTTTGAGAGGGAGGCCAAGAGACGAATACAGCTAGGCTGGGCGGCATTTGGGAAACTTCGTCAAGTCTTCTCGTCGTCGCTACCACAAAGCCTTAAGACCAAGGTTTATAACCAGTGCGTCCTACCCGTCATGACTTACGGTGCCGAAACGTGGACACTGACGATACGACTGGTCCACCAACTCAAAGTCGCTCAACGAGCTATGGAAAGAGCTATGCTTGGAGTTTCTCTAAGGGATAAAATCCGAAACGAAGTGATTCGCCAGAGAACTAAGGTCACCGACATAGCTCTTCGCATCTGTAAGTTGAAGTGGCAGTGGGCTGGTCATATCTGTCGCAGAACCGATGCTCGTTGGAGTAGGCGTGTTCTAGAGTGGAGACCGCGAATTGGCAAACGTAGTGTAGGACGCCCCGCAGCTAGGTGGAGCGACGACTTACGTAGGGTTGCGGGTAGTAACTGGATGAGAAGGGCTGAAGATCGTGCCCAGTGGCGTGCCTTGGGAGAGGCTTATGTCCAGCAGTGGACTGCAGTGGGCTGATGATGATGATGATGATGATGACTAGTGAATTCGCTAAAATGGGATGACTGTAGTTATCTGTTTGATCCTATATGCTACCATTCTCCACATATAGATTTTTGCTGCCGGAAAAATCCTCCGGCATCTAAAATATAATGCAGCGAGTGGGTACCATTAGAACGGCTGTACCAAAAAGAATGAATATGGAATGCAACGTTATTAATGCAAAAAGAAAACTGTTACTTATCTCATAGATATTTTTTTTAGTGGGCACATAATGTTAGCTGGCTATTTAATTACAATATAATAACTTTTCTGTTAAGAAATTATCAAGTAGGTAATAAAAGAACCGCTAAAAATATTTAAGTTAGTCATCAAATATACATATTACATCATACGAGTCTCTAAGCTTGCATATTGTGTCGATCAATTTTATTGATTCCAGCGTAACTTGGAGTAACGGTTGATCAGGCAAATTGTCGGCGATCCTTACGTAATCTGAGGACGCAGTGCACTAGCTGAGGCTATCGACCTTCCCGCGGTTACTTGAAATAACTGTTAAGTTGTTGTAAATAACTTGATAGCAATCTGCGCGCAGGGCAGCCGCCGTCAGTAAGTTCAGTCGCGCTCAAAGACGTATTGCTCACGGGACCATTATCCCAGTTCTAAACTTCCAGTTAGTTAAAATGCATTATAAAATTATTTTCTTAAGTTATTTACTATTGGAGGTTGTAGTCTGTAAAACTACATATGACCAGAGTCAGACTGGAGACTTGAACGTTCAAGTCGATTTGAAGGACGTGCAAATTATTGCCCTTCTAAATGGCGGTAAGGAGGAGTATGAGGTGAGATTACTTTAATTCGTATTAGGTTAATTAATATGTTATATAAATAAATAAAAGTGAGGTAGGTACCTACTGTGATACTGTCCATGAAACATTTAGATGTTTTTTAAACCGTAGGTATAATCTATTATCCAAAGCTTTAAATTAGGTAGTTTGTAAAACATAATTTCATACATAGGTACATAAATTGTACTGATATACATGCTATTAGTGTAGGTACCTATATACGCAAATTATATTTTAGATATGTGAAGTGGTACGTGTCTACTGAGTTTTCAGAATACCTAGTAGTTAATGAACGATTTGCTTATAAGGACTACGTAAATTGTTATTTATGATTCGAAAAATATATGCTCCTTCTTATTTGTACATTTGTAGAATATTTTCAATATCCCGCGTGGACATTTATTTTATTAGGATAAAAGTCCTGTTCCCTGTTCCTGTATCTATAAATATTTAAAAGAACTGTTACATACGGATACATCGTTTATTTTTTTTGTAAATTACTTAAAATGTTTTAGTCAGAAGTAAATTATACTAAGGTTATTGACAATAATAAAAATATTCTGTAATGAAGTAGTCTTATGTATCGTGAATATATTTAAAACAATTAACATTATTACAGGATATTGAATATGCGTACGACTATTCGGAAATGACTATTAGACCACAGAACGGCACAACACCAAAACCGATGAATGTAACCACCGAACCCGACATAATAAAAGATAATGTGACTATTGCAACAACGATATACACTGAAACGACTACGGAACGGTTAAACAGTACCATGGATGGTATTGAAACAGCAATAACCACGCAGACTCCAGTAACTATAGAATCCAATGTTACAGTTATAAGCGCAGTGGAGGCGACTACAAAAACGACGTATTCCTCTGAAGTAAACGTGACACCAATATCAACTACTTCGAATAGCACTAATTGCAAAAAAGGCTTCGTGTTGAATCATAAAGGAGGTTGTGAATTCAAATTGCAAGGCACATCAAATGCGTGAGTATTGATTTACCTAATATTACATAACTATCACTATGTGCGTAGATAACTATAAGTAAATAATTTTCTTTAGGTAATATACAAACAAAACATAATAGATTAATACAGGGACAGCAAGCCCTCATCTTTATACAAGTGACCATGATTAATCCGGATAAAAGTAGCTATTGTCATTCTTCCCATACCTACTATACATGACAATCTTTCAAATAAGTAGTTTTGTTGCCAGATTGGAATTTAAACAATTGAACTCGTTTTTTTTTTCGGATTATTCTAATGCTGTTGGCCGTAGCTGGCCTTTACAGCTACGCCGGACGATGGGGGGCGAGTGTAGATGGTACTTAAATCCTGCGGAAGGACTTATGGTGCGGCTAAAGGCCGCCTGACGGATACGACTTTAGTCTTAGGGTAACGCTAGGGGTTTGAACCTCGGCTCAGGCCGTCCTAAATTCGATCCCCGTTTGAATTGGACGACGTTCGCTATTACTCATATAGGTAATACTTAGTTAGCATGTCGGTAAAAGCATATTACTACTAAACTCGATTTCTCGGGATTATGATACTTATACAATAAGTTGAGATAGACTTCGTAAAAAGGTGTCTGCGTGGGTACTGCTACTACCTTGCTTAACAAATAACTGATGCTGAGGTCAGCATCACTTATTTCAGTCGCTACGCAGGTCTCCTTTTATGCTGTTTCCCTTGTACGGTGAGATTAGGCAGTGAAATTACAGGGTTTAGTCATGACATTTTAATCCCCTGGCACGACAATCGTTGTCGCGAGCGTTTACATGATATCCGTATTGTTGTTAAGTATATAACTTGTTTGTCATTACAATCATATAAAAATGCCAATTAGTATTTTTAAAGATAATATTATATGCTACGGGTGAAACGGTAACTCCGTTTCCTGTGACATTATATTCAAACTACGCAAGAATTCTGTGAAAATCAAACCTTGAGGTAATGTTATTGTTGTTCTGGTTTATATGTTATTAATTTAATCAGTTATTTAAAAACATAAAATATTTGTAAAATAGAACTAAATTTATCAATCAATAAAGTATGTAATCCGAGAACCAGTCATTATTATTATCAATTGATAATAAGTTACCTAATTTAAGTGTAAATTATAACGTATAATACGTAGATAGTGTCAATTATATAAGTCACAATTTTGGTCACACCTGCATTACTACCAAATTAAATAGAAGTGGTTTTTTTAAATTTTGATCTGAAAGTAGCAGTAATCGTAGGTATTCTTAAGGTTAAACATCGTGAGGGCATTTTTATGTGCAAGACTATACTGTCATTTTACTAACAATAAATGCGAGACCTTGTTTTTATAGTCGTAATTAAATAATGTTTGCTACTGACCAGGAAAATAAATTTATCCTTCTACATATTATACAAAATAAAGCTAAATATCGCTAATTAAAATTTCTGAAGTATAAATGAGTACATGTAAAATAATAACATCTGCCTGTGTGAATCGAACGATATATAGTCACGTATATCTAAGGATAAACTTAACGAGAATTAAAGTTATCAGTAGTAGGTAGATACTTACCTACTTACAATGTGATATGTATGTAATAACCTGGAAGGAATATGGAGATTATTAGTAGAGGGTCTAGTTCTTATCTCAATCAAAACAACTTATCATGTCAGGTCGCCGGCCATGAATAGGCGTACCTAGTCCATGTACGCCTAAAAACAGTAACAACACTGGTAAGTAAAACCTGTGCATACCGTTAGCGCGAACAGAGTAAGGGGGCGTCCATAAATTACGTTAGGTGTTTTTATAATTTTCTGAAAGGGTAAGATGTCGTGAGATTTAATTCAACCACCTACCTCATCCCTCAATCTCACGTGAGATTTTTCTAAATGTGGGTTTCTTACGAAAACGCGTTGGATTGCTATTGTAAAAAAAAAAAAAAATTGTATCAATCAGAAAAAAAATGCGAGATATTTGCTGAGACGCCCTCCCCCTCTTAAACATCTCACGTAATTTATGGACGCCCCCTAAAATTCTATCCTGATATTTTAATACAATACATAGGATAGTATGGATGACTATGGAATGGTGTACTCGTCTTCTCTAATGTTATACGCAGGGGATCAGTGGAGTATAAGATGAGGTTGATATCTGCTCGGTTGGCGCCTTGTGGCGAATTCACCAGAAAGTATAATGATTTTAAAGAACCGCGTGCAGATAGATCTGCAATGGTATAGATATTGATAGCTATGAGACCACTAGTTCTTTTATTAACATGTCATGATTCCTATTTTCTACTACTGCCAGAGTCTGTACCTACTATTACTACTACTACTCAATTTGCCAGAAAAAAGATTCAAATGTCTTATAAAATATATTCTTGTAAAGAAGCCTATTATAAAATTGAAGAATTCATAAATGATAATAATGATTTTGTAGAAAATATCTAACTTAAAATTCATAGCGCTGATAATGTTATCTGATTGAATAAAGATTAGCGTGTAGTGCGTAACCCTTTCTATGTTTATTGTCGCATGCCTAATCCTTGTTAATGTAAATCTACTTAAAACAACATTTATTTAAAAGAGCAGAAACAGAAGTTTCTTGCCTATTCTTCTTGTGATGAGTCTGCGTTTCGAATTAGTGGTAGAATAAAAAAATGTGACTATTCGAAAGTGCTTATATTAAGTTTATTTGAATAAAGATTATTTCTATTTCTATTTGTAGGAATGAAGCAGATACCGCTATAAGCATGTAATTAGTTACCTACATTAAAACCAATGAATGGAAATTTTATAGTATATATTCTGTATTGCTTGTATATTTTCTGTTGATAATAAATGTTACAACGTAATTTAGGATAAGATATAATAGTTCGATCGCCTATAAAGGTTTATTTTGTGCTTTGCTAATTATCGTTGTTTGCCATTTCTCTCTAAAAACTGACAAATACACTCGGACTTGAAGATTCAAATAAAATAGTATTTCTGCGAGTAGTATATTACTTAATAAATTTAAATTTTTACTCACTCCCCAGTCATGAAAACACCAATAACAAATTAAAATAATTCGAAAGTCTCTTCCCACAATGTGGGCAATGTATCTGTATTAGTATAGTCCTAATTTGAAAACCATTGCATTAGGAGTTTCTAAGGTACAGAAACCAAGCCGAAATATCAATGAGAAAATGTATCTAAATCTTTACCTAAAATCGTAAATTTTACGTAAAGATCAATCCTACGAGAACATAAGGTATCTGTTATCTCAAAAGAAGCAGATTAAGTCACGGGTTAAGGATATTTGCTTATAAGCAACTAGCTGTAACTCGCGACTTCGTCTGAGGATGAGTATGGGCATTTGCAAATGAAAGATTGTTTGTACAAAGTAGTATAAACAATTTTTCAGTGTTATAGTAGCAGTAAGCAGTATTATAATACTACATATAGGTAGGTATCATAACACTGTTCACACCGTTCGGTATCTACATATACAACAGACCTTATTCGTTTTTACAGATTGCTCAAAATTGTAAAGCTATCTCAGAAGTTGAAGCTTAGAAGAGAACACAGGAGGACTACGAATGAAACATTTTGATCTTGGTGTATCAACACCAGAGGTCTAATTATGTAAGATTGTTACTAAAAATTATTCTATCAGATTAGAACCTACTATTTCGTAATTACGTACAAACAATTTTTCAGTTGCAAATGCCGGCTGTAATAGCTTGCACCTGTAGATATGTATTAAATGGTTCATAGGAAATTGTAAATCTATTGATTTTAATGTGTAACAGCGTTACATAATTAAGCCCCATTAAAGCTTACCATTGTATTCGTAATGTAGATATTGTATTAATCTAGGTATATTAATTATAATTTAATAGTATTAATTATAGTTTTAGGTTATTATCTTTAAATAGAAACTGTAAGACTGTACCTATTGTATAATTTCATAAGTAAATGTCAGATTTATTTTATCGGATACTTGTTTTAATAACATTAATCGATCCCGTAGCGAATTATATTTTTTTCTACATCTGTATTTTTGTACATAAATTGCTCAGGATATATTTTATATATCGTGACATATGTATGTTAAAAAATCTACTGTATCTAAAATATGTTTCTTAGTTGGCCCGTCATCTCTACATCTTAATTCTTAATAATATTATAAACGCGAAAGTTTGTAAGTATGGATGATGGTGACTCTTTCGCGCAAAAACTACTGAACGGATTTTGATGAAACTTTACAATATAGTACTTACTTACTTTGTAATATAGTTTATGCATCAGAATAACACAGCCTATATTTTATATAGAAAATAACGCGGTTATAGCTAGTCCATATATAATACTATGCACTCAACGGCTTCGCTTGGGTGCATATAACTGCGAGTTTTTTATGTATTAGTATGTAGCCTAATAACGGTAATTGGAAATATTAGAATTTTGAATAGTGAAATAATTTTCAAAATCCGTTTTTTTTATTTACAAATTAAATATTAACGTCTTTATTATATTAATTTAATAAGATAGGTAAACATAAAGCAATACCTAAGCATTATTTACCCAGTATAAAATTGAAATAAGCAACTTCTTTGTTCCACATTTTTTGTTTATTTAACGATTTGTATAAAATATGATGACAGAGTTAATAATTAAGTGTAAGTAGAAACATACATATGTATGTGTTGGGTTTAATTACCTACCAATAGTAAATTGAACAAACCAGGTCAATTATTGAAGCAAATAATTATTCTAGATTTTATAAGAAAATATTTGTAAGTTTGAAAAACTTAACATTTTTCAATTAAAAATATAGATTTTTTATTAATATAATATTGAAATTCAGATAAAATTTCATCATTTCATTTGAATTTTTGCTTATTATTCAATTGATTGGTTCAGAGTCTCATAATTCAACCAATTTCTACAGGAGGCAAATTCATCAGCTTGTTTACAATACATGGAATGATTATTTTAATTTTACACTGCAAACACACTAAAATACGCTGTGGTAAACACTGTAGCCCATACATTTAAATTTGTTGGAGAGCCCATGTGCTATGGGAGGATTACTCGACCTGGATATTTTATTTCGAGCTAAAACATACCGATACTAGCTAGTAAAGTTACAGGCATAATGCCTTTTTTATGTCAATATCGATGATAATTTTGATGTTAATATCGGATCTAATTGGTTCTTAAATAACATGCATTCTGCATTGTAATCATAATTATTAGTTACCAGCAGTTGTATAATAATAATTGCATACAGCATTTACATATAATACTAGCTGGTTTAGCACTATTTTAAATGAGTGCTAATTAAAAGAAACATTTTTTTAAATATATAAATATAGCACATACAATATTTTTGCAATAAGAATAGGTCAATTTTCCTCATGTTTACTGAATGTTTGTCAGTCTAGTCACAATATATAAAGAAAAATATTTATGTGTTGGATATTTAAACATACATAAAAATATTTTATTTTAAATAAAGAAGATTTAATAACTAAAAATATTTATTTACACATTTTTGTGCGCATGAAGTGTAAAAATTTATAATATTTTTGGACAGGTAGGTTGGAATTACTTTGTCATCTTAATTATAAGTTTGTACTATTAAAGTGTGCAAAAAATATTTATTTATTTGGGCATATTTTTTATATAATTACTTGTAATATTTTTTATTCATTTGTAAAGTAAATATTATAATAAATAAGGAACATACTATATAATATATGAACACACAAAATATGCAAAAAAAATTATTAGATTAAAGTTTACAAAGACAGAACAAGAGAGGAATGAATGCACCAATGGTAATGAATACTGGGATAAGTACAGAGCTCTCATCCATAGAGTATGGATCAGGTTGTTTGGGGCCACTAGCTCGTCGGGGATTTGTGGCCTTCTCTTCTATTTCTTCTTTCTGTTCCTCCACCTCCGCCTCTGGCCATACTAATGGTGGCAATTTAGGAACTTCATCTATTGTACCTCTCATGACATACAAAGCATTAATTTTTGGATTATCCCGATAACCCTTAATGAATTCCACTTTAATTTTACCTCCTCTGATATCAGACTCTTCCTCATTATAATATAATTTACCATTTTTAATAGAATATGGTATGAATTCGTCATGGGCAACACCTCTGCCAACTTTGTCAAAAATGTCTAAATCTGCCACTATGGTATGGTCACCATTCAACACTACATCAAAAACTTTCATGTTAGGCGCATTAAAGTACACTTCACTGAATTTTAACACTAGCACGTAATCACCGTCATTGTTCGCTGGAATGTCGTAACCGAATGTGCTGTGATGGTATCTCTCAGTCTGATATAGAATTTCGTCCTTTTGATTCACTCTACCGATCATTACCAATTGTTTTCCATAGTTAGAGGCAGTTCCAATTCTTCCTTGTAAAGGGTCTTTTTCGTAATGTATACCATATATATCGGTATGAGCAGGCCCTCCAGCATTTATGGCATATATTATTTCACCTAAACTCGTAACACTTTTTATCATAAAAAATATGAATACTGAATAAAATACTAAGCGAGACATTTCAGCACACATAACTACTGCACCCTAAATTTATATTTAAATAATAATGTAGTTTGCCGATTGTCGTTTTACAGTTGTGCAAATAATTCTGTAACGACTAATAATACATGATTGTTTTAAGAAATTGAATATTTTATAATAACTACCGGTAGTGCAGTACCGGTAAGACATGTGGTACAGTGGTAGGCTATTATTATTAGAAATTGTATCGAAATAAATTATTGAAATATTTAACAGTCAAACCAACCTACTTTTCAATTCTATCAATTCAACGTCACGGCACAGTGTATGCTTGTCAAATCTACAGATGTCAATGTCAATTCGCTGTCAAGAGCGTTGCAGCGAGCAGGAAATCACTCACTAACATTACACAAGCACATTTACACACTACGTTTAATAGATTAAGGCACTCACTTTATAAGGACAAAACCTTCAAAATAAATCTGAGAATTATATATCCAATTCAATTCCTTTTCCTCAGAAAATTGACCCTTAACTGACATTTTTTCACATTTTTAATTTCTTTGTTACCATACCAGGTAACAAAGAAATAAGACTTAAAACAGAATAACTTAAAATAAATAAGACTTAAAAAAGAAAACTTTCGTTTATACTACCTTTCTTTTTTCGGCCTACTCTAATGCTGTTGGCTGCAGCTGGCCTTTATAGCTTCACCGGACGATAGGGGGCGAGTACAGATGGCACTCCAAATCCGCGGAAGGACTTATGGAGAGGCTGAAGGTCAACTCCCGCCTGACGGATACCAGTTTATACTAGTAGCACTGTACGAGAAAAAGAAGTGTTAAGGAGCGCATCGCGCAGATCCGGGACAGCCGGTGGGGAAAGCTCCTAAAAGAGATAACGCCATGTTATAGTATACCGCGTATTGGCGCATAGCGAAATCTCTCAAAACCGACCAATAGACAAACGACGTGCCGCCGCTAATCCGACCAGACAACACTATAGCCTTCTTCGACGAGGGTAAGGCTGAGTGTATAGCGTCCAATTTAGTAGCCTAATGCTCCCCCAGCAAGGTCCCAGTGGAGGCAGGTCATCTCGAGAAGATAGACACCAAAGAGAAGTCGAACGCATCGCGTCCACCACCATCATCTCTCTCACCAGTCACGCTTGATTAGGTCCAAACACTAGTTAAACAGCTACCCGTCAAAAAGTCGCCCGGCTCAGACGGCATATCCAACTGACTAGTTAAAAGTCTGCCCTCCCAACTCCTACTTCTACTCGTCGCTATTTTTAACGCGACGTTGTGCAACGCAATATTGCAGACAGCTGGAAAGAAGTCGTGGTCATTGGCATCCCCAAGCCCGGCAAAAATAGATCCGATCCGTCCAGTTACCGCCGATTATCAGCCTCCTCAAGGCTGTAGGCAAACTGTACGAACGACTCCTCCTCGCTCGCCTAAAGGAGTTTATACACTCCAAGGGCCTCCTCATCAATGAGCAGTTTGGCTTCCGAGCGTTTGACTCATGTGTCGACCAAGTGCACCGCATCACAGAGCACATCCACCAAAACACACTTTACTTCGCCACTAGGTCTCCCAAAGGCGGAACTGGCGTTCTATTTTTTGATATCGCCAAAGCTTTTGATAAAGTCTGGCCGACCGCACCCAATACGAGGCGGCGCGACGCGGCGTACGGGCACCGCACCGCACCGTCCTCTCTCCGATGCTCTACTCATTGTACCTTACCTTACTATAAATACAACTTTATTATAAATACTCTGAAGTTTTAATAGTATTGCCAAAATAGAGATTTTCAAAAATGGACGTTTAAACAATTTCAAAAGTTCCAATTATATATTTATAATTTTACGAACAGCGCCATCTATACAGTTAGATCTGTTAAAATTTCTACGATTAACAGGTGCAGACGTTTGCTTATACTGGAACTAAACATAAAAATAATATAGTAGGTAACTAGATGTCACTTCACTCATATAACAATATATTATTTAAAATTTTTTATCAAACCCATATGAGGCGACTTAACCGACTTTTATGAAATTTTTGGTGTACATTTTATAGGTCTTAGGGTATTATATATATAGTATTATATATAATATTATATAGAAATACAGACAGGAGTATACTTATTCAGAAATAATTTATAATGCAAAAAACGGTTGCGGGATATTTATTTCAAATATACAAACAAAACTTGCTATTTTTATTTCGGGTGACTTGCATATTACATACACATTATCTAAGTAATTGTATCAGATGTCTAGTAGGTACTCATAACACAAGATCTGCTAGCCGCGGGACTAGATACCGTTGTGTTAACTATCCAGGGTTATTTATTTATTTAATTGTTAGTATTGTATGTTATTAAATTTTAGTCGAGTATTTTAATGAATATTTTACAGTGAAACGTGTAATATCAAAAAAGTTTATACATTTTTTACGTATCAAAAATGTATAAACACTTTTGATATTACACAATAGACTCCACAAATGTAATTGAAAATAGTGCAAAGAGATAGATATATTTAGATATTTAATTACAAAATAAATAAAATAAGTACATAATAATAGCATAATAAAAATTTTTATGGCGAATATAGACATATAGACCAACCATGATTTAAAAAAATAAATTAGGTAAAGTTATAATGTTCCTTTCAGTTTTCTAAGTTTGTTAGTTTTGGTTGTGCGTTGTATAATGAACAAATAAACTAAATATTACAGATAATAGAAAATGTAAGTATATAATGAAGGTACCTAATATCGATTAACTTGTAAGAGGACCGCGACGAGACAAAATTCTGTAATTCAATTCTCTAACTTATATTTCACAAAAGCTTTAGACTCGGCCAGTTTCTTTAGTCTTGATCACAAAGTTAACTAATTACTTGTTCATTTATATTTAACCAAAGGTACCTATTATTAAATTGTATCCATAGGTTATTAAGTTTAAAGTATTAATACCATACATAAAGGATCTGGTTAGTATAACTAAGTTTTCTTTAAAATATGTAGAATTTTATTATAATGACATTGAATATACCTACCTTATTGTAAACTCCGTTAATCTATCTAGTATAACATTATAATCTATTAACAAATTGTGTAAACAATGTAACATATAAATTTTATATTACAATGCATTATTTTTTATACATCTGGAATTGCAAACAAGTTGTCGGCCCGCGTGGTGGTATATAGAGCATTATGCACATCACATTATCCTGTGATGGCCACTCTTACGGTGCCATTCAGAATAACTCACCCTTCAACCTAAACACAGTTTTATAAAGTGTCTTGTAGCGGTCAAAATGGGTCAGACAGAGATATCCATTCAGACGACTTGATACAAAGACTACCTCTGGTAGTCCATTTACCTATATTAAATGTAAAATAACGGTAACAGGTTAACTACTTAGTTTCCTACAAATTACTACACTGTTCTTCTCACTTCTTGCTGTTTCAATGTAGACAAACTTTTTTTTGTCTATTTAGTTTTGCGATGAATACGCTACATTCCGAGTAAGTACAAAAATATTTACGCCACTAATTTTATTTCCGCTGCAAACTGCAATAAAAATACAAAACAAGATGGAATTCGTTTATAAAATATGTAAACATTTAGTAAATCTGTTACCATTTTTACATATAATTACAAACAAATCAGACAGTGTTGAAAAACGTATAAACGAACAACATTCGTATCGACTGTAAAGTGGTAAAGAACCAGAATCGATAGTAGCCTACGCATTTCTTCACCCACATACTTTTTATATAATTTAATGGCCAACAAACTGACGGTCCACCTGATGGTAAGCGGTAACCGTAGCCTATATCACAGATAACATTACCTATATACATGAACAGCACGACGGACATCACGTTATCATTTCAAATCCGTGATATATGTTGCCATTCTTGAGGACTAAGATGTTCTACCTCTTATCCTCTAATTTCAATGCCTTTTCCTCGCCCTATCATGAAACACAGCTTACTAAGCAAGCTGCTCAGCGGATAAAATAGATGAGACTGAGGTACCCACGCATACGACTAGCACTAAATGTGCATAACATTAATACAACTAAATAGAGATTTATTATATATATCATAGTAGGTACAAAACGAGAAACTAATTGGCTATTAGATTAACATACATACTGTCGAAACTAATAGATCAACATGAAGTTTTGCCCAAGTGAGTGGGTGCTCTGCTTTGCCGAAATTCTCATGGGAATGAAAATAAGGGGTTCAATAGAAGAGTCTCATGAATATACTAGTTTATAGTAATAATGTATTCAAAATGCTTGTCATAGAACATTATGTTCAGTCATTACAAATTTGGAAAAATGACACGCTTCAGTAAGTACCTAAACAACGTTAACGTCGATTAGGGACGCGCGTCATTCGCAACATTCTTCGTTTGGATTGTTTCATGGAATAATACAACTTCATGATTTTTTATAACTACAACATTTTTGTTGAAGTCACTGGATTCTCCTATATTAGATTAGATGTCATGATTTTGTATTATTTCTTAATTATTTTAAAATTGCACTGAATAATTTCAACGTATTTATGAAGGTTTTTAATAGGTTTAACGCTTTGTTGTTTTTCCTCTTTTGTAGGTACTATATCTGTGTATAAGTAGGCAGAGGTATATATATACAAAATATAATACAGAGTACCGCACAAGTTTGATCAAACATAAATAACATCTTACTTTATTTGCGTAGTTCTAAAATATTCTTCTGAGAATTTTTATACTCCAATATAACAGGGTTTTCAACCTATACATACGAATAGTCAGACTACTGTGGATTGTAAATTGTATAACTGTTATCATAATCAAAACGGCAAACCGTGCCTCCAAAGTTACATGGGGCTTGACTCCTATTAAGTCCCCTAGTTTCGAATTTGCAAACTTCTACCAATTACTATATCTCTCTGGGAAATTACATTGTTTATATAACAAAAAAAAATACATTGCTGAATACAAATTATTTCACTTTGCTAAGTGAATATTTTGGTACCTACGTTTATCAATTTTATACTTTATGTATTAACTTATAGAATATATATACTCTAAACCTATCTCTGTCGACAATTCAATAGTAGATCACACTATATCTTGATTAAATCTAATTCCTATAAGGAAGGATTACTATTTGTCCAAATCAGCA